TTTTAATTTAAAATTGATTTTATTTTATTCTATCATATAAAAATATTGAAATTTATCAACGGAATGTAACGAAATTTTCAAAAATGTAGAACTAAACTTATTCATGTAGCTTCTGAACATGCCCAACAGTATCATTTTAGTACTCGGTTTGTGCAAAATATCTTTCCTGGTATTTTTCTTTTAAATCATTTCTTTTCGAGCTTTTGAGGCCCAAAAGTGTAAAAGTAATCCATTAAATGTTGATTCAAGTACTGTGTCTCTATATCATAATCAAATGAGTAGTGCAGGAGACTGATTAGGCTTAAAAAACCATCAGCCAAAATATACAACACGGAATAAAAATGAAATCATAAAAAATTGAGTAAGTCTCAGCCTACACATGAGAAAGAGAAGTTTTAAAAACTACTTTTTTATTGTGGCGAGGAATATTTTTCCTCAGTGAAAAGAATCCAATGAACTGGGAGAGATACTGTGTGCTATTTTGTGAAGAAAAGCTATTCAGTGATAAGAAATAGTTGTGTGCTGTTGAATAAAGTAATAAATAATAACAAGAAAATGAGAATTTAATTTAAAATATAATAATCAAGTTGTATCATGTTTATGAAATTTCAATAATTTATGTCCGTGCGAAGGCGTTGAAACTGCAGAATTAACAGATATTTATTGAAACTTTTTATTAATGTGTGAGTTTAGTCTGCGACAACAATACAAGGAAACTAATAATTCAGGAAATTGATAAATTCCATAATAAGAAATTAAATGTTAAATTCAAAAGGAACCTAAATTCCCGGTATTGTTTATTTTAAGCAAAGCGTCTCGTGTCAAAAGTTCAATTCTTACTCGTATTTGTCGACTTATTTATTTTCGTATATATTGAAACATCACAAGCCTTCATCCAACATAAGTAAATACATAAGTATCTTCTCAACACTTCAATTTCAAACAATCTCCAATCATTTAATTCCAACTCGAAAACCCAAAAAAAAATTAATAATCATCATCAACAAAACAACAACAAGTTATGAATGTTGCTTTTGTGTTGTTCCCGACAATTCCAAGTCAAGTATGTGTGAATGTATGTGCAGAAACTGTTATGACTCAACAGATAATAGGAATCAAACCGCAATGTTTCTTTCTGCTACGCTACGCAAAACTAATAAATGTAAATTTCTTCTGAATTCATTGCTCGCGCGCGTCTCGCGGCATAAATTGCAAGATCATATGTAAATACCTTTTGACAAATACATCCCAGCGACGAATAAATTACTTTGCATATATCTACTTATTTTCGTATTAAATTGGGAATGGAAAAGAAGGCAAGTCAAGCGAGTGATTGAAATTAAAAACACCGCACATAACACGAGTTTTTGTTCCGCTCTTCCCTTTACATCCACTAATCACTTTGTTGTGTGTTTCATTCTGTTTTCAATTCATTCAATTGGTTTTTCATTTCAATAATTCATTCAGCATATATCTGGATAAATAAGCATATAAAAAAAGAGTCTTTTGAAATGTAAATTACTCATCCGTTGTATTTTTGTAACTTATCGGTTGAACACGGACGGCGCTTGCATATCATCATCGATTAACGCGAAATTCAATGTAAGTGACGTCATTTCTCTACCGCAGAAAGATTATTACTTATTTTATTAAAGAGGAAAAAATTATGAATGCTGCTGAACTGAAGTGTGAAGTGTGAAAATTGGAAATCGCATTCAGCATAAATAACTGCTGGGTGAATTTTTATTTTCTATTTCTGTAATGATGGTGGCATCACATCACCAAAACGATTTTCATTCGATCACAATAGTTTTAGAAAAAGCTTGTGCAGTGATGAGCATAAAAGAAACTCGTGAAATTTTTTTTTGTTTACTTTTTTCTCTCTTTTTTTGCACGAGTTTTCACTTCTTGTCGACTTTGAATTTTCGGAAACATTCATTTGAATGAAGTCGTTTTGTTATTTAACGGTGATGTCAATTAGAGCACCATGAACAACGTCACATGCTATATTTAAGTGCTCACAAAATGTTTCTTATTCAGATTTTGAGCACGCAGTATAAACATTACAACGAGCTTTGATGACAATTAGGCTGGTTATAGTTCATTGTTTGGTGTCTTATCAGCTTTTATATTTTGTGTGCTAAGATTTGGATAGCGGCATTCTGTTTTTTTTTTTTTCGCTTGCGATGTGAAAAAGAAAAATGAGTTTATTGTTGTTGATGTTTCGACATTTCTTTTCATTTATCTGCTTTTTTTTTAGTTGATTTTGTTGCTTCCAAAGCGGGTAAATTCGAGCGATGATGTGATTTAAATTAAATTCTTGCAACTTAAATATTTTGTATCGGAATGTGAAGTTAAGTTGTAATAAAACTAAGAATTTCTTTTTTTAGTTAATGCTGAAGATTCCTTGAATATTTATCTTGAAAGTTGTAATAAAGATTTCAATACGGATTTCCTTCTAAAAATGTTAACTGTTGACGATTGAGATGTTGAATTGTTTATTTGCCAGAGACCGGCATCGATTAATGTCGTTCATCAATTAATGCTTGATTAAACGATATTTTTATGAGAATATGAAAAACATTTAATGTTTTACAACTAATAAAACAGAAATCATATGATGAAAGAGTTGATTAAGAAATGAATCTCAAGCGACCGACTTCAAGGTCTGATTTAGCTATTCACGTCAAAGCAAAATTAAATAAACTTGCGTCGAAACTAAGATTCAATTAAATAATACCAAGAACAAAGACCTAAAAGTAGTATAACGTGCCTGCGTGCTCAAAAAACCTCAGTTTAATAAAACTTCATAAACACAAGAGTTTCTAACATACATTCAGAGTCACACGTTAATTAAATAAGAAATTAGCACATTCAAGTAGACGCAAATAAGATCTGAATTATTTATTTATCTAAAAAACATAAAGTTCTGAAATGTTTCGTGAATTTTGTAATTCTGACATTTCAATTTCCTTCTTAAACCCTCAAATCTCTCATCTCTCAAATGTTTGTCATAAATTCATATGACGACGCTTTTCACAGCCTCAGCAACAATGACAATCTGCACACACATGTTGTACACAACAAATACTTCGTCATCATAATCTGAGAAGTGTAAACAATCATAAGATTTATTCATTGTATGTTTTGTTTCCAGTAACACAACAATTGATGCCAACTGCGAGTTAGTCAATTAAAACATTCAATTAGAAGAATTCTGCAAGCAATCAAAACCGAGAATTGAACATATGTATGAGAAATAGTTTGACGTGAACAAACATTGAGATAAACTCATTTTAAAAACATAAAAAGCCCTTCTTCCTTTTCCAAACGTATTTGCTCAACAATATCGAAGAAAATTTCCTTGAACGGACAAAATGCGCGAGTTTAAAGTTGTGGTGCTTGGATCGGGTGGTGTGGGTAAGTGAAATAAAACTAAATATTGATGATTGATGATTATTTGTTGATTTGATGATGTATTTAAAAAGGAAAATCGGCCTTAACTGTACAGTTCGTCTCAGGATGTTTCATCGAAAAATATGACCCCACAATTGAAGATTTTTATCGGAAGGAAATCGAAGTAAGTTCATCTCGTAGTAAATAGTTGGAGAGATTGATGAGTAATTCGATTATAGGTTGATAACTCACCTTGCGTTCTGGAGATATTGGACACAGCTGGCACTGAACAATTCGCCTCCATGCGCGATCTTTACATCAAAAATGGTCACGGCTTCATTGTCATGTATTCGCTCACAAATCATCAGACATTTCAAGATATCACGACGATGCGTAATGTCATTAGTCGAGTGAAGGGCAGTCAGCCAGTTCCAATTCTTCTAGTCGCCAACAAACTCGATTTAGAATGCCAAAGAGAAGTTTCCACTGAAGAAGGTAAGCAATTGACTTTGTTGGTGATTCAAATCAATTTATTTCCTTTCATAGGTCATGCACTAGCCGAGATGTGGGGTTGTCCATTCATTGAAGCATCTGCCAAGAGTCGTATTAATGTGAATGAAGTGTTTTCTATAATTGTCCGCGAAATGAATATGACAATGGAAAAGAGACAGAAGAAATCATTTTGCTGTTGTTTATAGGATTAAATAATCAGCTTAAATATCTAAATAAATATAACTTGACATCTCACCGATCTTGGGGAAATTACAGTCTTCGGACATTTATCTACACCAACCGAACGGGAATCAACTTGTTTCTTCACCAATTGTATCATACACTAAATGAAAGACGACGCCATCAAAAGAATAAAAAAATACTTTTAAGCGCATTTAAGTAGCTAATGGAAACAAAAAAAAAAGAAAACTTTTCTTATTTCATTGGAGTTTTGAAACATTTCCATGAAAAATATTTCTTCAAACGGCCATAATTAGCTAGCTAGATTTTTGTTTGTTATCACGAGGATCATTCATTATTTAGCTTCGATGTTTTTGATTTTATTTTATTTACAATTATTATTCTTTCTTATCTTTATTTCTTTCATTGCATTTAAGTCCGATAAACAAAAAGAGAAAATCTTAAATTAGTTGAAATTCATAACATCAATTTCCTTGGTAATTAAAATATTCACTTAGAATGATTTGTGTTAGTCGATTTGACAAAAGAAATATTTAAGCTTAAGTTTTGTGAGAAATTGACATTTGTCATATTTCTCAACAATGCAGAGTTGTTGATGGATTAAGAGATTAAAGATGTCAGCAGATAACTCAACAACTCTGACAAACCAGCAACATTTCAGTTCACTACTGAAATGACGATGATATAAACGATGATATAACAATAACCATTAATAAATAATTTATTATGTTTTAAGATTTTGTGCTCCGATAATTGTTTAAGGTGATGCCCGTATAATGCGCCAACTATAAGAAATTTAAACGATTAAAGCGAAGAGAGAAGATTTCTGAAACGAAACAACAAAGTCAATTTCAATTTTTTTCTTATTATTTTCTTATTATCTAAATCATTGAAAAAGAAAAGCGAATTCACGTGAGGAAACAGAAATCTCATGTGATTTTTTAATTATTATTTTTTTGGTGAAATTCATGTAGAAATCTATGATGAAAAAGAAAAGTATCAAATGTATTAAAGTGAAAAGTCGTCTGTAGATGTTTTATACCAGAGAAAGACAGAAATTAAAAACTTAAATGATGAATGAGAGACATAAAAGAAAATTACTTTTTACCCGATATTTTATGAAACGGTGAAGTTTGAACGAACTTTTGATATAAGAGAGAGAAAAATTGTGAATTATACTCAAAGAAAATCCAAATAATAAAAGAAAAATTACGAAAAAAATTGAAGTGAAAAGAAAAGTTTAAAAAGTTTTTTATTTGAATTTAGTTTTTTGATATTTATGACATTGCATAACATTTTTCTTATTCTTCAGCATCGCTTAAACATCAACGAGCGAGTAGAATGAATACTGCTTCGGTTTAATTTATTAATCTCGATTAAAACTTCTTCAAGTAATAGAGAATATTAAACTTCATTTATAGAGATCAGCAAGTGATTTAAGGTGAAGCAAGTAACAAATCAACACTAATTATTGAGAACTTCACGATTAAGTTCTTAATTGCTAAAGAAACACTTCAGATAATTTAGGCATCTTCAGAGCTCTTGTTGATTCCATTTTACACGTTTTCAGATAACTTTAACCATTAAAGATAGACAATTGAGCGTTTTTATTAGTGAATGACGTTGTTTGCTTTTAAATTGCTCTTGTTACTAATAGCAAATAAAAATTGCTGTGAAGCTGTAATGCACCTTCTAAACCGAAAGAAAAAAATTCTACGTTGAACATAAATCAGCTGAAGGAATTCGCTGTCAAAATAAGTTTAACGAAAATTTTAATTAAACTTCTAACTGTAAAAAAAAGTTTTATTACGAAGTAGCATTAAAAACACTCAAAAACTTCTTTTTTTTTGATAAGTTTTATTTAAACATTTTTCATTTTCCATTTTGAAATAATTTTTAACATACAATAATGATTCATTTTAATCTAATTAACTCAAGATCCTTAGTTCCATTATGAAAAAGGATTCTCATCATAATAATAATAGTAATAATATTAGACTTTTCCACATTTCCATTTCATTCTTTTCTTATTTATTTATTATAATATTCTTACTTCGTATTGAAGGATTATCGCAAGCTTTCTTTTTAATGAAAGTTGAGATTAATTTCATATCATCTACAAAGTCTCTTCTATGATACGGATATAATAAGTATGTAAGTTGTGTTAGGAGCTTTTCATTTGTGAAAAAGTTTTCTGTTCATAATACATTTTAGACTACAATAAAATTTCTTTCATTCAACAACTTCAACTGTTAGAGGATAGTTCACTATGGCGTCATCATTCTATTAAAAACAATTTAAAGAATATGGAAAGTAAGGCCATAACAAATGAAAACGTATACAAAGCAATTACAAACTAATTCCGTTGTAATTTTGAAAGGTTTTCAGATAAAACAAAATTTCCAAAAATCATCAAAATATTTACAATCATGAAAGATAAAAAAATGTCACCTTGAAGGTGAATTTCTGTTTTTTAGAAAAAAAAGTAAGAGTGCAAATCAATTTACAATCATTTTGCTTCTGTAAATGGCTGTTAAGTAAATATATTTTAGATATTGATCGGACGTTATCGCTTTCATTGCGTGGATGAATCTGGCAGAATCAAACTGCAAACAATTCACATGACAAATCTTTGCGATAAACGTTGTGACTTTTGAAACTCCTTTCTTTATTATTTAAGTAACTAAATTCTATCACTTTCCCAGTTTCATCACGACACAAGACCACATTCGGTAACAAATGAAATTTGAAGGAAAATTAATGTGCAGTATGATAGCTGATGAATTTTGATTTATTTATTTTTTCAAATTCATACAAAAGATGTACGAAAATTATTGAACAAGATAAAGCTGCGACCTGAGGCTATTCGAAAGAGAATGAAACCAATAAATGAATGTAATAAATATCAAAATATCTCATCAACTATCAAGTATCTTATGAAAGCACCTTAAAGTTTCTTTCATGAAAACCGAATAGGTCATTTACTTGTGGAATATTTAATACAACACAAAATCAAAGATTCGTTAGAAAAAAAATTATGTATGTAGATAATCTTTCCTTAAACTTAAATATTTACATAATTAAGAAGATAAAAATAAGTTGCTGTAGGAAATGAAAGTTGTTGTTAAACTGTTGGTGAGCTTTTCGGTCAATTTGATCGACACATTGACAGTTAATAAAATAAAAGTAATTTAGATAATTAAAAGAAAAAACAAAAAAAAAAAATCAAAATCTGACCGAATAGATTAAATACAAATTGAAATAAAATCGAAAAGATATAAAATAAAAGAACATTCCAAAGAACGATGGCAACACTGAAACCATTTACAAAAAAGTGGGAAAGAAACTCTTACAAACTTGAAAATTATTTGGAGAGATTTTTCTTGAATCTATCAATTAAATACTTAATCAAATTATCTTAAAAAAATAGAAGTTTCCTTCCTCTCTTAAACTGAGACTAAAATTCGTCCAAAGAAGATCCAATAATCATGTTTTCATCGATGATTTGAAGTTGACAGTAAGATCGACGCTTCAAAATGATTTCGTTAATTATTGCTTTCAAGCTTTGCAGGTGTTACAATTGAATTGATAAAAAGAAAGCAAAATCTTCGACGGTCATCAAAATCTTCTCGTTCGTTAAACCGACGATTAAAGTTGACGAAAATTTCGTGCAAGTTAAGAAAATGGAAACGAAGAAAATTACTGATCATCCGACTCATGTGTCTGTCGTGATGCAACAGCAGCTACAAGTGCAGCACCACGTCCTGAACCATCCTCTGATAACATCAAATCAAATTTAATATGATCGTTAGTAAGCTCACGAATTTTGCTGTACATCAGATCGTGGAATCTTGGATGGAAACGATAGACTGAGCCATCAACTCCAACCTGTGAACATTTCCAAATTTATTTCGTTTTCCTGTAATTAAAAAATTCTTTCCTTACCGTCACACTAGGATCATTCATTTTATTGATGAGAGCAGCAATACCAGCTGATGATAAATAAGCTGCCCGACTTGAAACACATTCACAAATAAAACGAACATTAGCGCAATCTTCATCAGTTGCGTGAAGAATTCCAATTTCCTCGAGAACATCGTAGCAGTTGAAGTAATCACCTGCCTTATCCGACTCAATTTCAGATACATATTTTGTGAAGAACTGGAAGCGTTTAAATAGCAAATCTGACCCTTGCCCTCCAAACAAAAGTCCATCCTTTGTGAATTTTACGAGAGCCAAACGTACCAATTCACCCATGTACATTCCAGAAATCATTTTTTCGGCACTAAAAAGAATTTATTGAATATTAATCTGATCATTGATTATGCTTTCCAATAACTTACAGTTGTTTTCCCTTGTTGATACTAAATTCATCGATTTCACGATCATATTCTGTTCGAATGAAATCAAGTGCTCCGTTGTCTCCGAATGCGCCCCATTCTGTGTTTATCAGCACATGCTCTTTACCTTTTGAATCTCCATCATACATTTCACAATTTTCCACACGTTCAACGTAACATGCATTACTTCCAGTTCCTAAGAAATAAATTCAAGATCAATTTAAATAAAATCGAATTGTGAAGTTTCAAATATTGCAATCAACATTTTTTTTTCGTTTCAGTCAACTGATTTCTTATTCTTCATTTCAATCATGCATAAAATGAGAATAAATTAAAATAATTTTTATAATACAAATAACTAAGAAAATAATTTAAACTAAATATAAAGAGGAGAAGAGAAAGATAATTATAATCATACCAACAATAGCTCCAATTTTGCAGTTGTGATTCTTCCAAGCACAAGACATGAGCGTTCCAGTTGTGTCGTTCAATATAGCACAGACATCAATCTGTACATCCTATATATTTATATGCACATTTCATTCAGAAAGGTTTTTGAAAATTGTCACGATGCCAGAAAGTTTCAAGTTGTCGTGCGTATATACAAAATATCATGTAGGGAAAAGTGTTGTGAATTATGTTTGAATAAAAGTGTTTGTTGTTGCATTATAGATTTGTAAAGAAAAGAAAGTGATAAAAAGAAAAAAATCAATAAAAATCCAACTAAAGAGTTCTATAACAATAATTAAAGATTTCTGTAATTTTTAGTAAATATGACAAATTCTCATCTCATGTTATGTTGCTGTTAGTCTAATTGCTCTAAAACATGAAAACATTAAGCAAAAGCATTCAACATGCAGCATGAAACATCAAAACATTGACTTAGAAAATATTCGAGGAAAAATTCTTTCGAGTTCTTCCATCTACTCCATGTGATTGTCCACTACAAAAACTATAAATCTACTTTCTTTAAATAGTGCACAAAAGTAATTTAATTAATAAAAGAATATTTAGTAAAACAATTGACTGACATATGCTTAGATTTGATAAATTATCTTTAAGAGAAACAATTTGAATTCTCGACATTTCCTGATAAATTTCCTTACCAATGATTATACCAATTTTACAGTCAAATTTTTTATGTGCACATGACATAAGCGTCCCTGTTGAGTCATTTAACACTGCCATCACTGATATCGCTACGTCCTTTATATTGAAATAGTTTGGATTGCGAAAGGAAGTGAGTGACAATTTATTTGATTACTCATTAGCCGATTAGATTTGTAGGATTTGTGAATAATTTAATGGCATTTTATGAAATAAAATATAATTTCTAATGAGGTTAATGTTGGACAACTACACAAAGAAAAAAACGAAATAATGTTAAGTTCTTGGAACATGTTGATAAATTCAAATTATTATTGAATCATCTTCCATTGTCTTAAAAGCAAATCAATTAGACAAATTAAAACTCGTGAAAATAACTGTTAATGATAAACAACTAAAGAGAATGATTTAAGTTAAGATTCAACTTACACCACGTCTCCTCAGAGCATCTTCAAGCAATTCAACAACATCATGATCAACTACACCTTCACAGTTAAAACCTTTCGTCCATCTGATTAAATATCCTTTTGTTAAGCCTAATTGTTTCAATGGGAAAGAGAAAGTAAAACCAAGTGGCAGCCTCTCGTTATGAATTTTGTGCTCCTAAAAGAAAATTCTCATAAATAAAGGAATTAAAAGTGAATGACAAATTGCTTACCTTGATAAAGTTTGCCAAACATTCGGCAATGTGATCGAAAAGTTGTGTGCCAGAACCAAGCATAATACTTTGTGGGATTGCATAAATCTTTGACTGCATTTCGAAGTCACTCTCTCCTTTGAGATGAATCAACAAAACACGAAAATTTGTGCCGCCCAGATCAAGAGCTAAAAACTTGCCGCGTTCTGAAATTTCAATTTTCTTAGTGAATAAATTAAAATTTTTAAATATTTTTCTGTTTCCACCTTTTCCATTTGGCAGATCTTGAACATATGTGACAAAACATTTGATGTCGGCTTGTGGATGTGTCTTCTTTTTGAGGCCTCGTTCAATCTCACAAAGAAACCGTGACATAATTTCTCTGAGAGTTTTGTCGTCCAAGATGAGATCTTGACATGCTTCGCGGATCTAGAAACATTAAGAAAAAGTTTAACTTAAAGTTGTAAATTTCATTCATTTGTTCAACATGTGTGCTTCAAAATATTTTTGAAGTTTTAGGGATTGTCATTCACAATGCAATGTCAGTCCTATTTTAAAAACTTATAAATATTTATTTGGGAGAGAAATATTTGCAAAAAATGTGCGACAGCTAATTTAAGAACGCAATTTGCTTACATAAATATTATTTTCTCTCAGTTAATTATCAATTAAAGCAAAAAGTGTCATTTTTGCATGCTCTCATTTTTGAGTCATCTTTCGTGTTTGTTTCGAATTATTTTGTGGGATTTTTCAAGTCACATGCTTTCATGTGTGATGATACTTAAATGAAATGAAAACAAACATTGCGTGCTGGCCCGCTCGACTTTAGTCAATACTGACGTCGTTTGTTCGGACAAGATGAAGAAAAAAATGTTTGAAGCCGAAGATGAATTCGGAACAAGTTTGCAATCGTGAAAGTCTGTTGAAGATTTGCGACTTTACTTTGCCACGTCGCTACACAATCAAATCTATTTTTACGTTAATCTCGCACATGATTGCTATTATACATCAATTACGCTTTATTTATGTCTCTTAAAATAACTATTGGTTCATATACTAACTCGAATCTTCCGCGAATTGCTGTTGTGATGGACTTTGATCAACCTAAATTTGTATTAACAAAACTAGAACCAAGTGTCGATTATTTATCGAACAGGTTCTTACTGAAACTGAAACTAAACAGGTGTTAAAAGCTTTTTTTCTAAATAGAATGAATGCAAACTTAATTAACATTCTGAATTTTAAATTCTCGGAAATATCAGGAAGTTTATGACTTCAGTTTTAAAATTTTCCTAAGCAGCAACAATAATAAAAAAGAATTCTTATCAATAAAATTCATTCATAAATATTTTCATCGGAAGTGAAAGACAAAACATTTTTATAAGTCATAAGTCATCATAAATGGCCTCCGCAGCAACTTAATTTAACAAAATTAGGAGTAAATAGAAAGATTTGTTTACAACTTTGACATTATTGCGGTTGTTGCTAGGAAAATCCGCGAAAAGTTCAATAAACAATGTAGTGCTTTGACTACAATTCAAAAGCAATTCAAAACAAGATTCATAACGCGTTAAATAAATAAAAAAGTGTAATTGAAGAAAAATATTTTCCATTACAATGAATTCTCTTCAACAAACAACGCTGATTCAATTGATCAAAGGTCGAACAATAAATTTTTGAATGTTTAAGCAAAAAATACTCATTTTTTGGGTAAAAACGCAAGTTATCATGAAGACAGAAAAAAAAACCAATGTCAGTAATTTTTTCTAAGTAATGTTTGAGGTATTTAACCTTGTCATGATGAAACATGCAATTACAGTTAATTATTGGGTCTTACCCATACGTTGCTTGATTGAAGATTGTGAGAAAATATTTGCGACCTCTGATTGAACTTTATTGACGTTCAGTGATTACAAATTTCCTAACATTTGACTTCATTCCGAGAAGCGAACTGATAAGGGAGTGGAAAACTCAAATTTAATAAAGATTATCGACTTCAATCTTTTCCGCTATTTAAGTAGAGTTCAAGTAATGAATAGAGGTCAAATGAAGACGTCAGTTTTAAAGAAGATTCGAGATGTGAGGCACGCAAATCATCATCTTCACGATATTGTTAATTAATGACGTGAAATATTCATTTACACAACTGCAACTTTGATTTCTTTTGCGCAGGTTTCATTCTGTTCATTCATAAATATATCAAGTGAAATTTTGCTTTTATGTTTCGGAAGATTGTGGTATGAGTTATTGCTCAATAAATAAAAAATGTTATAATTAAATTCTTATTGACTTCAGAATTATCAATTGATGAAATTTTAAAAGCAAAATTATTTCAGAAAATTTCATCATGTTATTGAAAATTTCTTCTTTTTTAACATTATGCAAGCAATTGAAATTTTTCTTCATTTATAAGTCGATTGAAAATTGAAATCCAAATGCAATTTATACTTTGTATGATTATCTACTTATAATGTAACAGCTTTTTTTACAAATATCATTTTTTATGCCATGATCGCATTATTAAATTTCTAGGTAGAGATTTTTGTCCTCAATTTACACAAAACGAGATTAAAATAAGTAGGCAAGGAAATCTATTTTTATTTATTGTTTTTGAATGTTTCCACGAAATTGGCTTCAACGTTTCGCATTTGTGTTGTAAGTTACAGAAAAAGGAATAAAAAACATCTCATAGCACATGACAGATGTGACTAACGGTGAGACAATCACGAGATTATTGCAAAAGTTATATAATTAAAAAGTTGCGATGTTCCAGGAGAGAAGCGCAACAATAAAAGAAAAACGTGATTAACTATTCGTCAGCGTTCATTGAGTTAGGTCATTCGAGCAAGGGCATCTACATTATAACAGAAAGAAAAAAGATTTGATAGCATTTTCATCGCCCACCAGCTTCAGATGTGAATTAAACTCATCCTTTGAGTCGTGCCTCCGTTTCATACAACTCGATTGGTTGCTTTTCTTAGGCACGACTCGTACTAAATCTTACACACAAACACACACCAATAAATGTCGCAAACTCACAACTTTTATTTAAAACCGCAAGCACCAAGGAAATTGTTTCGCTGACTAATTTATTCGTTGAAATAACAGCAGAGAAATTAACATAATTTGCAAACAGTATTTGCCAATAAACTGAGATTTTAAAATTAAAATTAAAACTTCTGAGATTGAGGGAAGAAAGCAGGCCACGTGTCAATAAATTTTGTGTTTTAAAAATGGAAAAATCATCTGTTAAACTTGTGTGCGTGGCTTGTTGTTGGAAAAGAAAAATTTTCGACTTTCCACTGTGTAAGTGTGTTTGTAAACAAACACATTTGCAGTCGCATTTCGATCGATTCAATGACATTCACAAGGAGCATACAAATTTCTGACGTAATTTGAACATTTTCCAACATAAAATTTGAATAACAAGCCCACAATTTTTTAAAAAATTATCAGATTTCATGGAAATTTTCAAGCCATTTGTTTATCATATGAAACAGGTTTTGTGTGCCTTCACTGAATTTAGAGAATTTCTAATAAGAGATTGAAAATTCTTGAAATTTAAGGATTGCACAGTTATCCAGAAACAAGAACTTGACAGCTGTATCAATTTTCAATAAGTTCAGTAACTTTTGTGCATTCGTAATTGAAACGAAATGAAATGAATTGATTGCATTAGATACAAACAAGAATGAACTTTTCGAGGCAATGTGAACCTAAAACGCTTCCAATTTTCATCACTAAACTTTTTTTTTCTTTGCCACGAAACAAACTTGTTCCGAATCTTGCAATTTATAAAGTCGCTTGAATTGAATAATATATAAAGCCGACGAATGAAAAGTTCATTCTCTATTTGTAGTCTTACGATTTGTGTTGTGAATAAATTAAAGAGAGCAAAAAATACGATAAAATTCCAGTTTTAGGAACCGTAAAGTAAGCCAGAATTGTTTTGAATTAGCTCACTAAACTAAGCTACTGAAGGCCGACACATGTTCGCAGAACTCGTTGTTTTAACAATTTGTCACTTACTACATCCGTATTACTCCGATCCCCTATCATAATGTCCTTAATATTTTTGATTAAATCCATGAGTATATAGCTGAGGGTAAGAATCTTGACGACTTTTTATAGAACAGCACGAAACAAAATCAAAAGTTTCTATTCACGAATGAATTTTGCGAAAGTTTTCAACACGTGCAACAAACTCTCTTCACTTTTTTTTATGTAATTAATAATTCTCTGATTTAGACGCACTTCGTTCAGCCTTCAAAGTTTTCTAGATAAATGTTTCTCTTATCATGCACAGTTGTCAAAAGACAAACAAGAGAAAGAAAAATTCTTTTCTGATATTTTTAACAAAACTTCTGAGCACTTTTAAGTACACAAGACTTAACACTTTTTACTTTGTTGTATCTAACTTTTAAAAATCATCAAAATAAAGAGTAAAAAAATTGATTTTTAGTACTTAAAAACTTTGCTACGACTTGATTGAGTAATGAAAGAAACTTCACTAAGTCCAAAAATAAAATTCTGTAGTTGAAATACATTCGATGTTGCGTTAATGTTAGTAATTTTTCTTGTAAATACACAAATCGACGGAGGCAAATCATTTCTTTTTGCAAAAGTGTGGGAACATTTGTTGGAGCTTTGTAAGTTGGGTCACATAAATATTTTTTCGGTGAATTATGAAAAATGTTTCATTCATTTGAAAGACATTTTTTTTGTCAGAAGTACTCATTCTTACATTAATTAACAATAATAATAGACATTTTTGAGGAAATGCGCCCTTACACTTTCTGCCATCTCGCGGAAAGCAAAAAACAGAGGGTCAAATGAAGGTCGAGTACTTTCGCTTCGAAATAATGTAAATTTCATTCGATCAGTAATACATGATTGACGAAAGTGAATAACATCAAAAGTTGTGAGCTCGAAAGCGAGAAATGTATTCATAGATTTCATAAGATATTCCATCGATGTCATCAGTTGGTAGTTGCGCTATCGCGTAAGCAAACTGTTCACTAACACATACACTTCCGCCTTGTTAGGTTCATGTCTGGCTAGACCCGACACACCTCTAAAAGACTCTTGTGACGTCATTTCGTTCCAACTGTTATATTATTTTCAGTAGTATTTAAAATCATATCAATGTATTACTATGCATGAATGTGTGTAAGTAAGGCAATGAGCCTCTGACTTTTTGAACGTCAAATTTTTTACTCTTCATTTTCTTCTTCATAATTGAACTTATCTTCCGAAGTGTATTCATCTCTCACATCACGTCTCGTGCCATGTCAACACTTTGAATATCAACAACAGAAAGTTATCTCTGTGAAATTACAGTTAACCACCACCGATCATCATCACATTCGTGGAAAATAATGAGAAATAGAAAAACTGCTGATTTTGATATTCAACTTACAATACATGTTATCGTTTTGTGTCTTTGCAACTGATATCTGAAGAAATTGTAGAATCAGCTGAAACCTTTCAATTATATTTTGATGGTGTACGGTTATCAGTTATATTCACAGTTTTGATAGAATTTATTTCCAAATGTTTTACCAGCTGATATGAGTTGAAGGGGAACTTTGGGACATCAAAAAAGATTTTTTTTTGCATTTCAAATGTTTTGATCTCAAAAACCATGACACTATTTTGGTGTTTAAAATTGCCAATCACAATTAGTTAACAATTTCAACTCCTCCACTTACGTTGATAGAAAAAAGATTCATTACCATTTTCAAATTTGTTATTTTCAGCTACGTAGGTGACAATTTATGTTGATTCATTCTAATAACAATTGTTTAAAGTTCGTGGTGTTCAATTTGAATACGATATTTTGTTTGGTTATTTGAGGTACTCCTCAGAGTACCATTTGAACAAATTTCATCACTGAACTCATCGTACAAATAAATTATTGAAATATCAAATTAAATAATTGCGTAAATAACGTTAATGTTCACTGATGAGTTCTGAAAAAGTCTGTTTTGAAAGTTTGTTGATGAGGTCATTGAATGACAATATTTCAGCAAAATTTGTACGTTTCAAATTGCGATAAAATTGTATTGGAATGTGAGAAGGTGTAATCGAAATGTTTTATGTTGCAAGCTTAATTTTAATCTGAAAATGCATAAATTAAATTTTAATGCTCTGTTTTAGTAAATTGTAAATATTACTATAGAAAACTTAATTACATTAATGATAATTTATTTCTAATATTTTAGTGATTGTGCTTATTAACATTTTATGCAACACTCTCTCATCTAATGTGCACATTTTGACTTTATTACTCATAGTCATGATCATGTATTGTTCACTCACTTTAAGAAAACTTCTGAAGTTAAAAGCAATGAACTTATGAAACTTTATAACTGGAACATGACACTTGAAGTCTCATCTGTCCTTCTACTCATTTTCGATCATAAGGAAATTAAATTTCATAACAATAATAAATAAACAAAAATTTTGTTGTTCTGAATTGAAATACTTTAAAAATGTTTCTAATTACTGCAAAGAAATGATATCACTCGGAAATTTTTTAAAGAATGAGGTTAACAACCCCGAGAAATAAAATCTTCTAACTTATAACTCAAAATTATCTCATTGAAGCTTTAACTACAAACTTATTAACAACTTTACTAGACAAATTGATGAAAATTTCTTTCTGATTTTATGAATATTATTAACAGATTTGTTAAATGATTTGAAACAGTGAAATATCGCAACAAAGTGATTAACAACGATTGAAAATCTAATTAATATTCATTTAATCACAAACGTGCCGTTCAAGGTCACTCATAAGTACTCTTTGCACTTTAATCTTAAAATTTGCGGAAGTTGAATGCACGCAAAAATAATAGAATGCTTGACACATCGTTTGGCGACCCCTCCCTATTCTTAAAATGTATTTGAATGATTTGTTTGTAACATAGATCACCTGATTGCAATAAATAATTTAATGGCCATGATACTTTTACGACGTGTTTGTTTCTTCGAATCCGTTGTTCAACAGTGATCTATTTTTATTTTTATTCAGTTCCCTTTTCTCTCGGAAAGACGTAGATAAGTACATAAATTACAGAATCGTTTCAAAAGTATTTTAAGTGAGAACGTAACTTTTTTTCTCTCTCGCTATAATCACGGAAACTTCAATCGATAGATTAAAAAAAAGTCAAAATCGATGCTAAATTTAATCGACATTGATTAACGTGGCAAATTTAAAGCCCGAGAGATTTCAGATAAAACTTAACGTCAGGGACTTTGACAAATTCCAATGTCAATGGATGATAATCTAACTTACCCCGTCAGTTGGCTGAGTTGTGTTCATTTTGAGAAGTTCGATGTTGGAAAAAAGTTTTTCGGTAAAGAATAGCTTCACTTAGATGTGTCAAGTGATTCCAACTGTAGGTACTTTCCAACTTTAACTTTCTCAAGAAAATTATCGCGTTTTACCAAAGCTAAATATGCAAACGAGAATTTTTTACTTCACAGTTTCTTTTCACCTAACAGAAGCTTTTCTTAGAAAATTACAAAAGTTTTATAGTTTTTCGGTAGAATAACTGTTCGTTAATCACTTTTTAATGTTTCCCATGAATATTTCTTACGAAAACGTTTTCCTTCGTAATGGCTAAAATTTTCACCGCGACTTTTAAACTCTGAACAAATTGAACGTATTTGACGGACTGAGAAACTTTTCACTTCTTTAAGTCGTCAAAAGTTTTCGAATTCATGATAAAATATCTTCGATAACTCACACAGCTAATTCTTTTAATATCGAAAGTTATAATTTGAAAGATTGACGAGTTGATACATTTAAGTTTATTATAGAACTGCTTATTGTAGTTTAATCGAACTTACATGCTTGAGACAGGATTTGTTAGTTAAACTTAACAAGTATTTTGATAAACAATAAACCTGAAAACAAAAACAACTTTTTGGTGGAATGATTAGCAGAAAAAGTCGATTTTTGTTGATGTGTGAGGCTACTGGAATAACCAAGAATTTGTAGAGTGATAAGGATTTATCAAAGACCTTCATGAATCTGACCTGATTTTTCCAGTATTTTTGATATTCCAGGAATAATAAAATGTGTAACGTTTATTGCACTGAGGATGACGTGTTGTCGGCACTTGCAATTGTGAAGCACTTTGAGATTCTTCACTTTTACAACCCATTCAAAAGCAGTTTATTTTCATTCTCTTATCTCTGAATTTGCAATAATTCAACTTGAAAGATTTTTGTCTGGCTAGGTTTAAAATAGCATCAACTTGAAATGATGGAATATTTGTAATGACAAATGTCAAAAATAAGCAAATAAATAATTAAAGTGTAAAAATAAAGAGTGATAAGTAGGTAATCAACAATCATTAGCGGTCGAAACAGCAATTTATACTTTGTTATGATTCTTTTAATTGAGCATTTAAATAACATTTCGTCATGATAGCACAAATCATATCGTAAACATTGACTTAATTAATTTAGTGGTCGCTTGCCTGGACACTGGAACAAGTTCATCAAAAGTTCACACTCCAAAGTCTTTCATTTCCAGAATATTCTGTCGCGTTTTTGCTATTAAATTTGTTGTCTGAACGTTTGAAACGGAGGCTTGTTATCATTTGCGTCATTTTGTTTTTTTCCGTTCGTTTTGAAAGCTGTGCCTATGACTTGTAAATTGTTATCATAATCAATTTTTTTATTGCGAATGGAATGAAACATTTGTAAGGTTTTAACAATGAGAATTCATCGAATTCATTATTTAATTTAAAATGAATATCAATGCAGATGATTGCTCGGAAAGTGTCTCGCAGAAGACACAACTTATGAAATATCATGCAAAGTGAATTAATCTTTGCTTTATGATAAATGAAGAGAGTTTAATCAATGTTTTGTTGCTTGTTAAAAATATGCTAAGGATAATGCTGCACACATTTCCTTGTTTATTGTTTGATGTTTTACTGGAAGGTTTTCGTTAAGTTTCACATCATACTCTCTTTGTTTGTGCACATCCGCTTTCCTTCCAGAAAAGGATATTTTACTTGACTCTTGTGGCCATTACAATTCCATAAAATCTTTTCCTTAATAATCTATTCCACGTTATGTTTTGAAGGATATTTATGGTGAACTGGAAATCATAATTTTCATTTAAAATTTCAATGCTTACTTTGCAAAGCTTTAAAAGAATTTAACTGAAAAGTTTTCTTAAAATCTTTTTGACATGAATTAGGTATCTGAAGAATGATAAAAACTTTAAAATTCAAGAATAATTTTGCAAAAACTATCACGTCATTTAGGTGTTGGTATTACATGGTAATTAATCTACGTAAATAATTGATCATTTTACTCAACCAAATGACGTTGAATTTCCCTTATCATTTTTCATCAAAAACATGTTTCGCATGACGAAGTGAATTAAAAAACCGCTCACTGAACGATGTTGTTTTAAAAATGATTATAATTTAACAAAACTTTTGTTTCTGTTTTTAATAGTAAGTACATTATTTAAAATAACAATTTGTCTCGTGTAGAAGGTGGAAATGGAAGGAAATTGCTGTAGACGTCCTGGATAGAAGTCGCTTTCTACTGGCATGTATGAGGCTTAAAATTTTAACACAACTAATGCAACATGAAGTGTTTGCCACCTTTCAAATGCATGAGAACTTCTCACTCTTCTTAAACCTATAATGTAAGCATGTAGAACATTTTCCTTTTTCCTTTTTCCTTCTGAAAAACTTGTTACATATTTTGAGTATTATAAAAATTTGCGTGTTCGACAGTCCGTCGCCATAGCTTTTTTTTTGTTTCAATATCGGGTGTAAAGTGCAATTTAAAATTTGCATAATTCCTGAAGCGTCGAGCGACCACATCGACAAACAAATTTTTATGTGTTTAATGGAAATTTATTATGATCATTCACAACAGCCGAGAAAAAAAAATCCCTTAAGTAATACCAATTAGATTAATTGCCAATTGTTGATTTAATTTGGATTTTTTGCTCCAGTTCCGATTATATGAATTGGTTGCTATTTATTACGATTTGGGTAGGTATTCTCATTAACTATTTATTAATCACACGAGTCACTTTGCATTTTTAAAACAGGAGCGGGTATTTAAACGATAAATGGGGAAGGTTTTTTTAATCTAATTTCTCACCAATTAAGAACGACACAGCGAGTGAATCTCTTGCGCGGACCCTTTTGGCTGCTGTGACGAGGGAACAATTATAAACCCTTTAATTACCCTTCTTCTTGCTAACAACACTTTCCGCAGCGATCTGTTGTCATTTCCAACGTGCCTGGAGAGAACAGAGATGTTGTTATTTAAATTTGATAATATTTGAAATAGAATTCTTCTTTAATTTGATACCATAAAGAACTAGTTGTGTTTACCCTTATAATGTCATTGAATTTTAACAAACCTGATTGAAACGGTTAATGTTTGCAATCTACACGACCACCCACACGAAAAATCAAATTTACTAATTATAATTTACGCGCACAAAGGACGCATCAAAGATGAAAACAAGAAGGGAAGCGTAATTAAAGTAAAGTCGAAACTTTTGTTCAGAAGAAATTGTTAAATTTTTCGTTATCTTTTATTTTTGAAGGGTCTGAGAAGGACGCAAATACATGGAACATCATCAGAGTAGGGAGTCCGAAATGGAGATCTTTAAACTAATCCAGTTTTAACTAAGGATCACGAGGTTTGGAAAGTAATAAGATTTAGAATGTTATTGATCAGGTGGAACACACAGAGAATAAGAAGATGTTAATGACAATTTGTTTCTAGGTCGTTTTAAAGTTTATTGTTGTCTTAACTATTAAATATTTAATTTTTTCTTTATTTAAGTCACGAACTTAACCGGTTATAATAAGGAAAATTTCAAGAAATCTTTTAAAGTAATAATTAAAACCTAAAGAAAATGAAGTTCTTGAAATATTTATTCATATTTTGTTGCTTCAAGTTAGTTTTATCTGGCGGACAAGACGAGTGTGGATCACCGTATTTAGAACTCATTGGTTTATTTGATAATTATAAGGAAATTGTAGCGAAATTCGTTGATGTTGCAATTTTCTTCGTCAATTACGTGAGTGAAACGGCAGACTCTGCAGAGGAAATTTTGGCAACTGATGACATTAAAACGCAAGAAGTTCAAGATTTCATCAATAATATCGATCTGAATGGTTTTGCATCCTATGAAATTATCAACTATATTGGGATGTTGCCTTCTGAAGAACAATCCTCTGGAAACGTATTTCGAATTGCCTTGTTGGGCATACTAGCTGCTAACGCGGAAGATAATTTCCAAAATATTTTAAATACAGTTATTAGTGAAATGATTAGAGTTTTATCTCCTGAAGAAGTGGAAGTTATTTTAGCTTCCATTGGAAACCAAGCACCAGTGGAATTCCCGCTGTCGTGTATTCAAATACCTTTAATTAACCTTGCTCAAGTTTCAACCGAAAGGGACGTTGAATATACGACAGTTTTTAATGAACGACTTGACTCTCTGAAGTCAGAACCTTGAATTGACATATTGAAATGATGCAATTACGACCCATATACGAAATATTTTATATTTCTTTAATTGTAAAATTCACAACAATAATAAAATTTAAATTCACAATCAAGCTGAATTTTTAAATTATTTTATTTCTCATTATAGAAAAAAGACGAAACAATTTTTCCGATTGAAGCTTCATAAGTATAAATCACTAGCGGGTTTCTATCTTATAAATCATTTGGAGTTATTTGGATATGTCCAGTCTTAATAAAAAACAAATCTTCAGACTCGAAAAAAGCTTTACAGACAATGGTGAAGGAAAGCCGTCAAAAAAACGTAGAACTTACGCTTTTAGCAAGCTGGCCATCTTTAAAATATGTCAGCTTCAATTCAAGATCACGAGGTTTGAAAAGTACTAGGATTTGAACTTTTATTGACGGAGTAAAGCAACAGTGAAAAATATGATGTTAACTACAATTTGGTTTTAGGTCGTTTTCGTTTTAAAGTTTATTGTTGTCTTAACTATTGAATTTTTACTTTTTGCTTTATTTAAGTCACGAACGTATCCGCTTATAAAAGGAAAATATTAAGAAATTCTTTAAAGTAACATTTCAAACCTAACGAAAATGAAGTTCTTGAAATATTTATTCCTTTTTTGTTGCTTCAAGTTAGTTTTATCTGGCGGACAAGACGAATGTGGACCATATTTAGAACTCATTGACTTATATGTTGAAGCTGAGGAAGTTTTAACGAAATTTATTGATGTAGCGATTTTCTTTGTCAATTACGTCAGTGAAACGACAGATTCCGAGGCGCAAATTTTAGAAACTGATGATATTAAAACGCAAGAATTTCGAGAATTATTAAATAATGCCAACCTGCTTGCCAATCTGGATAGTTTTGCAAACTTTGAAATTAGGAATTATATTGGGATGTTGCCTTCTGAAGAACAATCCTCCGGAAACTTATTTCGAATTGCCTTGTTGGAAATAATAACTGAGAACGGGGAATCTAATTTCAGAAATATTTCAAATGCAGTTTTTGAGGAAATGATTAGAGTCTTTTCTTCTGAAGAATTTGACGCTCTTTTAGCCACAATTGAAAACCAAACACCAGTGGAATTCCCGTTGTCGTGTATTCAAACACCTTTCTTTAACTTTGTTCAAATTTTACTCGAAAAGAACGTTGAATATACGAATGTTTTTAATGAAAAACTTAATTCACTGAATCAAGATCCTTAATAATAATAAGGACCATATTTGGATTTTTTTGGATTTCATTAATTGTTAAATTCAAATGAATAATAAAATATAACTTCACAATCAAACAAAAGTTTCAAATTTTTTTTCCGATTGAAGCCATAAGTATAAATCACTAGCGGATATCTCTCTTAATTTTATTTTGCTTTCTATTCCGATCTCTTTATTTGAATCATTTGGACATGTCCAGTCTTAATAAAAAACAAAATCTCAGACTCAAGAAAACTTTCTGTTTTCTTTTCAGGTTTGAAATATTATTGCCATAACAAACAAGTACTGCTTGATTCTTGTTTAAAAACATCTACCTAATTAGTTTGTGCCTTCTTTCTTACGAATATCCTACTTCGCTTCAGTTATTTTGATTTTAAATATAATTTATCTCAATTCAATTGATGACGATACTTAAAAGCGAAGGAAGGTTTATTCCGAGTATAAAAAGCTTATCAAAAGATGCGTGAAATTCGACTTTGAAAGCATTGCTTAATTAAAATTGATAATTATCATCATCATCAACGTTATCGTCTTAGTCAAAAAATTAAAGGTGAATCACTAAGCAAAGACGGAAGATTTGTTTCATTGATTTTATGCTGAGATTTCTCCCTTATTCATGGCGAGCAACAACGATGATGGTGGTTCAAAAACAGAAACGAATAAAGACGAGAAGTTTCAGAAAAATGTTATGATGAAAGCATTTCTTAAGGCAATAAAAAGTCAAGATGTAAACATTTTACATAACGAGACCTAATCAGTTCTTTAGAACATCCGATAATGACGTCGAATATCAACAAAAGCTTTGAAAAGATCTGAGAACTTATTCTTCTTATCTTCATCAATGAAACGCTGTTCTATTTGAAGACATCTTTAAGTCTTGAAGCATTTTTAAAGGTAAAAATGAAGGGCGATGTTCATTTTATCTCAAAAGAAATGTCGAGTCACGTGACGAAAATCTTCAAGTACTTTTCCTGGAAATCTCACACGAAATGATCAGTAAGAAAATTAATAGTAAATGCAATACTTAATCAATGAATATCTTTTAAGTCCTTTTCAACAATTGTAAGACATAAAGCTATAGAAAATATTTAATTAATTTTACTCACTCCAAATGCCGGAGATGAAGGAATGAGAAGGAAAAAAATGTTTGTCGTGTTATGACACTCCTCCGATATGAGAAGAAATATTCTGACACATTCAGTGAGTGTGATTTATCACAGACACTTTCCCTCGTTGTTATTGTTGTTACTGTTGACGGGAGGAAAGAAAAAGTTGTTTTTTACACGTCCAAACTCCGAAAACTTTCTGCCATATCAATTCAAATACTCTATTGATACACAAGTTATATATTATTTCAGCTATGGCAGTGGCTTATTGATGTCTCTCTGCTATATCAAAAAATCGATACTGTCGATAGGTTTGGGTAGAAATTTATGGCAGAAACAAGAGAACAGTACTGAGTGGTAAAAAAAACTTCCGCCAAACAATCAGATTCGTAACGAGAGGTTTTTGATTAAACGAATCTGAGAGAGAGAGAAAAAAACAAGAATCAGTAAAAAAAACGATATTGAATAATTTTTAAGCATCAATTGGGACCAAAGAGGAAATAGAGTCGTGCATTTTCAATCTCAACTTTTCGATGGTGTAGTGGAGTGAATCGAGTCATTATTCATGTCGAAAGTGTCACTTTTACCGATAGTTTCTGGTATCACATTTAGTTGCTGTTTGTATCCTTCGATCGTCGTATCAAATGTCAGAGAGTTGTTATTTCTTCTTCCCTTTTTTCGGTACAGCAATTTTTTTTGCTATTGATAGTATCAAGTTGTGGGGGAGAGAGAGAAGGAAAGAGGTTAGTGAATGGGAAAGGAAAATTCCACACTATCATGACAAATATTTGATTTACTTGTAGAAGATTTAACATCGTTGTTGTAGCTTTACTCACTTGATTAATGGCACTTTTGAAATCATTGAATTATTCATTTTCTTTCTTGCTTTTTCCTTCACATTCGCACTCACATTGTAGCACCTAAAATAAAATATCTTTTAGACATAACATCAAGCAGCAGAGATTGGAGACACGTTTACTCAATCAGTCGGTTCGACACCAGTATTTGAACTGAGGAAAATTAAATAATGAGAGCAATAAAACAAACTGACTTGTTCAGGTGGAACGGAAACGTTTAACTTGTTCAACAAACTAACATATTGGTTGAGTGTGAATTCAAAAATTTGCTTAAGGTGACCGAAATATTTGTAAAATAAAATTGGACGGAGGTCAATGTCAGAATTTCTTCGTGTGGAAGAATCAACATTTTAATTTGACTTCTAACTGATGTGTTAAGATAAATATTGACGACAGAATTATTAACATGATAGGGATCAGAAAGCATCATTTGAAACATTGAAAGCAAGGAAGATATCACCTTTGTTTTAATAGCCACAGAATTTAGGATAATATTCCACACGTATCAATTTTCCAACGACATGCTTTAAGAATTTTCCTTTTCTTCCGAGTGGGTAGCTCAACAGATTCTCGTTCATCGCCTCAATAAACTTAAGCAATTAGAAATTCCATTCGATAATCAATGTTTAATGAAAATTAAATTAGAAAATGCCCCGCATTCGCTTCAAAAACTTTATCTTCTTATTCCCTCAATGAACGTAACGATTTTACACACAAAATTGAACCTCCATCAATCTTTTTTACACATCAAAAAATTTGAATGGAAAATCATAATTGAATTAAGTCCGAGATGATAAGGGAAATAAAAATTATTGTTCTCTCTGTGGACAAAGCATTTTATAAAGCAGAAGGATAAAGGGAGCTGGCATACTGGCAACTAAGAGCCTTTTTGTCTTTAATCTAATAACTAACGAAGCTCACCATGGCAGATAAAAGTTTCTCTTCATCTTATTTCGTTATCCTCAACATCAAAGTTAAAATTTTGAAACGAGCAAGAGATTCAATGAAATGCCTTAAAAGCCCCATCAATTCGGATCGAGACAGAAACGGATGAAATTTAGGTATTCGAATTTGTTTGTATAGAAAGGGAGACTTCAATGTTACGGAAACGAAATTTTAATATTTATTATTGATAAAAACATCAATGAATGACGAATTTTAAACATAATTTGATGATTTAAAATCTGGTGAAAAGCTACATGCACTGCCCAATTTACATATCTGCGTGTACATCACGTAAATTATGACAAGACCCTCAATATTTATGTAGAGGAAAAGGAAAATCATTTGGCTATGCCAAAATATTTTTATGCTCCCTGAAAAGGAAATCAATGAATAAATTTTGTGGAAAGTCTAACAGCCTATGCGTTCTATTGAAAACATGAATATTTATTACTATTCGCCATTGTAATTTTATTGCAAACAATTTTTTTTTGGGTTATCAAATATTATCTATTTTTGTTGTAGAAAGGTTCATGGTTGATGTAATAAAAACAAAAGTCCGTTCAGGATGTGGGGTGCAAGCTTTTTGGGTTCAAAAATAATAACATAAATATCCATGAGCTTCTGAATGAAATGCCGGACGTAAACAAACGACAGGGATTTCTCTTCTTTTTTTCCTTTTTGATAAATTATCCGGCGCACGCTTTTTTTAGTCTTCAGTTAATAGAATTAAATTGTTTTTATCTCGCAACAAGCTATTGCACCTACACAATACATGAGAGGTAACCGTGTTTCAGTAATTAATTGAATAGAAAAAATTACTCGTTTTAGTGGAAATAAATCAAAGGAAAATGAAAGCATGAAAATAATTTCCACCATTGCATCCACTTAACTTAATAAACGGATTTGCTTTTATAATAATTTTCATTAAAATTGCCGGATGTTTTTATGGATATTCTTATCATAGTTGAGAAATCTTATGACTTTTTACGTCTTCACGATTTGCAATGACAAAAGCAGAGAAAAAATCTTCAAGTTGTTACAGTTTGATGACAGTAGTCTTACTCTTCTAAGATAGATTTTTATCACCACTGCTGTGCAAATCCTCAAATTTAATTTATTATGCGAAATTGTAAATCCAACTCGTTAAATATTTTTATTCTTTCCCCTTCTATTGTTTGATTCTTCTTGTTAGCGGTGACGGATTAAACTAGCGAAGAATTTATGACTTTATTTGAGAAGATTTACGGTTGTAATGTTTGATTGTTTATAGCTTCGTTGATAAAATATTTCTCTTCAAATATCTACTTGAAATGAAAAGGAAAATGAGCTTTTTATAACCTTCAAATAATATTTACGAACAAAAGATAAGAAGAAACGCTTTTCAAATTCTCATGAATATCGAGAAAGGTTGTAAAATATTATTTTAAGAACACTTAATCGGGAACATGATTTAAAGGAATTGATGCCTTTTTTCATATTCATTGAATGATTTCCTCAGTTTTATTTATGAACTCGTAAGTCACATCACATTCAGTTCTAAAAACTTAAAGAGAAAGAAACTTTTAGTTAGTAATTTATTAACGAAATGTTTTAAAGTATCAAAGTTTACAGACTCAATTAAAACTTTCACCGCAGATCTTCACATTTTAATCATAACTTTTGAAAGAGATTCTTCCATTTGTTCTGAACATACATCGTTGCGTACCTTAATCTGAAAGCTTTAAACAAGATTTAAGTGGTGTTTGCCTCGAGGTTTAATATTTCGTGATTGATTCCTAAGTTTCTTTCCGAAACATTTAGATGAAAACAATTTCATGATTGAGTCAAAGTTTCAACAAGATTAAACGAATCCCGGAAGGGGAATCTTATACCAAACATCACGTATTGAGAAATCCCCAACCAAACTAAGTAAAAATAAACAAACGATAGAATTTTAATGTTGCCACGATTTAATTTGCCTTCTTTAGAAGACAAGTAGATATTAGAAAAGCGTTATCATAGAAATAAAGCAAACATGACATATTCACTACTAGTGAAAGAATAACAGTCAAAATTATGTCACGCATGAAGCTAAAGTCACGAGAGAAGGCGATGAATAAATCATGTAAATAAGTTTTCCTCTCTTCCCTCACTTTTCTGGCATGAAAAGCCATTAGTGCGAAATAAACACTAGAAGCAAATCAAAAACAAGATGAAGCTCCTTCATCGGATTATTCGATAGAAGAGATTAAATATCCTTTTCTAGCAGCATTAGTTGAACCATCTTCCTGAGATGTTTCAAACGGCATAAAAGAGTAGAAGAAAAACTTTCAGTTTCAAGATGTGATCCTACACTAACAAATCCACTTCAAATCTTTAACTTGCAAACATAAAACGAAAAAAGAATAAGAAAAGTATAAACACAAGGTATTATCGGGACATTCTCACTGTTCTCGCGAAATCTTAGAGTTTGTGTGGGATGAAATAAGGAAAAAAAGAAGAAAAAACGAAGACGGAAATAAAGAAAATTTTATATGTCGGATTTATATCGATATCTGCCTGAGTGGAAAATCGATACAGCCTCAGGGAACGATAAAGTTGAAGGCAGAGGCATTGGATAAGAAAAATATAAAAAAAAAGTTCGAAAGAATTAAGTTGTAAAAAGTCTTGAGAGAAACAGCTAAGGATAGAACAATAAAGCGTTTCGCACATTTCAATTGAATGAGAATATTTTTGTTTAGACACTTGATGAAGGTACAGTGATCTGACTCAAACTTGACAATTTTCAGGGCATTGAAAAACTGTTATTTTAGTCAAGATCTACATATTTACCCTGCCGAGGGATTACATATTGGATAACAAACTTTTCTCGTTTGGATATTTTCCTTTTTATTTTACGCCTTCTTATTTTGAAGTTAAAATGGAGTCAAATGGAGACATTCCCTAAAGAATTTGAGAAATAAAAAATCTGTTTTCATACAATTTAATCAATCATAATAAAATCTTAATTCGACATAGCTTTCCTGATCTCATTTAACTTCGCGAGGAAATAGAATTTTCACTGTACTTTCCCGCTTCAATTCACTTTTTTCAACACCACGTTGAATATCCTAAAGCAACAAAACCTTCATCCAACATATTTCCGAACGTGAAATTGGATTGTTTTCGTTGCAACTTTTTCTCATACTTTCAATGTGTAAAAACCTGTAACGAAATGTTATCAATGGAAAGGAATTGTACAAAAGGATCTCCAACTGATTTTATTCTTTTATAAGATATTTCTCTTAAATCTTCGTTTTCGTTCATTCGAGTGGATATTGCAAAAATGTTTCACTACATAAAATTTTCCTTATTTTCCTCTCACCAACATAGCAATTTGTTGAGAACGAACATTGTGCATCGCTGACACATTCAACAGTATGAAGAAGAAAAAATAAAAGAAATTCTCTTTGAACAACCTTTCCAACCCTCGACTTGTTCTTTCAATTCGAAACGTGTTTTGATAAGAGAGGGCACTTTGAACCCCTTTTCCTTATTCATTTTTCATCGCACTCATTGTGCCAACACATAATTATGATACTTAAGAATGTTTTGTGGTTCCTTTCATACTTATTTTCACAGTTCCTATGTACTTACTTCTGGGCTAAATGATGTAAAAATTTGCCATCAATTAGTGATTTGAGAATCAAGAGTGAGAAATTGGTTTAATTAAATTCAAACTGTTCCTTCCCTTCTGTCAATTTCATGAATCTATATGCAGCTACATAGCAACATACAATTGCGGGGGTGAATGATGAATAAATGTATGAATGGAAATGTGAAGACCTTAAAATATATTTATTCAATTGAGTATTTGACTAAATATTTTCATCTCGCTCGATGTAACCATCTCAACCAACAATTAGATACGCATTTGTCACGATTTGTAAGCAATTTGAAACATTTGTGGAATGAAGTACAATGTACGGCAATGGAGGCTTTTCTGCATAAACGTCAATTGGCACGTCGCTTAAGAGGATTTTCATTTCATTTTCCCCTTGCTTTTAGTTGTCAACAATACAGTTCAACTTCAACATGTTGCGATACTGAAAGACTCAATGAAACCTTCCCAAATTTTAGAAAAACTCCTGTAACAACTGCGATTTTATTCAGCTCTGATATGGTTTGTTTTTTAAATAGAAAAAGATGGCACATCGAGACTCTGCTTCCAAAGTGCAATTACACGCCAAAATTAAAATAAAATACGTGATGCAAATGTTTAAGCAAAACAGGGCGCCTAGAAGCAGCACTTGGTGATGTTATGGAAATGCAAATAATAACAGCAAACTTTGTTTTAGTCCTTAGACTGTAACCTAAGAAATTAAACACTTGGATTAATGTTCCGAATAATGGTATTTTTTTGCGATGCCGATGGCAGAGACGCTTGAGCTCTCTAATGATTCACGTTCATGAAATTTAAAATTTTAACGATGCTGGATTGTTTTATTTTTTATTGTATTTTTTTTTTGTGGTGGACGTGAAAATTCTTGCACACTTTTCATCTTGAAAATTTCTGAAAGATAAGGAAATTGCAGGAAAATTTGAATGTAGGTAGATAATCGTTAAATGTTTTCAGAGTTTGTGAAAACAACTTCATCTTTATCTTCGATACAATTTTTTCCTACAAAGTTTTGGTAAAGATTTTTAATTACACTAACCAAAAGAAATTTATGAGAGATAAATAAAAAATTTTATGTTCTTCAACTTCCGCTGGTTTTCTGCAACGTTTTTCGTCCTAATGGAGAGTAATTAAAAGTAAGAATAAATTTTGAGCAAATTGTTTAAATCCTTGAAATAAAAAAGAAATTGCTGTACTGTTTTTGGGATGAAGCCTAACAAATACGAGCAAGAATATCCATAAAAAATCGAGTAAGGCCTTTGCAGATTCAACTTAAGATTGTTGTGAGTGGTTTTGAGATTAAATCACTTCTTGTGGTTAAATGAAAATCATTCTCTTGATCATAAGCACTTGAATGTGGTTTTCCTTGAGTATAAATGTTCTCATGTATCATGTTTCATCATATAACATTCTTTCATTCTTCTATAAAAATCTTCTGTTAATTACTCCCAAGCCATTCATTGAAATGGCTCTAATCTCATGTTTGATATCCCCAAGAATAAAGCAGAAAAGGAAATAACGCAAAATGTTATGCTAGGCGGAGATTCTAAAAGCACAAAACATAAAACATTTTTTCTGAGATAAAACCAAATTCTCGAGGCACATGTTTCTTAGAATCGCGTTACGGTAATGAATGGCACGATTTTTGTGAAGCAAATTTTCCAACCAAGTTATAAAATCAAATTACATAAATTACTCTGTTGGTTGCAGACAAGATGAATCATTTACACATCATTCAAATCATTTTTCAGAGTGTAAAAAGGATGTTGAATATTTAACAGGAAAAGGTTATGTAAAAAGGTTTGCAAAATAAACAAAATTTGCGATTTAATTTTCCACACATGTAACTAAAATTACGAATCCAATAATAGATTTTGATGATGTCAAGAACTTCTCCAAGCCAACATTTAACATTTCTAAACACATTGGCATAAGTCATTTCTTTTGGAATTAAGGATTTATAAATTATAATCTCACCCCAATATACAAACGCATTTCCTACTCACTCATAAAGAAAAGCATAATTTTTTTTATATTTATGTAGTCAGAGTAATTCAATTACGTTCCAAAGCATAAGAAAACATCTTTAATCAGAATGATTTAATCTCCTTCCAAAGTCCCTTACAAAGTTTTAGGGATTTTGATTATGACTCATGCGAAAAGAAGATTTCTACAATTGCTCTGCATGATGGTGATAATTTTTACCACCCTCGCCTCGAAGAAATATCTAGCATGACGATTTATTTTCTCAATGGGTTTGTTTTACTTCTTTTCTTCTTTGTTTTCCTTTATCAAAAAAGATTGGAATGTAATTTCTCATATGAAGTAAAAGTTTATGAGAACAAAGCAACTGTGTATGGAATGAGAATAAAGATTTAATTCAGTGTTTGAAACTGCTGGAAAACATTGGATTTGCATTTGTTCTCTCTTGTTATATTAAATAAAACATTTTTATGGATAACTATCTTAATTCTTTTTTATGAATTATGTGTAAGTTACAATCTATCAATTGTGATCTGGAATGAATTTTTTATAGTGAAAATATGTTTCAAGTATCAAGATAAGTGAGTTAGTTTGAAAGTATCTAAAACATTCAGTGCACAAAACTTTAAAAACTTTCTCAATGTCAGCATGAGATAATTGAAATAAAGTCAGCTTCTACCATTCCCTTCTGATTTTTAAGACGGTATTGAAGAAGTTGATTGGAACTCTTAAAAATTGTCTTAAACTTTAAGTGTTATGGCATTATTAACTTCTTTTTATGTCACAAAAGAGTCTTCTTATCGAAGGTTTCTCTTGATAAAATCAAAAGCATTCAATCATCAGTTTATTTCCTTCGAACGACTCAATAAATTTGTGTTATGAACCATTTAACCGTATAATTCATTGTTCGATGTGGTGATACAGCAACCTTCAAAAAGTTAAATTTATCGACATTGAAAAAATCGTTATGTCTGGAACCTCATGCTGGTTATGTTTTAACACAAACACTGTCCCTTACTGAGTTAGCTCGAGAGAAAAAAATTAAAAACTTCGCATTTGCGATGAACATAGAAGAAGAAAAAGTTATCATTTTAGGTGAAGTTGGGCTGGCGAGTTGGGAACCAAACACATAAATCACTTCAATTAAATGGCCTTTAGAACGGCGGAAAAGACAAAAAAAACAACTTTTGTATGGAGGGTGGAATTGTCGGCTTGGCTCATTGAAAAATGCTGAAAATACGATAAAAAAAGAACGGAACACAAACAAAAGGATCCATAAATAAAAATTATAAAACGATGTTCATAAATCTGTAGCAGAGAGAAACGCACAGAGTAAAGCAAAGACGTGTCACTAACGCACAGTGCAAATAAGAATGTTAATGGAGAGAACTTAGAAGAATAAATTAAATTAATTTCTCGTTAGGCAAAGTTCACAAGCGTCAATATTTGAGTTATAATTGAGTATCTAGATAGAATCTTCAGATTCAAGATCACTCACGCTCCATATTAAGAATAATTAATTGTCATCATAGAGATTATGAATCATGAATATTTTGCCACTTACAATTACGATAATTAAAAGTCTTTCTCTTAGAAACTTTTTTGAAACTTGATAACTTTTGTGGAATGGAAATAAAGCATGTTGTAAACAAGATATCTTTTATGCACTGCATTTATGCAAATTGCAATTTGAAACTTTTGTTCTTTCTGCTTTTCTGGATATGAGAAAAGCTCGTATGAATGAAACAATACTTTTATTCAGTGATAGGAGCCGTGCTTTATCTATTGTTATATGTTTTACTTCATAAATATTTATTTTCATAAACTTCTTAAAACTGTTTTATCTGGCTTGGTGTACAAACATTTTTGAATTGTCTAGAAAGTTTTAATTCGCCGCGTTCTCTGATATTACTTTCTTTGAAAAGCTCTCTCTACATTCATGAAACACTTGCCTTGTTTCAGTTTGAAAAGAACTATTCACATGCTTAACTCTCTGTACTGAGCGTTCTTGCAAAGTAAACAATAAAAAAAGTTTTCACATTCAAAGTTTAAAAAAGTGTAAATTTTTTACTGTTTACTCGTCAGTAAATTGCTTTGTTTATTTGTTAAAACTTCTGGAACGTTGCTTGTGATGATACTCAAAGGTGAATGATGTTGGTAGCAAAATCCATGAAGATAATTGTTAAATATTCAAAGGAAAATTTAAATGAAAATATTTACTCAAAGCTATAATTTTAATTTGTATAGAACTTTCTGGGAAATTTTCCATCAAAACAATTTCAAGGGAAAAGAAATTTGCGTTCTAGATGAATTTAAATTTAATATCAAGTTAAGATTTATTCAAGTGGATATTAAAATCGTCCATTCAGTTGGATACTTTAGGAATTGGGTTGAGTATGAATAGAAAGACATTCAAAGTGAAATTGGGTTACTTTATGTAGCATAAGTATTAGCATGGTATGCAATAAATTTATCAAGGTAAACTTCAACGTAATAAAACATCAAACTATGACGAGATTTTTACATTTTACCAGGAAAACGTAAAATCTGAAAAAGGAACGCTCAGATTTATTTATAATCCTTCAACTTTGTAAGTAAACAGTAACTCAACATGTATCATACATGCCCTTTCGAACAGTTTTAACCTTATGTTAAAATAAAATAAACTTAACAGGAAATTTCCGGAAGGTAAATATTGTAATGAAGCAATTGGCGGAAGAAATCTGATACAAACAATTTGCTCTTTCCACTTTAGAAGTTTGTGAAGAAAAGTTCAATGTAATCGACCTTTATTAGAATGTTCCGCTATTTATTATTAAACACCTGTAAAGCGAACCTTCGCCTTGAAAAGCTTAAACTCTTACAACAAGAGGCTATGTGAATTTAAAACCTGGCAACACCCATGAACAAAGGTTTTCTCTTTGCAAGCATATTTAAGGAAGCGAGGAACAAAATCATAAAGAATTTCTTGAGAAATTTTCCAAACTTTACATCTTTAAACTTTCTCCTTCTCTAAACTGCTAGCTAAACTGCCTCATTGGTCTAGTGGTCAGGTGTCGGAATTAAATGCAAGTGTACTCTTGCAGGTCCCAGGTTCGAGTCCTGGCATGGACAAAAAATAATAATGAGGTTTTAAGAAGTTTAGATACTTCGGCTTGATAATTAAAAAGTTTTTCGCCAACAGGAAAGCGAGATATAGAGATAAAACAGATTTGAAATCCCTTTGTATCGATTTAATATGCATGCATATTAAGGAAAACAATGAGAGAATTCATACTGAAAAAAGGCTCTATGGAACTGTACTGAAAGCGAAACAACTCTCTCTCCCACTAATCTCGAGTATGGGACGAGTAAATCCCTCTCCGTGAACTTCTGTAAAAAGGCTTGTCTGTTGAAGTACTCGCGTTGAATTTTACTAACAGTCTTACAAATTGTTAAAAATATAAAGAAAAGAAATTCAATAAAATTCACACATTTTTTTTTTTTTAACACGAAATGCCAAAATGATGATTGCAATAAAAGTGTTCATTGACGTGTAATAAAAAGCTCGATGGGTGGCTNTGCAAGCATATTTAAGGAAGCGAGGAAGAAAATCATAAAGAATTTCTTGAGAAATTTTCCAAACTTTACATCTTTAAACTTTCTCCTTCTCACATAATTAAGAATTCTTCGGTCAGGTTGGCAATAAAAATAGGGAAACAAACGAAGATGAAGCATGTTTGAAAACTTAATGGTTCTAAAAATTGATATATTAGGGCTCTGTTCATTCGCTTTCTCTCTCCCTGCTTTCTATTTGTTTTTCTTTCTCTTTTTTTTCGCACAATTAAGCACATATTGATTTATATATTTCACCCTCACGGCATAGTCGAAAAGTGTTCACGTTTATTAGGCGAAATCTCGACTCATTCAATGCCCACCCACAAAATTTGCCCAATTTTCAATATGGGAAATGCTTCGATTTCTCCACTTTTCTTCTTCCGACTCTCTTGCGTCTTGCTTCTGTGCTTCGCTTATATTGTTACATGTTGCGTTAAGAAAGATTTTTCGTTTTTCGCTTGAGAAGGTAGCAGCACAATTTCGACAAAGAAAAGGGGAGAAAGAAATCATTAGGATTTCTTATTCCTTTTCTGTGATTTATTGGGCAGAAATTCATACAGTAAAGATTAATTTTATTAGTTTTTAGCATCGAAATAAGCAATAAGCGTGAAAAAGCGTTCAATTGGAACCACCATTTACTTCGCCACCAATAAAAATATTTCTTCCCCTTTCCACCAACAACATTATTTGACATAAAAGTTTCAATCGTTTTAATTAAAGTTGAGATTGAAGATTCTTCTCTGTTTCTTCCTTTCTTCTTTTTTGTATTTACGACCTAGACCATTGCGACCAGCATTCGCTTCATGGTTTGAAGCCAATTACTTTTCGATCGACTTATTATCTGAACGATGATACCGTTCCATGCTATTCTCAACTAACTTTTATTTATCGACAGACGAATAAATTTTATTAACATTTTGCTAGTTGTTCACTGAATGGTGCGGGGGATTTTAATGTAGCAAAGAGATTCAGCGGGATGTTCGATAGTAAGAGTAACTAACTGAGCAGATTTAACCGGGTCAAATGGATTTCATTCGCATGATTGCATTTTGCTTGATAGGGGATGAAAGCAATTCTTATATCTACTTAACTTTAGGACAACTTTCTGCTTTCTCCTTTTATTTTATGATTCATAAGCAAGGTTTGAAATTCGATCGAAAAAATCTTAAAAAAAAATTAATTTTCAAGCTATTATCAAACGTTATTTTCAATCACTTAGTAATATAAATCCTTAAAGCAGCTTTATCAAATTTCATCGAGGATTTTTTCAGCTTTTATTTCAACATTTCAAAACCTTCACTTTTATAATAAAAAATTGATGACAGAAATATTGACAACAAGGAAAAGTGTTTCTTAGCCTCTTATTTCCTCTGTTCTTCAACTTTTTTATTGGATGTACGAAGATTTCTATTAAATAGGATTTCGATTGAATCAAGTTGCTTCTACTCGTATCTACTCACTCTTTTCTCTTATTCGCTTCTATTCAAAACCTTTTTATTGTTACGATTGCTTTTTATATTTCTTTTCTTTGCTGTTGTATGTTATTCGATAATTTCAGCAACGCTAGAATGGGATAGGAAAGAATATCATTTAATGTGAATTGAGGGGTTGTTGTTAAAGAAAAAAAAGTTTCGCATGATAGAAGGGAACACTTTCGGGAATCAGATTTGATGAACCTTTTTATAAAAAAAAATCTTTTATTTCCCTCCTATTTATACGTAAGACTTAAAACATATATTTTTTCATTAATCTTACGAGTGCTACAGACCTGCCACAGGAAACCACATAACAGAAAACGGCATGGAATGAGAGTAAAATTATTGACTTGTTTATTGCTATCATACGTTTTTTCCATACAATATTTCCCCGTTGTTCTATCGTTGGGTGAGAGAAAACAGAAAGCAGGAAAAAAGAAAAGAAAACCTCGATTTTCCAATTTGCGGCAAAATTTATTTGCATTGGCTTTTATGTTGGATGCGTGTTACATAAAATTGGTATGCTTTGGTTTCGCCTGCAACAATATAAAAAGGTGAAGCAATGAATGTTCGAATATAAACTTCAAGCCGTAAGCGGGAGCAATTAAATGTAGAAAAACGCGGTGATGGATGAAACGGTCCCAGCACCAATAAAAGTTTTTCTTTTTTTCTCTCTCTTTTTCTTCACCCACTTTACGAGTTTACTGTTGTCAATTAAAATACGGTTGTTTCACTCGATCACGAAGATTATTCTGAGAATTGAAATAAAAATTTACAATCAAAAGTAAGGATCATTTTGAGTGCGCCGCTTTCCATCTGATTTCTTTGATATCCCAATCAAAAAATAGCAATAAAGTTTTAAGGAATCTGAATTTGTTCTTTGGAATGTTTTATTTATAAGTTTCAAATGAAATCGTTTTCATTTTTTGTTTGTTATATTTTTCAAACGAGTGAAAGAGAATTCACTGACATTGGTAATGTGCGAATGCCGTGGAAATTTCAGGAGAAATAACAGAATTGAGAATGAAAAATCTTCCATTTATCTTTCATAATTTAAATAAAAGTAGACTCAGGGGGAATTTTACTTATAAAAATTGGAGACGGAAGATTTTATCTATCAGAATCATCAGAACGCCTCAACAAGCAATAAAATGTCACGGGACATGATTCTTACATGGTCAGCCTATTATAAATACTTTGTCATCCTCCATCTATTGCGTAGAAAGCGACACTTCATTTCGTATCTATTTCACATCTTATCACATCTGACATTTTAGAGAGCGACAAAGAAGCGAGAAAACTTCGCGATACGAATATGGAAATGAAAGCGACGTGAGCGAAGAGGGAAATGAACGACAATAATAAATCATTTACTGATATATTTCAGCTGCGATGAGATGGTTTTTGATAGAGTGTTACCGCTTGTTATGATATTTTTATTGCTTTCTCTCGAGGCTTGTTTCTTGAAAAACAAGAGGAGGGGAATTGAGAAGTCTTAAATCTACACCAAAAACATTTTTTCTGATAACAATGAATGAAACCGAACAAGACGAACGAGAATGAACGTTGGCTAGGAGATACAAAAATTTCTTTATTAGATATTTCAGAATCTTGCTCGTGTTGATCTTTTATTTAAATATTTATGAATTCATCTCTTCAAAGAATTTCGAAAATATCACGGAAAGTTTTAGATTTTTAGTTAAAAAAAAACACTTCATAGAGAAATGAATGAAAATTTCAGAACCCTTCGAAAATTTCCTTTCTTTTAAATCAAAAATATATTGAAAAGAAAATCAATTAGATATAACCGGATTACAGTAAGTTGATGCATCGATTCATAATTGTAGGATTTAATGTTATTACATTGAATAAATGACTTTGTTGTGAATAAGGGGTGAGTCTGATTGACTTTCCCTGTTTCATATTAAACAAAGTAAGCAAATCAAAACATGTGCCACGCTCATATGAACTCAAATCCCTAAAATTTTAATATTCGAAGATTTCGAACCCCAATCGATTTGATATTTGTGTGCTCGTTGACAAAGAGCAATTTAGATTAGTTGAAAATTTGTATCATTTAACTTTATCTCTCCATCAGCAGCATGCTCTAAGAAGATCTAAAGATGAGGGAAGAAAATCCTCTGAGTAATAATTTTCAATCACAAAATACGATGTAAAGCGTGAAATGTAATAAAGCAAAAGTGCTGCCAATGGAAAATGTTGAAGGCTTTATGCGTACAAGAATTTCCTTTTCGCAGCCTTCATCCGCTTGATGCACATTAAGAAATCGAAAATCAAGGGGGGAAAAGAAAGGAAAAGAAAAGAAAAGAAAAGAAGGAATGAAAATATTATGGAAATCGAGATTGCTGCCGATTATGTGGATTTGAATTTGCTTTCATTTTAATATTTTACTCACATCACAAGCGAGAAAGTGATGAGCGGCAAACAAATCCATCGATGGAAATTTCATCCGGCATACAAAATTCAAATTCCATGCTGAATAATTTAATTCGCCAAAAATGTGAAAAGAGAATTAAATTTTCATTGTGAAAGCGCTCAGTTTCAACTATCGCTTTTCAAAGTTAAAGAATACGGAATAATGTGATGAAAATAAAATTGAATAGAAGATATTTTTAATTAAATTAGAAATTGAAGACTTTTATTGTGCTTTATCCTTCCAGTTTTGTTCTTGACAAAAAGTTCAATGCATTCGCAATAAGTTTATAAATGCAGTTCATATTGTATGAAGCAAATGTTGGTTGGAAGGCAAGATATTGATCTGAAATGAATTTAGAAATATTATTATTGGATTTTTCCTATAAAGAAGAACTCAAAGTTTTCTTTTGTCTCAAGTGCTTCAGTAAACTTTAAAGTTTAATGGCATTTTATTGAGGCACTTTAATCAACTGCTGGCTTTTCAATAAAACTCCCATAGATACATCACAAACCATAAATATTTGAATGAATTTTAAATTGAAATATTATCCACCTTCAACTGACCATCCTTTGAACATTGCTCAATAGTGAAATAATTTTAAATATCCCTCAAATATCTTCTGCTTTTCACTTCCCCATACTTAACAGAAATCGTCCCGTAAAATTTATACATTTCTTTGATCCTTTTTCCTTAAAATTCTTTTTGACCTATTTAACTAGCTAGTCGACCATAATGTTCCGCCTTTAAAGACTGCTTCTATAATTATATTTCCGGAGAAACCCATAAAGCTTAATAAAATTCATTAACTGAAACGTAGAAATCGAGAATGTCTCTGATCTGAAAAAGTTAGGATGAACATGAAAACTGCTGCCCAGCCAAATGTCCTGATTCCCACACTTTTGAAGTACATTAAATGCAATTCAATCCTTTCCAGTCAAAAATTTCATTTTAAAAGTGTACATGAATATGAACATTAAAATACATTTTCGTGCTGGTTTAATTGAATCCATGAACAGTTCTGGCACAAAAGGCTGAATTGTGAATACATATTTATGAAAAAAAGAAGAACTGAAAGCAGAGAATGCTTTTAATTAGAGGAAGAAGAGCCAAACATTGCCAGTGAGCGTAACATAATAAATATATGCTAATGCAAAAAGTAACATTAATAAAAATTCACAGAAAAAAAAACAGAATCTGTGATAATAATTTTTTATTTAAAAGCAACGAAAGTTTTATTTTTGTTTTCTGCAACCACTCGCAGCTTGATGCTAGTTCATATCTTCTGCTCTTTTGTGCAGATAAATATAAAAAAAGAGCACAACTAAAATTGAAATATTAAAATGCAACAAGAATCCCAAGATTTTATTCCGTGCTGTGCTCAAAGTTCCGTATGAAAAGCTTTTAGTCGCCAATCTTCCCCTCTTTAATAATTTTAAAAGCGAGTGCATTTAAGGAAAGTGCAAGAATTTCTTCCTTTTCCAAAGAGAAGGAAAAATCTTTTTCCAGATCGTTTTAAAGTTTTATGACGCAAGCGTTGGATGATTGGAAAACTTTCCATGATATTCAAGTAACAATCGTACAAAACTCGTTTCTGTCTTCATCCGTCCGCTTCAGGCGAACTTTCGTTTGTTTATCTTCTCATTGCTGAGTGCTTTGTCGTCCTAAAGAAAATATCTACCGGAAAAATTCCAATAAAGAGTCGAAATTGAAAATTCGAGAAATTTATTTATTTTTTGCTGACCTCAAAGAAAATTATTTTTCAGCAGAAAAAAAAAACGCAAAAAGGGATCTGACAAAAAGCGGCTTGTCATCGATATTGTTGTAGAGGGTTTAAAAGATTCAGCAAATCGAATAAATAAAGGAAGACCATTTTTTTGTTTCCGATATCTCTTTTAACATGAAAAGGAACGCGATAGAAAAAATAAATGTCAAAGGATAATTAAAATGCTTTAAATTTTTGTTCAACTCCGCGCCCACAGACCATTTTAACGATGACACCAAAAAGAGACGAAGGAAAAATGGACAAATCACGTCGGCATGACAACTTTGTGCCTGAGCAGCTCGCAAACATTCAAATTCAGAGAGTCACTGTGCTATTATTTACATAAGTGATCGCCAAATATGCCAGCATAAGCACAAAAAAAAACGAACAAGAAGAAGAAACACAAAATATTTGAGGCTGGTAACGATTGAAAAATGATAGAACATTCCCTTCATGATGATTCGTTTGTTTACTATGTTATTTACAGCAGAATGAAATGCGAGATGAAATTTCGAATATTAAAAATAAGAAAACAAAGCAGAATGAAAATTCGTGACCAAAAATTATTTTTCGTAAGAGGCATTTATGTGCGCGGCATGTAAATTTGATTTATTTTCCATTTAAATTCTGTTTTTCATTGCTTTTTGAGAGTGTGCTTTACTTCACAGCAGTTTCTTTTTCTTTTTTCGTTTTTTTTGTGGGAAAGGCGATGGATTGAAACTGAATTGTCTCCTTCGATGGAGAAGAATGTCGCTATTCGTGTCACGTTTACAACATTTAAAATCAATTTATACACGCACTTGATTTCAGCATGAATCAACAGAGGAAAAATATCCATAAAATCGTCCATTTCAATCAACACTCTTGGCCGAACAAATTTGTTTGACACGATGAATTTTACATTTACACAGTAATTGACTTGGCCGTGTAAACAATTTTTAGGAGACTCTCAAGAAAGTAATTGAAAACACCTAATAATTTATAAATTACAAATTGATTCTTTTTTCATTGAGTTATGATCCGAGTATCAACCTACGCGCATCCCACTACAAAATTTATATTTAATATCACACGAATGAATGAACGACATGTGAATGTTAAATATTGAATTTGTTTGTATGTTGATAACATCAGAATAGAAATTATTTGTGTTTTTTATCAATGAATCTTATCGTGAAATCGTTTTTTCATATTAAAGCAAAACGAAGTTAATTAAAAATTATTTGATGAAAACCAGCTTTATTCAACATGCCACAGTCTGCTATCTAATAATTTCACACATACTCGGGGCAAATTCCTTTGTTCGTTTCGCCATAACTTGCATATCAATATCAGACCATACCTCGAGGATAAATGAACTAAAAATGGACGAAATTTTCTCTAATACTTAATAACGTACAACGATGCTCTAGCTCGACGCCCATTAATTAAATTTTATAGAAATGTCCACTCGAAATGTATTTCTTAATTTTTAATAATTCCCTTCTTCTACGCCTTAGAAAATCTAATTGCAGATTTTCAATTATACATTCCAATGATTAATTGATTTCTTAATTAGATATTTTTCTTTCGATTTCTTGAAATTAAAAATAAGAAAACATAAAAACTTTAATTTCATAACGAAAGATTTTCGTTCGATTTCCCTAAAGCAAATTGAATTTCCCCAAGGAACTTTGCCTATTGAATGGATTTTCTATGTTTATCCTGATAATTAAGCATTTAAAGCTAGAGAAGTGTTTAGGGAGAAGAGAAATGAGCGGAAGTAGAAAGAAACGCTGAAACTCTAAACAAAACTTTTTCTTCTTGCGTTTGTTGTTTTCCTCATCGAGGATGATTAATTGCTTTTCATAAAGAGAAGAGAGACGGAGAGAGAGAGGGAAAGGGAAAGAAAAAGTTTGAAGCCGCACACTCAAAGGAATATGGGCTTTGATGCTTCGTATTGCGTTGCGAATAAATCAACTTAAGTTGTTTCTCACTCTCACTAGTGTACAATTAATCTAATAAAAATTCAATAAATTAGCGGCTTTAGTGGTTAGGACATCTTATAAAACTTATGTATCACGTACACATTTATCTTTATTATCCCACAGCTTCCTTACCGCTTTATAACTTGACATAACTTAAGACAAAACATCTAAATGAAGCAGAGCTGCTCTTAAAAGTGTGAAAGGAAGATTCAAGCCTATCTTGAATGTAAATTGCTTTAGACAACTTATAAATAGATTTAATTTGATTTTGAAAGCAAACACTCTCTCCAGTGAATAATCAATAAATATCAATTTCAACTTTAATATCTGATCGTGAGCTTACTTATTGAGTTACCCTCTAAAGTCTATCAAGAAAATTGTGTTAAGTAGAAAATTCAAAAGCTTTTTCTTGTTCTGTGAAGCAATCTTCCTTTAAGAATGAATATATTTAAGTCTGCAGACAATTCTGAATATATTAACTTTATTTGTGAGTTGAAATTTAAGTTGAATTCAGATTAACTTGATAACCCTAATAAGTTTTGTTACTAAGAAAACCACGATTAAGTGTGCTAATTTAAAAGCTTCGTATTAATGTGAAAAGTTTTATCATTTAACAATAGCAGAGCTTTATGGGTAAGGGAAGCCAACGCCGCCGCCTTTTCTTCCTTCTTTTTCACCATTCACAATTGTTTGGTGTCGATAATGACTTTCGCACGTAATTTCTTCTAGCTTCTGTTTGGCATAGCGAGGAAGAGAAAGTGAAACCATTGATAGCTTAATTAAATTAAATTTCTGAAAGGAAGTTGAAATGGCTGTTTATTAGCGCCATAAGACGCTGGTGCTTTTTACATAATTTTACATTCTTCTAGAAATAAACATCGTAATTAAGGCCATCGTTAAAATTCCCAAAGCAACGTTCCCCATTCAGCGAATTTGCAAAAAAAGACGACGCCTTTCCTCACTGATTGCTTTCATTCTCCAAGGATTATTGTTAAATCATCAACATCTCGCTGCTTCTTAATGATTAAAAAAAAAACACATAAAAGAATAAGACGATTTTAATTACGTTCTTATCTTGTTAACTAGCCGTAAAAATTCAATTATTCTCAAATAAGAACAATTTCTATCAAAGAGAATGTCTTAAAGCTCTAGAGAACTATTTAATTAGGTTTTAAGGGGTTCCTTTAGATAAGAATATTTTCAAAGTGTTGCACATTGTTGCTACATTTTTTTTGCATATTTCGAGTGAATTAAAACACTTTCATATTTTTTATTAAATATTCTCAAGAAATTTGACTAAAACCGTTGCCGATGACAGACAAACTTTAATAAGATATCTCAAAAAAGTCAAATCGCAAGTGCCATTCTAACGTTGAGATTGTCTAAGCAGAAGAAGTGAATTGAATTTTTTTAGAAAATGCAAAATTTTCTTTGAAAGAGCAGTCAGCTTAAAAAAGAAGAATAAAATGATTTGGCAATGACAGGAAATTGCAAGCTAAATGTGACACATTTCTCATAAGAAAAGCATTATTTGTGAAAAATCTCTAAGGATTACGAAAGGAAAATGAATAAGACATCTGTATATGACACACAAATCAAACAGAAAGAAATGACAAAATTTATCTACAATACGGAGTACAAGACATTCATTCTTCCCGTTCATTCACATAAAAAATAAAATAAATACATGAAGTTGCATATCAGAAATCGATTTCACAAAAAGCTAGAAAAATGTTCTGCATTTCCGCTGGCAAATGATAATGTTATCAATATAAAGAAGTTGAGGATAGAATGAGATATTTAAGGAACTAGAAGCTTCTGCAATTCTCAATCGATACTCTAGAAAAATCATAGAAAAATTGGCAATGAAACTTTGCTTAGCGTGCATAACATTTGCATCATCCATAAATAAATTTTTCTCTCTCTTATACAAGAACATTTTTCTGCTGGTTTATGAAATATTTTTATGAATCGTTTGAATTTTCAATCACAGAATTTTCAACAAAGAATTTTCAAAAAAGGATCCAAATTAAGGAAAAAGTTCTCATTTTTTAGATTAGATTGGATAAAATTTGATTGTTTTTTAGGTCAACCTTCATAACATTCTCAACATAAATTATGTAAAATTTCAAGAAAAATGACCGAAATTGTTTTTAAGAAAAGCATTCTACTTATTATTGATGCTTCTCTTGCTTAAAATATTGATTATTTTTATCCTTAACATTTCAACCAACTTTCAAAACTTTCGCTACAACAAAGCTCTTTGCTGTACTTGAGAATGATATGAGATTAAATTATTCATTATTCCTCACATCTCATCTTTCCATCATTGCCATGCTTTTGTGTTCAAAATATTTTGACGGACTCCTTTCTGCAAAAAGGGTTCAAAAGTCGCTTCATGGTACAATGTGTTCGGTTATACATGTGAACACTTCTGTTCTAAACTTTTAAACGATTTTTTTCATAAGTTTTTATTCCTGCTGAGTTTTCTATGTTCGTAATATATTTTTCATACTGACATCATTGATTTATTTGCCATGAAAAAGGCCTCGAAAAGGATGTGAATGCAACAAGGAAAAATTATGTTAAAGTTTTGTCTACGTAAATGAATTTAAAATAAATAGAATGTTATAAAAATAAAAAGGGAAGCACTCCAGACTCTCTCTCGATGTCTATAGTTCTCTTGTGAAATGGAAAAAGGTAAATTTCCTAAGTTTTTATTATAAACCCGAAATTTTACCAAAAACTTGCTTCATTTCACTTCAGATACCCGTCAATGAAACGTGTTAGTCACGTCAAATAAAGGGAAGAAATGTTTATTTTTAAAAACATTTAATTCAAGTTCTTTAAACTTTAAAACCTAAAAACACGAATTGCGTTTCGTAAGAACATTAAATTCTGTTGAAGTTACTTAAAATATTAAAATTTCATAAATTATTGATCTCCTCTTACCAGTTAATTAAATTTTCAACTGTTGAAAGCATAACACTCATAATATCAACATAAATACATAAATAAAAGAGAAAATTCTTCTTCATCTTTATTCACTCACATAAATTGTTACGGAAACGAAGCATCAACTTTATTCAATTAGATTGGGGCTGTTTATGATTCGCTTTCAACGACAAAAAGATCTTTCTTTCTCATTGAGTGTTATCGTTTATATTTTGTTATTTTTTCTATTTTGAAATGAAGTGAAGATGCTTCAATGTCAGCCATTTGATGAATGATGTGAAATGCTTTAGACGTCAAATATGGAAACAGAAGAAAGCTTGGATAAATATAGAAATTGTAAGTCAAAAAGAAAGAAAAAAAACTTGACAAATATTTGTCTATGTGTCTGAAAATTGAAACATTGAAACAAACAAATGTAATTTTGTCAATGATAAAATTAACATAAAACTTTATTTGATAGCAGATCGCTCAAAGTATTTACTTATCTAGATAAAATAAAATATTTTCTCCGAACATTCGATCCACATTCTCTGTTCGCCTTGAGACATGATGGCTTGGATAAAATATGCCAGTAATTTATTAGTTATTTGGTTATAAGTTATAATTGAGTTACAAGCTCTCCTCTAAAGCATCACTCAATTATTTAATGAATAAAACTCCCTTTCCAAGAGAACGTTGAACAGTACAAATTAAATTTTTCTTCCACACGTACGCATCTCGATCCCAATACTCCCATTCACTCTATAACAATCTAAATTAAAACATTAATTATTGGGTTGCATTATTAATTAGCGAAGTAACTCACAAGCTTCTTACAAAGCTTTAAATAATTTATTTGAGTTTTTCCCTTCAAACATCAGAGGAACATAGAAATGATTCACAACACAAGTTACAAAAATTGAGCATCGTACGAATAACAGAAAAAAAATACAGAATAACAATTTTTATTCGACATTCAAATTTATTCAGGATTTTCCAAGTGCTTCAAGCACATTGCACAGCGGGAGTGAAAGGAAAGCAAATTACATTCGACAAGCATTATTTATTCATTGCTTCTGATCAGATGAAGAGGTGTTAATAGTTATTCCTTAAAGTGATTTTAGCCGAACGTGATTCTTTTAACAACTGAAACTTACTCTGTTGGAGATTCGGTGTAAAAAAAGACGAGATATGCTTATCTGCTTATGTACACATAAATAGAAAGGGCAGCAAAACAATGTCTGCTGCTTCCTCTGCCTTCTTCTTCATCTTATTCCTTTTAATGTTTCAACTGACTGTAAACAGACGAGCATACAAGTATTCAAAGCAAAGGAGATGAATAAACAGAAATCGTTCATGCTTAAATTAAATATGATTTCTATAGAATGTTTGTTGGCCTTTTTGTCGGTTACAATAGTTTTATTTCCTTTTGTTGTGGTTAGATATCCCTTCTAGAACTAATCTGGCGGAAAAGCATTTGTGACTACGATGAGAGGAAAAACTAAGGCGAATCATCATTTTCCAGGTCGTCATGCGTTTACCAAATGCTTCAGATTTGTTTTATAGGACAATTGGATGTTAGGTAATCGATAGGAAATAATAGCACTTCAGAGATGGGTAATGAAATTTCCATTGGGAATCCTTTGGATAATTCCCCGAAGGAAAAATTATGAGAAAATTGATTTCGGAGATTACTGCGGAAGGAAGTCAAACATTTAATAAATTTTCGAGGAACATTTTTTTTACCCATCTCTGTTAAAACAATATAAAAATTGAAGATACTTTTAAACATTCTTGTTAAGAAATTCTTCTTTTTGAAGCAACATTTATGACAAATGCTTAATTTGCATTATTTAAACTTATCGTCATTTCTCACAAAAATGGCAGTTTCAGTGAACAGAAAGGAACATCATGAAACGAGCGATGATAAAAAATGTAGATCGTAAAACAAATTTCTCTGTGATAACGCTGATGAATTCTTCATTTCAATATCTTTTCATTTCCACAAATACACTTTTTTCGCTCTTAGCCTCGTAATTACCATCATAAATCTCTCGGCCACGATCTTGCTCCACTGTTCATTTTGACAAATCTTTGAAATGGAATGCTGTTGCCATTCGCATGACTAGTAAAAGAACGACCAATGAAGAAAAAAAATGATTAATTCATCTTCAATTAAGTGTCTGGAGGAGGGAAGTTGGTCGAGTCTCATGGCAATCATCAAAATAAATTTTACATTAAAACAACAGAAGAGAAAAATTTTCCAAAAAAGACATTAATTTTCTTTAAGCAGTTTTATCTTGATAAAGATACTTCAAGAGAATATGACATTGAATAATGTTTTTATTATGAGATGCTTTGGGGATATGAGACAAAAGAAAACAAAAGGTTATCTCTAAGCTTAAGCCGTTTAAATAATGTGTGTGGAATGCAAACAAAGTAAGAGTCAGAAGAACTTAAGTGGAAGTTCTCATACATACGTAAGAAGAGAGAGAAAAATATTTAATTTTTATCACAGTTAAGAAGCTTCGTTGTGCAAAACAGGACAGTTATCATTAATAAATATTTCATGACATGGTTATGGGCTTTAGAAATTTAATTTCCTTTAATGTTGCGTGAAAGACTAAAACTTTGTGACATTTCTTCTTGTCTTATTTCATTCAGCAGGACAAAATTTCCTTAATCAATTCAAATCACGTTGAGTATTTGTGCAAATACTTTTCCTAGAAAACGAGAGAAAAATGAATGAAAGCTTTCCACGTTTCACAGAAGAGGAAAGAAAGTTTATGTAAATTTGCATAAAAGATTCAATTCAATCAATACCTTTTTTTGCAGCGGAAACTCAAGAGCTTTCGGTCAGTGCAAGGAAGCGAGTAATGAACTTTATTCACAGAAATTGATGAGAAATTCAAAAGTTCAATATTTTCCCACTTTCAGAGTGTTTTGAATTGGGACGAAATAAGTAGAATTCAATTTATTTCTGTGATTGTTTTGATGATCAATGAAAAGTTATTCAAAGTTTTATAGAATTTGATTATCTACTTCATTTCATGGCTTTTCAAAAAGCTCCTTGTTGGATGTTGTGTTTCGCTTATTTGATTAAATAATTTAAACAAAACGCGTAATAAATGTTAAATGTCCAACTTTTTCGAAAAGATATGAAAACAAAGTTAGGATTTATTTTATTTTATTTTTATTTTTGCATTTAAGCTGCTATAACAGGCGAACCCTTATGAAGCAGCATATCTTTGTCTTTTAGGAGAAATATTTACATGAATTATGATTATAAAAGCTGGTTTCAAGTATTTATATAAATGCACAAAAAAAAGAAAAAAAAAAAAAAATGTGTCAATCAAAGTAAAAGATTTTTCAACTAATAAGTTATGTCAATAAAAAGTTATATGTTAAAAGTACATAAAACAAGAGATAGAATTGACTAGAATGTAATAATTTTAAATGATTCTGAGAAAAAGGAAGTGTCATCAGTGATGCATCTGGGGGCAAGCTCCATGTTACTCCCTCCCCCAAAGAGCATTCCAATAACATTAAAAAAACTCAATTATGAGCGTTCTGCTTTGAACGAATCATATGTTTGATTTGATTGTTCGTTGGTTGCCAGCTGAGCCATCGATCATTTTCAAGGAAAGCGTTGTACGATCTCATCAGTCTGTTAAATAAGGAATATTTTCCTGTGTCGGTTTTGCTCGTTGTTGTTTTGAAGACAGTCGTGCTTCTAGTCGCCTGGATTGGTGCGTAGTGAAAGTGGTGGTTGAATGTATTAAAGTCAACAGTACCATTGAATGCTTTCGTCATGAACTTTAGATCAATAAATGTTCTTCTAAACTCCAAATTGTCAATTCTTGCCCTTCTTTCTATGTCTTCGTAAGCCATATCTTCTCCATAATGGAATCCAAAACATTTGTGTGCTACAAATCGTAGGAATTTGTGCTGAACTCTCTCCAGTTTAAGTTTCTGTGTTGCTGTGTGTGGATTCCAAATGACTGATGCGTATTCAAGATTACTTCGCACAAGACTGTTATAAAGAGAGACAAAAGTTAGGATATTATTGAAATATTTACCTACTCTCATTATAAAGCCCAACATTCTTTTGGCTTTACTGCAGACCATTTCAACGTGTTCATTGAAAGATAATTTATTATCAAAGATTATCCCAAGATCACGCATTATTGTTCTTCTTTCTATCTCGTGTTCATTTATGTGGTAAGAATTGCAGATCAGTCCAGATTGGCGTTTTGTGAAGCTTGTTACGAAACATTTTTTTGCGTTCAACTGAAGATCATTTTCTAGAACGTAAGTGGCAAGGCGATCGATGTTGTTTTGGAGAGTATTCGCATCTTCGTGATTTTTGATCTCTTTATACATCTTCAAATCATCAGCATAGATACAGAAGTTAATGTCTTTTAATATTTCGTCAATGTCGTTGATGTACATATTGAAGAGGATCGGTCCGAGATGAGATCCTTGGACGACAGATGATGAGACATTAATGCTAAATGAGAGATACTCACTGAGCTGCACTCTTTGACTTCTTCTTGTGAGGTAAGACTTGAACCATTTAAGCATTCTACTACCAGTACCAAAGCGCTGAAGTTTGTGGAGTAATTTATTATGATTAACTTTGTCGAACGCTTTGGAGAAATCTGTGAAGATGACGTCAGTCTGGCTGCCGTTGTCAATACTTCTTTGTAAATTCTCTGTGTAATCTGCCAAGTTGGTGACTGTGGAACGACACCGGAAGAATCCGTGTTGTTGAGGAATTATTTTGTCTTTGAAGTTTTCAAAGATTTCATCTGCAACAATATTATCAAAGATTTTGGCTATTATGGAAAGCTTAGAAATTGGACGGTAATTTTTTGCATCATGTACTGAGCCGTCTTTATAAATTGGAGTGACGTGTGCAAGTTTCCATTTTGATGGAAATTTTCCGCTTTTCAACGATTCGTTGAATATTAAATGAAGTGGGAAAGTCAGTGAATCCGCACAATTTTTAAATAATGCTGCTGGTAATTTATCAGGACCAGATGCTTTAGTACAATCTAGGTCTTGTAGTTTCTTATAAATTGTGTTCATGTGGATTTCATCGATCGTCCATCCTTCTGCGGTTCTAACATCATCAAAATGTTCAACAATTTCATCTGTTGTGGATTCTTTGTAGACGCTACTAAAATGTGTGGCTAATAGATTTACAACTTCCTGTTTGTTATATGCAATTTTGTCATCCAATGTAATATAATCAGCCAATCCGGTGCCGTTCGATTTTCTTGCATTTACAAAACTCCAGAAGGCTTTTGGATTATCTTTGATGTTAAGTTCAGCTTCATTATTGTATCTGGCGAAGTCTTTCGATATCTCTTCTTTCACTTTCTTTCTGATATCACTAAATTCATCATAATCAACTTTGTTACCATATAATTTCCATTTTTTATGATAAAAACGCTTCTTTTTTAAAAGTTTTATGGTATTTAGCGAAAACCAACCAGGAGAACTTCTGCGTTTCGATTTTAATTCGGGGCAATCTAGCTTGATCCAATTTTAAAGCCGAGATTTTGCTGATGTTGAGATTGGAATCAGATTAAATCCCGAGGAATTTCTCAAAGATCAAGAACTACTTTGTTGAATCTAGTTCAAAAAATGAAACTGCTTTGAAATCTACATAAAAATGAACAACGTGACGTCAAATCTTACTTTGTTTTTGACAAATGTGATAGTTGTAATGGTAATCATATTAAAAATTCAGTTTTTTTGCAATTCAAATCAAGTTCAGTTCTTGTTTTCCCCTTTGCAATATAAAAATTTGCTTCTAAAGCAACCTGGTGCTCAATAAAATTTCAATCGAATTCAACTCTGATACGTTTTATGGTTTTCTTGATTCATTTTAAAAAGAAAATTCTATTGAAGACAAAATCTTTTACTTGCAACATTAACCGGAAGAGTTTCTTCTTTCTCATTTAACATTTGGTGTGCGATTAGACACTTTGGTTCGTGTCGACAGGTGTAGTTAAAAGCGCAAAGAAAACAATTTTATTTTATGATTAAAACCTAAAATAATCGTTAAGAAAAGGACATTTCAGCTTAATGCACCCTTTTCACACAAAATTCTCAAATAAACTTTAAGTTTTCATCGTCATTCTTTATTGCATTAAAAGTTTTGGCATTACAACTTTCCGTGTACATGATAAACTCGACAAAAATTGTTATTGGTTGTGTCATCACTCGAGGGGAAAAATAACTAGGTTGATAATCTTGTTGTAAACGTGTAGGTTCGTAAAACATTTTTAGTGTCATTTATTGCGGTTTGAATTTAAAATGTCAAACTTCAGCATAAGCAGGTCTGAATCAAGGTAGTCGTCACTCATGTCGGCTATGTTTGGCACATTTTCCAAATCAACTCCGGGCAAAAACTGTAACTCTTGATTAAAAAGTGTCTCAAAGTTTTCTGATGTTGAGCTAAAGTTTTCCAAATTCAACTTCTCGTTATTGGCACTGTTGATATCATCGAAATCCGTTGGATTCTTCAAGATTATTCCCTTCAATTCGTCCGCTTTTTCGCCAATTTTACACAAACTACATCGAGTCTCAAAAAGTTTCCTCCGTTGTGATTGCAAATCCAACTTTTCCTGATTCACATCCAGACGTTCTTTAGCAATTTTCGTTTCACGTTCCGATAATTCCATTGTATACTTTTGCAACGACTGATATTTTGCCATCAACATAAGTTCGGTTTTCTTTGTTTGCTTCACGGATTGTTCAGCTTGCTTCTATTACAAAGAAAGAAAAGAAAATCTTATTGTGTCGTTTCTGATTGTTTCAAAGTTGGAAATAAAATAAGGAAAAAATGTAAGATGGATGATTAGCATTATAATCAAAACTAAACAAATGAAGAGGAAGAAAAAAGTTTGAATATGTTTCTGCAACATAAATTATTGAATTGCAAATACTTTGAGAAGTAAATTTCAATACATTTTTATGTCAAAAGCATTCTGTTGAAATATCATGACAATTCACAATAAGAAAGTTTTCCTTCCCTTCATCTTCACGCAACTTATTGCAACTAACATCATGAACTGACATCACATACTTCTCTCTGTTTCATCTTGAAAATTGAATTTTCCAACTCAGATTGTTTGACTCGAAGGGAATTTTCTTGGTCCATCAATTCATGTCGTTTAATCTCATAGAGTCGTTGCATTTCAATGAAACGTTGTCGTTGTTTCTCTGATTCACTTGCAGCTTCCTTTTATAAAGAAAGGAGATGGAGGAATGTCTTTTAATTAAATATTTGTTTAAAGATAATTTGAAATTCAAGAGGTCAGCATATATTTGAGGTGGAAGATGGGAGATGTAAGAACAATGCTAGATATTTACTTCAGCGTATTTGACAGCAGCATCAATTTCAGCTCGAGAAAGTCCTGAGTCGTCAGAATGTCTCGATTGTAATGTCTTTGCAATTTCCACACGGGCTTTTTCTTCTTGTAGCTTTAAGCGCTCATCTTCAAGCTCTTTCAGCAATTTTGCGTGCTCGTTCAGCTGTGATTGTTTCAGATCCTATTGGGAATTTTTGTTTTCGAAAACAGGAAAGAGATAATGGAAGAATAGAAACCATTTCGTTAAAAGTTAAAGAAGATATCTAAATTACTTGAATTTTTTTCTCTTCTGCTGTCATCTGATTTCTTAAAAACTCTTTTTCCTTCTCGAAAGATTTTCGCTCCACTTCGAATGCGATCATTTTTTGTTTCAAGTTCCATTGTTCCTCGTCAGATTTCTTCATTAAACAAATCAAAGAATGAAAATGCAAAAGAGAAAGGAGAAATTATTTAAACCCCGAAAGATTGAAAAAGGGAAAAGTTTTGCATTACTTGTTCGATAGAGTTCAGTTTCAACTCCAAAGTTTGCACCAAATTTAAAAGTTTTTCTCGCTCTGCTTCTGATGTTTCTCGTGTTCGCTCCAACAATTTCTGTTGTTCTAATAATTAGTATAAAACATTAATTAAATTTCCTCGTCAAATTATTTTCTTTTCAGAATTTTTAGTGGAAGAATGATGAGAATAAGGAAATGTTTTAAAGTCACGCCAAATTTTTAATGTTATAAACTTTTTTTAGTGTCTGCATTAGATTTTGAACTTTTCATATAAATTTACATTTTTAAAATTTCCATTTATGTAAGTAAGCATGTTTCTGAGAATATGATATGAGATAAGTTTCGAGAGCATTAAAACTTAAAAAATAAACAGAAGAAGAGAAGGACTTAGTTTTGAATACAAGACATTAACAATTCTTAACTGCATCTTTGAGAATTTCACAATCTGCTTCTTAAACGATGTAAGAAAAATGTTTTAAGTTCCCAGCAAATTCAATCTTAAACTCTACAGAAAGTTCTTTTTGTTCGTTAGATTAAAGATTCGATTGCTTACAAATTTTCAACAAGCATCTTCATCTTGAGATCGTTCGTCGTAATACTTTCGATTACATTTTACATAAAAGCTCTTCTTTAAAGTCGAATGGGTATTAATTTAGTTAACAAAATGTATTAGCAACAATAGTAAGAACACAAATGTTACCTTCTAGACGCTTCTCGCGCATATTCAACTGAATTTCCTTATCGCGTTCTAACACAATCAGCTTTTCCTGCAGAACTTCATGCAACGAATGAACATCACCCGAGGCAACCTCCAAATGGGTCGAAGCGCGCTTCAAAATATCAAAGTAGGAAATGCTTTCTTCCTTGATAGCAAACTCCATAAATTTAGATTTTCTAATGTTCTGCATCATTTCCTCGTAATGGAGCTTCAGCGCTTCCAAATTACTTTCGCGTTCATCGCTGATGGATTTAATTTTATCAGAAAAGAACTTTTCGACGGCTGCAATCTCCGCTTTATATCTTTGTTCCATTGACTCGAGATTTTCTTCCATCAATTGCAAGCGTTTTTTGTAGCTTCTCTCGATCATAATGATTTCCTTTTCATGATTATCGCTAATGTTCGATAGCATGTCTTCAAGTCGCAATTTTTCCATCTCTAAACGTTTAACATCCGCTTCAAGTTCCACTCTTTTATGTGGATTGGCATCTTCGATAGCTTGATTTTCAGTTGGCGGTTTATTTATCAATAAATTATCTAGGAATGGAGCTTGAGCATGTGATGCTAACAAGGCTTGTATATGATCATTTATCCGTTCTTGCTGATTCTTAATTACTCCCTCAAGTTCACTTTGACGTGTTATTTGCTTCTTAAGTAATTCATTAAATTGTAACTCTTGCTGTTTAAGAAGTTCTTGTTGTCTGTTCTTCATTTCCATTAAAACATTCTCTTGACTTTTCATTTGTGTTGCTACCATCAATTGAAACTCTTGCTGCTTCAAATTATTCAACGTGTTTGCTGTTTCATTCACTAACGTTTCCATTATTTGTGGTTGGTTCCTAAGCAGCGCAGAGCTTGTTAATGTATTCTTTGACTCTAAGCTTGTTACATTTGATGATACTGGTTCATCTTCGTGCTTCTCATCAGAATTTTCCGTAACATGAATGGCAGGGGATGACTTTAATTTTGTAAGCGGCGTCGAGCTTTTGTCTTGAGTTGGGTCATTAAAAAGCCATTCTGAACCGGTATTGCTTTTGCGTGTTGTTTTGGCTTCAACCTTTTTTATCTGTTCTTTTTCTTTCTCGTTAGGACCAAATAATCCCAGTGGATCACTGAAAACAACAGCTGACTGTCGACGCCCAGTTTTACGTGCGGCTGAAGGGTTGTCGTAATTTATATTTTCTGATATCGTTTCTGAGGTTGTTTGACGTGAGATGGTTGCTTTCATAGGCACTGTTGGTTTTGAGGATAATTGACTTTTAGTAGTTGATAAAGAACTTTCACCTATACCAAGAAGTTCGTCTAAAATGTTTCCTTTTTTCCGCGGCTTCTTTGGATCAAAGCCAAGTTCTGACGTCAAGCTGTCGTTTGACTTTGTTTCAATCTCATTCTGCGGTTTTGGCTGCAACCTTTGATGTTCAGGTTGTGCAGCTGTTGTCGATCGTTTTGGCAAACTTTTCGCTGGTGATGTAATTTCTCCAGAGAATAATTTCAATTCACTTGATTTGGTTTTAATTGCCTCTCTTTTCTCTTCTTCAATGCCAAAAAGTTGCTCCATTTTCTTGCCACTCGCTTTTGCATCTTTTCTTTCAATTTTCGGGGTTGGTTTTTTAACTGGCTCGATTCCAAAGAAGCTATCATTACTACCGTCACTTAATAAATCACCTAAAGGATCGTCGAGATCTAAATTCATTATTCAATTGAAGACTAAAATGCAAGCTTTAAACTGACTCAACGAGACCCTTGAAATAAGTTTATGTTGATTTCAATCTGTTGCTATGGCGACCGTTGCTTTACAACCCGACTCAATGCTTCTTCCACATCAACATAATTTCTACAATTATTACGGTCACTGTGGCATTAAACCCTTATTTAACATCGTGTTAATGCATTTATTTTTTTTTGTTATGTAATTGTAGATATGGTGAAACAAATTTCTCTTTTGAAAAAGAAAAAAATGATTTATCAACATTTTCAGACAAATATTCCAATGCAAATTCTCAAATAGACATGTATGAAGATAATTCACAACTGCATTTCAATTGCCTCGAAGCATTTAAAAATAAATTGTGGAGAAGTTCAGGACACAAAACTCTTTCCATGAATTCAGAAAAAATTTATAAATTGACTAACATTTTAATTTTCCACTGTTGTTTATTTACGTACATTTTTTTAATTGAGTTTAATTGAGAAACTGAAAAGCACATAATTGAAATCAATAATATTTTTCATGCCCTTATAACTTTTGACTGATTCAAAACCTTCAATAGTGGCTTTAAATTATTAACAACTTCAGATTGAATCAAAAATAATTATTTATAAGAAGAATTCAGATGAATGCAATTGAAAACTTCCAAACTATTAACAGTAATAAAATTACATGCTAAAAGTTTATTTAATCTCATTAATTTCTGTTTATCATCATCACACTTCCCCTAACAATAAGAATTAATATTTTCCTTTCACACGTGCACAGCTTCCTAACTAAACTCCAACTTGTTCAAGTGCCACCACTCGCTAATTCCAACATTTTTTACCATTTTTATTCGAATAAAACATGACCCGTGTGCTTACACAGCAATAAATCAAAAGAATGAAAATCAATTGGCATCTTTTCTCACTTCGTTTTACGACCGTTGAAGGAGACATTATTGCATTATCATACTGATGGATTTCTACATAAATTTCGTTCATGATTCAATTTCCGATTTGATATCCGTGATGCAACGGAGGCAATAAAACGTATATAATGAGAGAAGGGAAATCGAGCAAGACTCATGAGCTTGAGCATTCGTCGAGTTAATTCGAAAAGAACTTTTTATTCGTCTCATTTATCATACTCACATGATTTGCGCATTTTTACGTTTCGATGTCTTATACTACGTGTTTATGTTTGAGATCGGCTTTCCTAGAAATATGATACGAATTTTCCTTTTCCTTCAATCAAATTGCTTATAAGAGGAAACTTTCTGTAGCGTTCTAGAGATTCAAGATTGAATATTTGGAAGGGAGAGCAAATTATTGCTGCATCACGAACCAATTTCTTTTTTCATGCAATTTTTATTGATGATTTGAGTGTCATGATTTGTGAATTTCCCTTCATTTTCCATAGTTTATCTCATACATAAATTAAATTGATTTCAATTAAATTAAAAATAAAAATTGTTTTCACAACTTTCAATGTTTTCCTTAAGTTAATTAATTTTTATACGTTTGTGATTTATGAGAACCTTGAAACATAAATCAAAAATCTTCAAGGCTTACCGCCTGAATAAAGAAAGGACTATCCGATTACATAAACAAGCACATCGACATATTTCTCAACTAAGCACTCATTCTATATTGGAAACTGATCAGAATCGATTATGTTGCCTTTTTTCTTAACCCTTTTTCTTAAATTGCAATGCAAGCTGGAAGAGCTCGTCCCACAATAAACGTTGAAGTCGTAATTCTCTTACATAAAGGTTGGAAATTACACGAAATATATTTCCGGGTTCATCGAGAGAGTAGTGACATGTTATTTAATTAAAAAATATAAAACTGGAAGAATGTTTCTCGAACCTTTTAGCCTTTCGTCGCTTCTCCACTTTTTCGCTTTTCATATATATGAAAATGAAATTTAAATTCAATTTGAAAGCGCAATCACGAGGATATAAAACAGAAAGGAAGGAATCCGGAAAGCGTTTCAATCACTATTCGGAAATAATCCTGAAAAATGTAAATCTCTCCATTTCTATTCAGTATCTTCCAGTATGAAATGACATAAAATTAAAGTTTAAATGATAATTTAGTTCTCTTCTATGTTTTCATTCATGTGAGTCTTTAGGTTGGCTTGGTGTTCAGAACTTTCTCTTTGAATATATTCACTGCACAAAAGTGTTTGACATAAAATTTTCCATGTAAGTAATTTTTTACTGCATTCCTTAAAACGTAATCAAGATTTTATAAATAAGCAACAAATGTGAATAACATAATTATCCAGGTTTTGTGAAATTAGAAATTAAAGCTATGAGTAATAAAATAAAATATTTTTCCTGTTTTTAATGCTTCAATCGTTGCTGCAATTTTAAAGTGCAAACATTTCATTTCTTTAATAATTAAAATTACTTGATTTGATATTCTAAATAAAAAAAGATTAAAGATAACTGCATCACTTCACTTCTGATTAAGCTTTAACTGAACATCAACTGACTATGCGAATAATTTTACTTCCACTTGAGATAACAAACAACCGAATCAGCAAAATATTTTCTTTTCCCTCTCAATCGAATTTTTATTTTTCTCATCAAATTTTATTACGAACATTCTTATGGAAGATGCTGCCACTATCAGATTTTTTTTCTGATTGAATCATGCCCGAGATTTATGACCTCTCCATAAGTATTTATAGATATTTCAATTAAATATGATATGCGTGAGTGCGCTTGAGTAGATTCTACTATAAATTTCATGTTTTAATATTGTGACGGTCGTGGGGGAAAACTGATTGAAATTTGAGATGAAAATTCTTGTAGGGATGATTTTAAATCTAACGAGTGCAGTTATAATCACAGATTATCAGTGAAATGTTATGTCAAGTTGCATTAATAACGATTTGAAATGAATCTCTAGAAAAGTAAGAAACATTATCTCACTAATAAGAATAATTCCACATTTTGCATGTCCAGCAACATTTAATTTTTGTTATTTATTCTGCTATGGAACTTTAAAAGCGCAAGTATTAAAAATATATTTACATGTTGCATGCAGCATGCAACTCAACGAGTGATTAATGTGAATTTTGTAAGCACTTTCCATTACAGTGGAATTTCCATTAAAGGCTAATTGAAAATTCTAAAACTTTAAATTGAGAGAAATGATTAGAAATTGATTGAAACTTCACTGTGAATAATGTAAAGTTTTAAATTGATTCTCATTATTTTCATTATCATTATTGTAATTTGCTTCACTTGACTCTTAAAATTATTGTTTCAATTTCAACTACCGTCTCAATATAAATTTATTGTCGTAAAAGCCTGCATCATTGCTCAAGAAGCATTGATTGAGTTGTGCAAAAATAAAACAAAAAGAAAAATATTTAAAATCATGAAAGTTCTCTCAGTATTTATGATGCTTGTTTTCGGTACATTCGGCGGAAATCTGCAACATTACGATCGTGAATTGTCGACAATTAAACTGCTGTATTATAGTCCCACGTAATTAATGCTGAACACGAGAAAGCAATTTGAAGAGAACAAAAGCCTTTAAAACTAATGATTATTTCTTTATTGTTTGGCATTTTTCAGCATCACCTGGTACGATGATCCAATTGAGATAACGCGAGAATGGAAATACGTTGGTGACATTTCCCCTTCTCGCAAATATTTAAAACTTCTAATTCACGGTTGGAATGCTGATTCAGATCACGTTGCTTTGGAAACTGTTAAAAATTCCTACATGAAGATTAATACGAGTCACCTTCTGATGGCAGACTGGAGAGAAATTGCAAGTATGCGTTACATAACAGCTCGTGAACTAATTCCACTCATAGGAAAGCAGATTTGTCAGCTTTTAAGAAAGTTTGTTGAACAAGCTTTAATCGGTCCCGATAGGATGCACATTATTGGTCACAGTTTGGGCGCACATATTGCGACACATGTTGGACGATGTTTTAACGGAGAGATTTCCAGGTATAAACTTTAATTAATTTGCAATGTTCGAGATGAATTATAAACGAAATGAAGAGATTCAAATTCTATGCACTTCTAAGAATGACAGCATTGGATCCGGCTGGTCCACTTTTCAACTCAATCAGTGTCGATGCACTTAATAAGAATGACTTTAAATTTGTTGATTCCATTCACACATCAGCGGGTTTTGCAGGTGAATTTGAAATGAGGTATGCAAATATTATTGTTTAATCAACAATAACAATCAATTACTTTTAATTAAACTTCAGATCACATGCAGATTTTTATCCCAATGATGGAAAAGCACCGCAACCTGGTTGTGAGCTTCTTGACGTTTTGACTTTGTCAGGTTGCAGCCATTTCCGAGCACCGCTCTATTTCTCGGAATCCATTTTAATTCCTCAATCGTTCAATGCATTTAAATGCGATTTATTGTTCATCAAATCACAAACATGTCTCAATTTCTTCAATGCATCTGACATGATTGTCATGGGTGAGCAAATTGACAAAAGGTATTGACAATTTCACTCTTAATTGAGATAATTAGAATCCATTATTTCAGGATAAGCGGTTCGTTCTATTTGGAATCATTTAGCACATTTCCATATGGAAAAAGTTCATACCCAGCGATAAAAGAAGTTTAACGAACAGCTTATGCATTAAATTGAGTGAAAATTCTTTTGCAAATGGTTTTTTTCGCTTTAAAACACTCGGCCATTCATTAAACATAAATTATTTATGTGCAAACATTTCTGATGACTATCAAACGAATTTCACATCTTGTTATAATTTTGTACATGATGTTCAAATTTCAAATGTGCATCATTTATTAAATTTCTTAGAAGCGAAGATAACCCAAGATTAGTTATCGAATATTTAACAATGTTCATTATTAGATATGTTGATACATATCATTGAGTATGTAATTAATATTTGATTAGGCTCTTAGAAGAAGCAATCTTCAATTTAAGATATCGATACATAAATTAACTTTTCAATTAGATTAATCTTCCATCTTAAATTTTGATGAAATGAAATTGATACATTTTTGTTATATAAAATGTATTGCTTCGTATGATATTACTATTTAATAGCTAATATAATCAATATTTTATAAGCACACATGATCAAAGTTCGTGATTGCAATACTTGCCAGAATCTCATAAATAAAATTTTCCTTGAACATTTTGAATTCACTTCATAATAGTTGAAAATTTACAAAACTTGCTTCTGAATTAAATTGAGGTAAATTTAACTTTAAAATTGATTTATTTTCGGAAGCACATTCGTAAATAACTGATTAATTTTAAGATATAAATTATCCACATTTAAATAAACGAAACAATGAAATAAAATTTAATTCATGTTAAACGACAGGTGCAATTATGAAATTAAAAATATGAAATTTCTTTTTTTTTGGTTTTTCAACTTGATTCCGAAATTTGGGTAGCAAAAAAAGAAAGGAATTTTAATTAAAATAATCACAAACTGGGACTTGGAATTATAATGAAAAGTGGTAATAAATGACATAATTTGGGAAATGAATTGAGCTGTTAGTTGGGCATAAGATTGAAGAGATATTGGAATCAGAATTAAGTCAGGAAACATGAAACGAATGTCATAAATTATTGACGCCAAGACAATCTCTCAAGATTTCAAAGTTTTGCATTGAACTTTATTATTAGAAACGAGACATAAACTGAATGACAAGAAGAGTTCTCTTAAAGCACTAAGCATTCAATCGAATAATGATTGAAATGGTAAAATATTATAATCAGTAATTAACCTAGAAACGTCTCCAAGGACTTTCAATAAAATTTTGCTTTGAACACTCTAAATACTTAATCAAAGGCAAAAGTTATCTTTATAATGCAATCAAATAGTTCCAGCAATAAAATAAACTTTTTTTTCAATATCTACGATTCTTAAAATATTTGGGAAATCAACTCAGATAAAGTTTTCAGAAAATGAAGTCAGTTTAAAATAAAATGAGTCATAAACTGAAGTTAGTTTGAGAATAAAATTTGAACATATTCTTTTAATATAATTCACGATTTAAACTAAAGCAAAGTTTGAGGGGGGAAAACTTTTCCAAAAGCTTTAAGCTCACAATTGGAAAATGTAGAACTATGAAATTTGTTATTTATTGAAAACATTATGGTCCTCAAGCTTCATTGATAGTTCAGACATTAAGAGAAGGAAGAAACTTCAAATGATAACCATTCAAGTGTACGAATAGTTTTTACTTTTGATAGCAGTGGGATTAATAAAATCATAATTTAAAATGTTTATTTCTATTCCAAATTTAAGACTTATCTTATTTCAATAAATTCAAACTTGTTCTTAAAGTGAATGTAAACACCAGAAAATTTCTCATTATTTTTCTCTGTAAATTTCTAATGTTTTGTGAATTCAATTTGTTCCTTAAATATGTTGCTTATGACAGCTTGTTCATATTTTAAATCGTTTATATTTCTTCAATCAACAGCAGGAGAACAAACGTTCAAATAAAATTAAGCGCTAAACCAAACAAAAGAATCGCAACCGTGGAATTTTTCTGAAGAATTTTCTTTTATGTAAATTCATGTTTAAACAAAAGCCACCAAACCAACGCTAGGACAACGATGTTGGAGCAACAAAGGAAAATAGACGGAGAAAACGCGCGTGAAAATTAAATGTAATGCTTCTTTTATCTCCAAGCCAGAAATCTCGCAATGTGATGTTGCAGCAGTGAACAGGGAGCAAGAGCAGATGAATTTTCTACTCCAACATTCAAATCACGTTTCGTTATCAAAACAACAGCGGATAGAAAGATGAGCACAGAGAGAAAAAAAAGGAAAAGGAAAATTATTGTAGGACCTTTTCCTTGAGGCTGCCACATGAGGTAATGTCGACGAAGGCGTATAAAATAAAATAAAAAAGAAATTCAAATGTTCGAGAGCATGATATATCACACTGAATAACCGAGCTTAAGAAAGAAACGAGGTCTGAGTAAGTATGGAAAGCAAGAAAAATTGTATGTGCTGCAAGCTTTAAGATAGAGCGGAAGACGAAGAGAACGAACATACAAGTTACATGTGAGTTACATCCAAACAAGCATCTAACATTTTTGGTATGCCGGAAAGAAGCGCGGCAGAGAAATTTGTGTGAAAATTTATATTCTCGCATAATTTTTATCTTGCGCTTCAACCTTCGTAAGATTTTTCTGTCGCAAATCAGTGGCACGTTCCTTTGATTTTGACGCTAATTCGAAGAAATTTATTGTAAGCGAATAACAGATCACGACAATATTTTTCTCTAACATTCTTTCTTTGCTCGCAATAAATTATTAAATTTTCATAATTTTTAACGTAAATTTGAAATTCATAGCTTATCATTGGGAGTGGGAGGATAAAAATAAGAAAATGACTTGATATTATGAAGCCTTAGGTAGATATACGAATAATATCAAAGTCAAAAGCGGAAAACTTTTCCTACCTTAGATTAATGGAAGTCTTTTTTAATGTTTAATGAAGCACAACGTGATGTAGAACGGATGACGATATTCTAAGAAATTCACAAAGCATCAAAAAGAAAAATGTCAATTAAAAAAGTGAAAAGAGTAAAGAACCATTTGGGTTTTTAGACTTTCAAGCATTTCTACTAAATAAACCTTTCTGATAATTGAACTTCATGAATAAAATAACTTTTTTTTGATCCCTTACTCTATCATTGTTTGTTAATTCACACATGATGTACACATCTATAAATACAGCATAAAAACGTATCGTCAAGAGTGTTTGTGTTTATTTCTAGCAGTTGACAAGATTAATTCGACATTTTCTGTCAATTTATCACTTTATAAAAGATATTTTTCATTTATTTCCATCGTTTATGATACCCATCAGCTCATTCTTTATGATGTCTGCTTTTATATTAAATATAAAATTTGAACAATATTCAATGTTCTGCAGAAGTTAGAAAGAAATTTTCAAGGAACAGCTGCACTTTTTATGAGATTTTTGAGATTAAATCTTATTCAAATTGAAGTTAAAGTCAACGCAAAAGTACATTCTTGAAGTGTTTTATTAAAAATCATCCTTAGAAACATATTCCGCATTACTTTTCCTAATAAGAGTCATACAAAGTTCAAATAGCATCACACATTCAATTTATAACTTGAAACCGTTCAGTGAAACATGCTTGTAAATTTTACTAGTAAAAGTTTATGTTCTTCTGAGAATTAGGTAATCGATTCTATGAAAGAAAATATAAAACTAGAAATTTAACACATGAATAAACAATTTAAATACTTTGTGATTTCAACATCCGGTTGTAAATAGTTTGTTAAACTTGTATTGAGTATTAAAGAGTTTGTGAAAGATAAAAAATGAAATCGTTTGGTTATTTAATGAATTGCTGAAAAAATATTCATGTCCATGATATTTGCATGAAGCTCGACACAAATAAATAAAAATTGTAAGAAAAAAGTTTCTGGTTTCACATTTGAGAAAAGTTTTAGTTGCCAACATATCTGAGGTTTCAAGTAGTAACCAACAATTCATTGAAAACTCATGCTTACGGACTTTCAAACTTCTTCTCGTAACATCAACAAGCTAAAGCTTTGAGAAATCCACAAAATTCCAATTTTTTATAACAAAAAGCGACGGGCGAGTGTGAAAAAGTTTTGATTCAATTTTATAAATTGATTTTTCGCCTTGAATATTTTTGGAGTTGGAAAACTTTGGCATCAGCCTTGATAAGTTGAAAATCAATTTGACGTTGAAAAGTTCATCGTTAGACTAAATAAATCATGTTTTGAACTCGACGTGGATTAACAAAAAATCAAACGAATTGCTTGAACTGTAATGATCGAATTTGTTAAATGCTTCAATGAGTTACAATGTCTAACGATTTTTTTCCGGCCTCGTGGCCAATTACCTTTGATATTTTTCTTCCTTTCCATTCTTAACGATTCTCCGAATAAAAGAAAATTGTTAAGTCAACTTCAAATTGATCATTATTTTAAAATTGCTAGGAGAATAAATGCTTCTAACATATAATAATGGCCACTGAAAGAAAGGAAACTCACACTTAGATTGATTTTAAATTCTTAAGTCGATGGAGGAAGTAATACGCTTATCACTTGTCGAAAACCATCATTCATAAATCATCAAACTTATATCTGTAACTTTTCATCATTCTAATTTTAACTCACCACAAAATTCATTTAAAACCAAAGCAATTTTCTCAATTTGAGATTTATATAGTTTCGTTTACGTGGGTGGTTAATAAAAATATTGAATTTCAATTTACAATGGAATGAAAATTTTTCATTTTTGCGTTTTATAATCCACTTGAATTCTTGTAAATGTTTAAACGTATTCGAGAGATATTAAATGAGATGAATGAATTATTATTGACACGAGCAGCAACTTTTCCTTTTCCACTTCTAGCTTCGGAAATTTCAAGAGATAAAATAAGTGATATTGGAGAAAACTTTGCAAATTATTCCTCTTCGAGTAGTTAAGTGAAAGCAAAAGTTTTTCGACGGATGATTAATTACTACTCGTTTATAACTTACGCTGTGAGAATATTTTATTTGCCGCAAAAATACGGTCGATGTCTCGACATAAATCAATTCTTTTATCCTTGCCATCCAACAGTCGCCTCTCTCATCTATTCTGTTTCCGTTTGGGGAGCAATTAATTTAATAATAAAATTCAATAATGTGCGGTATTAGTTCCAAGACAGCTCATTAAGACACTAGGGAAATGATGGTGGATAATGAAATATATTTAGAACGCTACTTATTCGCAATTAGAACAGATTTTTAATTGACGACAGCAGAAGAACTTTTGAATGGGTTTTCTTTTCCCGTCTTTTATGTACTTGAATGAGTTATCGATTCTTCATTTGAAAACAGAAAAGAAGAGTTCGCTGATTCACTCATTTCAATTCATTTTTCATTTCATTTCAAAAATATAAATTTTATTCAGTTGAAAATTGCAAGAAAGAAATTTTTAATCAAATTTTGTTATGACTTATCCTAATCTTCTCATACAAATGTTTTTAGGCAAACATGAGAAAATAATTCAGAATAAAATCGTTACATCAATCACTTCATCTATCATAATGCTTGTTTTTATGATGAGCTGTAAAGTTGTCTTTTTTTATATCTTTCTACATAAGACATGAAATAACATTCGCGATGAAATCTTTTCCAACTAAATTAAGCAATCTTTGAAATTGCCAAGCTTTCTGTTTCCATATATTTTCAATTACAATTCTATTTTGTATATCTACATTTTTTATTGCTCTCATCGTTTGACATCAAACATTCTCAAGAGTTCAAAAAATAATCAAATTTAAGTATTTCTTAGATGAAAATAAGTTAATTAGAGTTGCGAGTTTGTAAATATTTTTCGGAATACATATATGAAAATATTTAAACACTCCTGTGAAAGGAAAACACAGAAAGAAAGTCAAAGTCATCGACCGTTTTTGTAATATTCATAATGGCATTGTTATTAAGTAATTTAGTCATACAAATGACGCTTTTATAAAATCAAAAGATCGTAGATGGGACATTAGAAGGTGTGTTTTCCAACAATTCATTGAAACTTTTATTATGTAGGAAGGTGACTGATACTTTGAGACTTCTCCACCCCATCTCAGTTGTTATCGTAAAGTTTCAATATCAATTTGAAACCGAAACTAAAACTATTTATCTACATAAATAAATAAATACTGAACAACTCACTTGAAATGCTTTCATTCTTTTTCTATTTAATATATTAGATTTGAATTAACTCGAGTGAAATTAATTTGTTTGCGTTACTTAAGTTAAACATGCTGTGGAGAACCATTAAAAATGACATTTTAAAAGCAAAGTTTAAGCAATTTATCATTTGGCATCGTTCAAAAGTTTTAAAATTCATCATGCAATCGCATTTAATGACTTTATTAATGTATAATGGTAAGGAAGCGTGTTTAAGTTTCTAAAACGTTGCCAAGGATGCGCAAAAAAGGATGAAAAACTTAGTAAAACTTAATTAGTTTACTGAAACGGAATACATGCTTTGAAAAAGGGTGAATGAAGGGAGAAGAACTGAAATAGGAAAACTCAGCTTTTCTTGTTTACAATTTTCTTTAACGAAAACCGTACAAAGACTTGTATCATTCAGTGAGAACTTCAACAACTGTATAAATAAAGCTTCGTTTCAAAAGATTGAGGATGTTTTTCTGAATAACTAAGCTATAAAGGATATGTTAGTATTGTGTAGACAAAATGTAGAATACTTCTCTGTTACAAGTTGTAAAGTTCCAGTGATTTACAAAATAATCATTGAATAGTTTTACTTTAAAGTTACCTGTCTGTGCAATTTTTTTTAAGAAATCGGTTGAGTGAAACATCAAAATTGATGCTTTTAAAGCCACCACATTTGCTACAACCAAACTCAATATTTCAATCTGCAATTTCAATGTTTACATGGCTGATAAACTCTGTGAAAATAAATTCAATTAATTACTATTGAAACAACTACTGCTTTCTTTTAAATGTTAAATTATTTACAAACTATTTTAAAAAATACAAAACAGAAGTTCGAAGGAATTGAAAATATTCCTGAAAAATTTAGACACTAAAACCTCGATAAATTTTTCGTATCTAAATTTCAATTCATAAATATTAAAAATATCTTTTTTACTATCTTTGTAGATAGTTGGTTGGAAGCCAAATAAACACACATAACTTATACATAAATGTAACACAACATAACAACATCCTCTGTTTCTAATTTCCAACAATCTCCGTACATATACACAAGTTCAAGGACATAAATTTTTCATTCTTATTTATTTTTATGCTGCTTCGCTTGTTTCTTTTTTGCTTTTGTAATATTCAACCTGCTTTAAGAAATATCTCACTTTATCAATTTTTTAGAGATGAAAGGAGCGAAAGTGTTCAACAAAAAAGTATCAAGTGCAAAATTTTGGAGCACTCACGAATTATGAATAAGAACATTTCAATGTACGTTACATTCAAAAAGAGTTGTAAAAGAGAAAAGCTTTGAAGTTGAAGTTTCCAAGCGTATGTTAGGAATTTTTCCTTTACGACATTCAACGCTGAGATGTATCTTGTATACATATACCTTATGATGATATCTAAGACAACATCAAATATCTGGAATATTAAAAACATGAAAAAGGATTCCGGGAAATATATTGAAGCTGATATCTATCCTAAAATTTGAAAGCTTCGAAATGAGAATTTCATGTTATCAATTTTAAACAAATTAAATTTTTTTGTAGCAATAAAAATTTCATTATTTTGCTTTTGTTCTGTTTTGTTGCAGAAATTTTTAATCACAATTTAATTCGATTAAATAAATTTAGTTTTTATCTTTTTAATTTGACATTTGAAGGAAACAAAAAGTTTATTTTTTCCCAGAATTGCGATGGTCTTGCATTACTATCTTCATTGAATTGTAACCCAAAGCATTTCAATTAGCAATCCTGAAACTGTTTCCATTCGAAATATTTTTCAGGAACTTTATTAATTCTCATGATGATGAAGGGGGATGAAACTGAAAGAACAAAGTTAAACCAGCTGGATAGTGGTTTTTACATGTATGGCAAGTGGTCTGTTGGACATAATTTCGAATGAGTGTTTTCCCCAATGGGCAACGTCAGACAAATATCTGGAACTTAAAATCCGAAATAATTACAAAATTTTCATATGGTCGTTGAAATGTCTCAACCTCTCAACTGCAATTTTTTACGACCGCCATTAATTTGAATTAAATGAGACGATCTGTTGGCTAATCCGTATATTTTACGATCATAGAGTTGAACATTTTCCGTATTCAACTCTCGAGTTAATTTCTTTGTTTGACACACAAAAAAACAAACCGAACTAATGGGAGGTTGGGTAAGAAAATAAATGCGATTGTTGCCAGAAACATGACTAGTTTCGACTGGGCTATAAAATCGACTAAATGATTGAATTAAATTTTATAATTCCATTACTTTATTCACAATCTGAGTCAATGTAAAACTTTTTCTTAATCGAGTCAAAGCGCTGCATGTTACCTACTTTAATATTTTCTATTGAAGCATAGACAGAGTAAAGTTTAGTGAAAATTATTTTCTTACATAATCCAAATTTCTAGAGGTTGACTTTATAGAACGAAAGCAAAAAAAATATAAAATAGCTTAATGAAATTTTACCGCGAACAAGGAAGAGAGCGTGAAATAAAGTTTTTAATTTTTCAATGTTTCTAATAGCTTTTTTTGGTTGTACGTTTAATACAACCAGATGGTGTGGGCAAAAAAGCTTAAACATCTCTCGTGTCTGGTAAAAACATAAAAGTTTCGCCTAATCAAATCCAACATGATAGCACTCGTTGATACTGTTGCCCAAAGAAAATTTCTGAAAACTTTCTAACTCCCTATTCATTCCTCTTTAGACGAAAGAAAAAAAAGGGTGTGAAGCTCAAAGTTTATCTTTACGACTTTCGCTTTGACTTTCGTTCTCAATTTTAGAAAGCTTTTTCTGCTTTTAAAATAATTTTTATTTCATTTTCGATTAGTTTAGAAAACACACTAAAAAACACGAAAGACAGAAACAGAAGTGAAAACTTAATGGATGGGAAAACTAGAATAAAATAAAATATCTAAAAAAAATGAAGAAGAACTTTTCTAAGGGCATGAGAGCGAATCGCTTTATGGACAGCATTATGCCATGTTTTTTATGTGCGCTCGTCCAGCAATGTAAAGTCGTAAGGATCGTTTTATACTGCTTTTTATTTTCCACTCTTTCTCGTTTCAGTGCGACCGTAAATTACCAAAGAATATGATGAAAAACAAGGCTTGGGGTAAAAAAATGAAGGGGTAGAAAAACAAAAGAACGAAAGTAACTTTAGGAGTATTTTTAAATTGTTCCAATTGCCTTTCGGTCATGTTTTTATGGATAAGGACAAACAAAAAAGGAAAGAACTGTAAGTTGGGGATTATTGTTCGAGCTTTGAATGCTTTTAAGCATCACCTTAAAACAATTTTAATACATACTAAGTTGATTTATTTATTTATGAGGAAAATAATCTCCTTTTTTATGATTTCCCTTGAAGAGTAGTAAATGATGTAATCATTCTTTGAGATTCTCTTAATCAGATGCTATCTGGAAGTAAATTCAACTTGCACATCTAGGGAAACCATAAAGTCGGACATCCTGACAAATCATCCAATTTTCCTGACAATTTCTTCTCTGGTCGAACAAATAATAAAACTTTGTTAAACTGTAAACTCTTTAAAGCTTTAAACGAAGGTCTGCATACGTTGTAACCCTTTTTTCCTTATCCCACTGATATAATAGCTCCATAAAACTCTTACAAGTACCCAATTTAGTTTGCGCTCCAGGTCTCTTAACTTCATCAAAATGAAATCGTTTTCATTGCATAAAATGTTTTTTCTCTCATTAGTTTTTATTTTTAATTCTCCTAGCATTTCTAGAAAATCTGTAATAACATAGAAGTTTACAAATATGCTCGTACACATCTATTGTTGCCTAATGAGATGTCATAATACAAAGCAAGCAATAAATAAAAAAATTCCACTTGCCATGCGACAACAAAACTCAAAAACTTTTCATAGCAAATTTTTTTAATTATAAAATTTCAATAGCAAATACAATTGAAACCATCTAAAAAGATTGTTTTTCATAAAATATTAATAAATGCACTTTATCAGGAAGACAATGTAACAAAGTTGCTTAGTAACTTTGAAGCTGAATGATTTTATTTCATTGTAGGCATGGAAACGGCAGCTTGGGTATGAGAAACGTCAGTATCGCGCCAAAGTTGTGTAACAGTCTTCGTTTGGGTGTAAAATTTGATTCCTTGCTTTCCATAGCTGTTGATGAAAATTAAAGATAAAAAAATGTTTCGTGAAATTTGATACAATTTTCTTGATGGACTTACAAATGTTCAGAACCCCAGAAGCTTCCTCGACTACCTGTGAAGGAGAACATCGGCAGTGGAACAGGAATTGGAACGTTAACTCCGACTTGTCCCACGTCAATTTCATTCACAAACTTTCTGGCTGTAGCTCCGTTGGTCGTGAAAATTGCTGTGCCATTTCCATAGGGATTTTTGTTAATTATTTCAATGGCATTGTCGAGCGTCTCTGCTGACAAGCAAACTAAAACTGGGCCAAATATTTCCTCTTTGTAACACTTCATTGACGGTAAAACGTCAGTCAATATTGTGGGACCGACAAAGTTTCCTTTTTCAAATTTCTCAACTTTAACATTGCGACCATCAAGAATGAGTTTGGCACCTTCGTCAACACCTGACTGAACGAGACTCAAAATACGTTCTTTGGCTTGCGGTGAAATGACAGGTCCTACATCAACGCCAGGCATATGTCCCGGACCGACTCTTAATTTAGCAGCTCGTTCTACAAGTTCTGGAATCCATGCACGAGCTTCACCAACAAAGATTGCCGTTGAAAGTGCCATGCAACGTTGACCAGCAGCACCGAAGGCAGCACCAGCAAGTTGATTCAATGTCGCATTCTTATTCGCATCAGCCATCACAACGCCATGATTTTTCGCTCCCATATTTGATTGCACGCGCTTTCCATTCTTGCAACCGCGTTCGTAAATGTATTTGCCAGCTTGATCCGAACCAACAAATGAAATCGCTCGAATATCAGGATGATCGCAAATGAAATTAACAGAATCATGAGCACCATGAATAACATTGACAACACCGGGAGGACAACCAGCTTCAGTCAACATTTCCATCAACAACAAAGTTGCACCTGGATCCCTCTCAGAAGGTTTGATGATGCTCGTGTTGCCGCAGGTAATCGCGACTGGGAACCTGTGTTAATTAATTACAAAGTCATTTTATAAGATAAAAACAATTCTTGGAATTCTTACATCCAAAGTGGAATCATGGCTGGGAAGTTGAAAGGCGTAATTCCAGCAGTAACACCTGTGGATGTAAAAATGTTTCTTGAATTATTAACTTATAAAGTTAAATATTTAATTAATGCTTATGTCACCTAAAGGAAGAGTGTAGGAATAGGTATCCATATCCTTGGCTATATTTGGCATTGTTTCTCCCATTTGAAGTGAAGTTATCCCGCAACAATGCTCGACAACCTCTATCATTATATAAGAAAGCGTTTAATTAAAGATTCGATTAATTAGTAAATTCACTTCTGCTTCTACTCACGCAATCCTCTCAACACATCGCCTTCAGCATCAACGTGTGTCTTTCCTTGTTCCTTTGTGATGTTCTTTGCTAACTCTGACATGTTGGCACGGATAATTTGTTGCAGACGTAACATGACTTGCTGACGGGTAAGAATTGATGTTTGACTCCACGTTTTGAAAGCGCGCTTTGATGATTCCACTGCTGCTTCCATCTCATCGTTAGTACATTTAGGAACGCGCGTTACAACTTCATTTGTTGCGGGATCATGTAAATCAATCCACTCTTTAGTTGTTGAATCCACAAACTTCCCATCGATAAACATCTTTACAGTTGGAGCAACATTTGAAGTGTTGTACGAACGTTTAAGGATGTTTCGAACCTAAATCCCAAAAAAATATTAAAAATTCGTTTCAAGTGTCATTCAAAATCATCAATTCAAGTAAAGTTATTTTAATCAACAGTTTAAATTAACCTGTCAATGACACTTAAAAATTTTTGATCCCAAAGAAAAGAAAAAAGTCAAAAAGGTGAACGAAACTTTTATAAAATTTCCTCGATTTTTGATAAAATAGATAATTGTAGATAATTTACTTACTTCAGCAGTTGCTAGTCTAAATAGTGACATGTTTGTTTACGGTGTTGTTGAACTTTATCTGGTGCTTTGATAAGATTAAATTGATCTGTAACTAAGCCGAAAATTTGTTATTCTAGCTGTCTAAATAGAACACGGATTAAATTTGATAAGTAAATAGATAAGTAAGAAAGTCAAATCAAATTTGGCCCTTAACAAATAGAACGTTCAATTGAAATAATTGACTCCAACACCGATACACTCGTTACGACATTCAGAATCCGGCGACCAAAATTATTATCTAATAGATTCACAATCTTCTTCAAAATGAAACGAAACAACTTTTTTTTCTTCATTAAACAAAACGAAAGATAAAAGCTCAGCAATAAAACTGATTACAAGATTGTTGTTCATAATTTCGGTTCACTTGAATTTAAAATTCATCGTCAAGAAAAAAAGTTTTTAATAATGAAAAGAATTTCCTACTTTCTCAATGTGTTTTTCCCACAAAAATATTTTCTCTCAATTAATAATTTATAACACTTTAGTTATTGTAAGAAATGTGTTGATTCTCAAACTTTATTTCTGTGTGAATAATTTACTGAGTTCAGAAACTCCTAATCGGTTTCGTATCCATTTGACAACTGGAGAGCTAACTACAAGTTGAAAAGTGAGAAATAAATGAAAATAAATTGAATTCCACCCACACATGTCCAGTATTTTCATCAAATTCAACACATAAGCAACTTTATGCTTCTCACAGTTTATATTCACTTATAAAAATGTTCACCGGCTTCTTTATTTATAGCAAAACGTGTTTGCGTTATCACAAAATTCATTTCATGTTCTGTTTGTGGAGCTCATTCTTCAACACACGAAAAGCGAGAAGGAAGAGAAAAATTACTTTTTCCGTTGTAAAATGTGATTTTTTTCTTATTTATCCAAAATAAAAGGGGGGAGAGAAAGAAGTTCATAAAAATGCAAATCGGTCATTAGGAAAACTTGTAGCATCATTATTTCCACACGCTCAATTTCTTTTATTACACTTTAGCATGCTTCCACACTAACTTATCCAGAGACATTTATACTTGTAGTCGAAAATCGATATGAAGAAGAGAACATCTCTGTTATTTATTTATTCAAGGTCACCAAAATCATTCTTATCGGTTAATCACCAACTTCTAATCTTCTCGTATGTTTGTCACAAGATTCGCAATCCGAATCATTTTAACTTATTCGCTGAGGTTATCTTAATCATAAGTAATTTTATCTAATAAGATAAGATGTGTTTATTTTTGCAATGAATCGGCATTTCATTTCTAAAAAGTTTTTGGAATATTCTTGCAAAACCACAGATTGACTAATAGGAAAGTCACAATACAACATTTACCTTAAATAAAATTGAAAGTTTTCTATGAAAAATCTTCCGATTAATTATTCAATCAACACACAGCACACAAAATATACTTTTGCCAGCACTCAACTACTAAACAGATGATATTCTGATGATGTAGATAGACGTGAAAAGCTTGGAGAACATGACCACACATGAATCGTTTTGGAATAATAAATTTTTTAATACTGAGAACTTTTATGTTGTTAAAGTTTTATTGCAGAACTTTAGCATTTGTATCAGTAAAAGTTTTTTGGTGAGAGGGTGGGAAATCTCTTCCTTATCTTAGCAGTAATTTACTTTTTTTAGACACATCCTTTTATGCAATAAAAAATGCAAACCATTTAAAAAGTTTTTAAATTGACTTTTGTTGAAATTGATGCCTGTGAGGGAGAATAAAACGTGAAGTCTTTTTATGTCGACTCAGAGGGAATAAAACTCACTTCGTTCTGTTGAATCACAAGAGTTGCAGCTAATGTAAAAAAAGCATCAACTATTATTGGCTGTTTTTCAAACGTAAGAACCTAAGGAAACCATTTGATTAAAATGAACACAAAAAAAATCTCTCCGTAAAATATTTTTCCCTGTGCCCCTGGTTACAGTTTGATGAAAATTCTTTCATCTTCTTCTTTACCCCATTTACTCGAGTTGAAGATTTTTATGACAAATACTACGAATTGTTGTTGGAAACAAATATTCGTGATGTTCAGAGAAAGATATTTTCACCCAGGGACATGAACAGTCTTGATTATAAAACAAATGATTTAAGTATCTTGTATAAAACAAATTAAGAAAGATATGTTCTTAAATCCCCGTCCCAAATGATTTCATTCTGTTTATGTTTCCTTGGAATAGCTTGAAAAGAATTATACTTATGCATGCAGGAAATTTCTTAACAACTGGGGTCGTGACTCAGCTCGACTTCCCTTCGAAATCTCAATCAGAATTTTAACATTCTCCAAACGAGTCAAAGCACTGTTGCTACATTCAATGGAAAACCTTGAATGGATTTCTCGGAATTAAACGTTCATTATCACGTCAAGCCTACACAAGAACGTTGCACATTTTTTTCTGGGCTGCTACAAATTTCCATTCGAAAAGGACGATAAATTTCATCTTATTTAATGGTTTAATCTCGGTCGCCGAATCACGGTCCGTTTGTTGTCATAGCATTGCATTGATACAAATTCCAAGATTGTGATTGCTATGACAATTTTATTTTGATGAATTAAAATATTTTCATTTATTTTTCCTGCTACTTAAATGTACTGTTTAAAAATGAGAAGATGGAAATTTTATGAACGAATTTCTTTAAATTGTTTTCCTTCCCTTCCAGCTTGAGTTCTTATTGTTGTTTCTTAATTAACGCGACTAATTAGAGAACTTTTTGATGTTGGCTTTTTCTGCAGAAAGGTGGACAAGAAGATTTTCCAGGAACTAATTTGTTTAATTCATCTCCAGTTTCATTGTTGTTGACGTTAAGGAAATGAAGAAATTATATTTATAAAAATTCCTTTCATCTATACTTAGAATATCATTATCAATGATTGAATTGAGGTTTGAATTCCTTGTCTCCTTGATACATCTCAATACTTCTTTTAGATATCATTTTAAACTCATCTGCATGATAAATACTTGAATTGTCAATCTACTACTTGGAATTTTTATTCAATGCATTCATGCAAAAGAGAATTTCTATTAAATCTCGCCATAGCAACTTTAGCATTGTAAACGAGTGTAAAATGCATAAAGGTTTAACTTTGGTTGTTATGCAAAATGATAGAACTTGTTGAAAGTTTTGAGCAACTATGTAACATTCTTGACAAGATATTAAATTAAAGTATTTAAATTGAAATATTTTCTAAATAACAAGATGATGTAATAATTGACATTTCTCCAGTGACGTCATTAAAAATCAAATTCATTTCAAANGGTTTAACTTTGGTTGTTATGCAAAATGATAGAACTTGTTGAAAGTTTTGAGCAACTATGTAACATTCTTGACAAGATATTAAATTAAAGTATAAGAATTCTCATGATAAATCTTCTCTTGTTCAGATATCTGACAAATTACTGTTCATTTGAAATATTTTCTAAATATCAAGATGATGATGTAATAATTGACATTTCTCCAGTGACGTCATTAAAAATCAAATTCATTCCAAAAAGGGAATCAAACAATTTTCGTATTCTTCTCCCTTCGTGTTTATGTGGATTAAAATTATGAAAGTAAAAAAGAGAAAAGAGCATTAAAAATGCTTTTTTATCCTTGAAACTTTATTATCATTTCTGTTCTGATACGATTCTTTTTATGTGTCTTAAGAGATTTTCGTCTGTTTTAAGCCTTTGAGAGGGTAAAAAGAAATGTTTTGAGCGTATTTTTGTTTAGCATAAAAATAAAATCTTGACTCTTTTGCAATGACAGTGATGGCAATATGACGACACTGATAAAACCTTTCTTGATTCCCTTAAGGAAGGTGGAAAGTGCCATCGTTGATACTAATTTATTTCCTACGCTAACGAGTTTGAATCCTTTTGCGGATTGACAGAAGCGCTGAAAACTTTTTCACTTTCTCAAGTAGAAAGTAAAAAAATTAAGCGTGAAATTAATTTCAATTAAAGAGAATTAATTTCTCTCAAGTCGTTTTAATCTTCGTTCTTCTCTAACAGCAAGTATCGTAAAGATGATGCTTCGAATGACGGTAGCAAACCTCATGAGATCTCTAATTAATCATTTTCCACGAACATTCTTCATCAATTTGCATCTTTTGTGAGTTATTAAAGCGTGAGGCATCACAAAAGACAAAAAGTTTTATTTTTACCATCTTAACTTCCGTCATCGACGTCAGAAACTTCACATTCAAGATGCTGAACGAGCTGAAATAACTTTGCAACTGTGTAAACAGAAACTTTTCGAAAAAGGAACTGTCGCTTAGTTTCCTCACTCGCTCTCTTCTTCATATGCATTAAACACATGCTTCCCTCAATTTAAACTTTTAAATTATTTTGTCAAGAACACGGAGAAGTCTGCTCTCGGCTTTCCTTTGGGTGTTTTTAATATGCGATCTCAGAATCAAAGCAAGAAGGTATTCGGAATGAAAAACTTTTCAATTTTATTAAATTCTCATTCCAATGTCTCTCGATCCTCCATACAACTTCTTGTTCTTTGCCAGGATATTAAAATCTGAAATTTTACTTCGTATTATTGTTTTTTTTCGTTTTTAGTTCAAAAGCACTTATTGACTTCAAACGTAAGAAATTCCTTTTGCACTCGCTTATGTGGGAGTGTTTATAAGTTTGGACTCAATTTATTTATGTTTACTTTTTAATTGGCATTATTTTAAGTCTTTTTATTTCACCATTCGTAACTCTATTTTAAGAATTCTTAAGAAGTATTGCGAATCAACTTGTAAACGACCCCGAAAATTCCACAAAACTTTCTAAAGCTTAATATTTAGAGAATTGTATAGAAATGTAGGGAGGGGAACAGGAGCTGCTGTGGCAACAATTTCCATACTGATTGCTGTTGTTTAACCTCTCAATTTCGTATGATTCGACATGAAACAAACAGAATCAAGGGAAGTTGATTGGATTCGTAGTGAATGTAATCGGTGGGTGGGATTGAGAATCAGCGGGATATTTGATTTACTGCGTTGTAAATTGAGGTAAATACATATGCAAACACTGAAGAAAAGTAATCTCGTAATAGAACTGTGTCGACTTCTCTCCTTTTTTTTCATCATACTTCCATAAAGTACATCAAACAAGAAGTTTCACGAACAGACTATAAAGGAAAAGCTGAAAAAGCAAACAGAATTCTCTTTCGCGTTGTGATTTTTAATGTACATAGAAGTTTGAAGTTGAAATGAAAATGTAAAAGACTTTTACTTTGAATCAAAAACAAAACATGCAAACAGTAACATTTCTGGCTTCTTTCATTTCCGTTAGACTTTCCTTTGTTTCCACTCTAAGCGCAAGTGAATAGACGTCTGTCTCACATGAAAATTACAATGTTCGCCTTGTTTCAGTTGTTCCACCCTAAATGTGTTGTCGAAATGTTCCTGCATTAAGTAAGTAAATAACTAAGTGTACTCTAATCCTTTTTGGTGCTAGCCTCGGAAAAAGTAAAATCAAGAAACAAAAACAAAAATCATAACATTTATTAGTGCGACCTGGGGGTGAAAGAAGTAAAAATATTTTTATGACTTTTTTTATGAGCGCCAAAATTCCCATTAACAATTGCGTGATTAAAAGGAAACGAAACTAAGGAAATATCATAATGTAATGCGCGATTTTTGTGTGTTATGCCATCGTAAAAAGAGAGGCATTACGTAGTTGTTTACTGCCTCCTTTTGCTAATATTATATTCATTGCACATTTCCGTTTTCTTCAACAACGCTGAGTGAAAAACCATCAAATTTTTGCTGTTTCCATTTCACTCTTTGTTATGTAGATACTAAAACAAAACTTCAATGCATACACTTTAGCTCTCATTCATTTCATAGGTCAATTTATTTCATGAAACTTCAAAATCGGGAAATGAAACTCATAAAATAATAATTGAGTTCTTATTAATAAAACTTCGTTAGATTAAAACTTTAGAAAATTTGCCATCAATTTAATAATGGTTGTTCTAACTTATTTAACTACTTACTCAAAAACTTGATAAGTTTATTTACTTAGAAAGTCAATAATAGAAAGAAGGAAGACAATCCATCTTTGATTAAACTGAAGCTGCTATGAGTGATCACTCGTAATAAGGCGACGAAGTTATTGTCAAGCGTTAAAATGAAATTAAATTTTCTGCTTCTCTTGGATAAGTAAGAGAACTTTTTTTTATTTTATTCAATCATAAATTTTTATTTCAAGAGCCCCATCGCCTGACATGAATTTCTAAAATTAGGCGTAACTAAGCGTGACTGATTCTCTACACAATTTTCTTCTGCGAATTTTTATTCACTTTTGTTGAATGAGATTTGGAGAAAATTTGCCCTGACGTTGTTTGACTTTCTGGTTCTGTAAAGAAGTCATGTCGCCCTAGCAAATCATAATAGTCATTCAACCAGTGCGACTTGAAGCACCTTTCAATTGAACCAACTAATTTGTGTTGTGTTATTCTAAAGAATCGACTTTGCTGTTTCTTTTAAATATTTCAAGTCCAATCGTCGATTTTCTTATTTATTAGGCTTTGTAATACTTAAGAGTCTTAAAACTTTAGAGAAGATTTCATCACGAAAATATGATGAACATCATTTAATTAATGTTTTATAAATTTTTCAGTAAACTGTGATTACATGATTATTACATCATGATTAAATTTAACAGATCAAGGTCTCATTATATTTTAAATATTTCCAAAAACTTTTCGAGCTTTGAGATTTATTATGTAATACATAAATATTTAAATATTTACTTTAATATTTTCATGCTTCTGCGTGACGCAAGATTTCAAATTATCTAACATTTATTAACATTTTGACACAACTCTTTCATCTACCTTTTTTTCATCCGAAATATTACGGAAATATCACGAGGAAAGCAGGGGAATTGATTTTTTCCTCTATTTCATATCGTCGCTATCGGAGAGCAGTTTTTTATTCAGCATGAAGGAAATGTCTCTGAAATAGCATATAATAAATATCAACTTTGTGCTTTGGGTGTCATATATTTTCTTGCTTCTCTAGCGTTGCTACCTAATGGGAATCTACGATATGCGATTGGAAAGCAAAAAGAAAAATCTTAAAAAAAGGTTGAAAGTGTCGAGGTAAAAAGGGGTTGAAGTGGTTCATTTTATTAAATTCAACAAGAATATGAGGCAAATGTGACTCGTTTTGCATAATCAAAAGATTTCGTAGAAAGCTTTAGGGTAAATATTTAAGTCTGCTTCAAAGAACCTTAATAAAAAAAAGTGAAGGAAAAGAAAACCTAAAAAAAAGCAAAATTTTCTCACTTTTATAAATTCATTGATCGATTTGAATGCTTAATTTCTAGTATTTATTTCCACAATTCTCTACAAAAAATTCTTTCACTTGATGAATAATTAATGCGCAGCGAAACGGTTGTAAGAAACACGCATAAGGATAATCGAATAATTATCGCGTATATTTTATGCGAAAGGCTTTTTGCAAAATGTGTAGTTGTAGGTAGAAACTTAAAGTGAAAAGAAACATGAAGATGAACGAGATAAACCTCTAATTGGATTTGAAAATGTTAAGGAAGTTTTAAGATTGTTTGATCAATGTTTAAATCAAGTTAATCTGAAACAATTTTACATAACATGAAATTATTACGGAAGTTTTCAATACAATGTAGGTGCTTCAATAAATTTCCTTTATTATTAAGTTTAAATATTTATATGAGCACATATTTACATGTATTTATACATAATATCTTCAAGGAGCGATTTGATAGCGAGATACTTATCGTAACGTTTAGTTCTGTTAAATATTTTCTTATATAGAAATATATTTAAGTAGCTTATTTACTCAGGAAATAAAATTATTAATAAAGATTTCAAAATTTTAATTAAAGTAGATTTTGCAGCAGAAAATAAACTGAAGCTCAATGATTGAAATGAGCCAAGAAATGCTTACATGAGTTTATTCAACAGAAAGTTTAATTAGCATCATGAATAATTCAGCAAATTGCTTTCACCACCCTCTTCGGTGCCTTTTCGGTTAGATGGAAATGTGAAAATGAAGAAACTGCAATGTTGACTTGCTCCGGAATAAGCTACACTAAATTTATTTAATGTTTTTAATTTCTGTTTACGCAATGTCGATAAAAAGCCAGCAAATATGCATTAAATTCTTGATTTTTATGTGAAAAATTTGTGATGCTTTTACGATTATTGGAAAAATTTCCATTCCAAATGCCTTTTTCTCGTTTCCTTGAGTTTCAATTTTCTTTTTGCAACTCAAGTCGATTGCTTTTCTTTTCTTTCAATCTCTTGACTTAACGTTATGCATGATATAAAAAGCTTTCTATTGTTTTCAAGACAAGGAGACTTTATTTCTTCTCTTTATGAGCCAATGAGTGAAAAGTTCACTAAGAAAAACTACGGAAACGTTTTCCAAGCCAATGAGCACGATTGAAAAGGCGCCCCTCAACATGTTTGAGCTCAGAAATTATTTATACACGAAGAGAAAATTTAAAGATGTTAATTGGCAATTTCTATTCGACTTTTTATGATTTCGATATTTCTAAAAAAAATCAGAAATCTCTTAAATTGTAGTTCATGACGATGAACATTTTTTTTCTCAGTGCACGAAACTATGGTCACCTTTGATGCTTGTGTTTTCTATTTCATTCCTTTAGTTTTGTTTTTCTTTTGCCACTTTGTTAGCAATGCCTACTCGTATACTCTCATTTATTATTGCCAGCAAATGATGAAATTTGCTGAGTATCATGACAGCCGAGTAAATAACTACGTCATCAGAAATCGAAAGGCAGAAAAATTCTTTGTTCTCAATCAATCGAAATGGATTATTTGAGTCATGACCATGTGAAACATTGTAGTCATTCAATTCTTTTTTTATTATCTTTTTTAACCTTTTCTTAAATACAATTTAATTTTATCGAATCTACTCAAAATATTGTTTCAGCAAACGTCAAAATACATCTCACACAATTGCGTTAAATAATCTATTTAGGCATCAGATGTCAAAAGAAATATTTCTTGTTATTATTTGAAAGACTTACAAATAGCTCTTACTTGGCATCAAAATATTAAATAAATTTTATTTAATAAACATGCAATGAAACAGAATCATAGAAATTAAAATTTTAGATTGTAGTGTGAGTGTTGAAAATAAAAAACTTCCGTCACACCTAAACATTTTTTTTGACTTTTCTTCACAGTATCTATTTCAGGACGAATAATATTCGGTCCATACAAAAGAATCTTGATATTGATTTAACTTGAACAATCCCATACCGAGTTTATTTACTGTGTCATGGATTGAGCATAAAAATATGATTTTGTGTAAAAAGCTTAATGCAAATCCATGTTCACAAACAGCACACATAAATGTAGAACTGTTGTAATTAAAAGTATAAAATAAATACCAAATTCAAATCGACTCTCCCATAATTTCATACATTCAACATATTTTCCTTCGAGATATTATCTTCCGAAATTTCAAATCTTTCTCTGCAAATTTGACCTTCAAAACTTTCGGATGATGAAAACATTCATTAGTGAGTTATTATAAATATGTGGCATCAATATGTATGTAAGGCTTAGGAAAACATTGCTACCTGAAAGATTGTTATTGATCTCTTTGATCGGCCAATAATGTTTATATTGACCGGAAGACATTGATGAAAGATATGAGAAACAAGTGAGTAAAGTTCCCTTTCTTTTCTCTTCTTTAACGTATGATGATGTGAAGGAAAATTGCAGAGGCAATCAACGTTAACAATCCAGGTTATTACTGAAAGGAAAAGTAATAAATGCTTATGGTGGAAATATTTTATGACGCAAGCTTTTGAGGATATCACATTAATAACGTGTAAGTAATGTAAACAATTTTCTGTTCAGTCTTTTTTAAGCCTTAAAGACATTGACACTTCTGGCAAATCGAGGGAGATTTAAAAACTCTGTGCAGTCATCCAGTGACATTTCTTTAAAATAAATCAACAATTTTAACAATTCAAAGTCAAAAAAATGGAATCGACTTGAGTGAATGTCTAAAGGAATGAAAAGCTAAATGCCAAAGACAATTTCGCTTTTGTGTATCTAAATAAGGAATAGCACTTCTGCCTTTGAATATGTGTTTACTTTTTCGAGTAGCAGTATTAAGAGAAAAATGATTTTTAGCGAAAATTATGTCGAAGAAGATGAAAGGAATTTACTTGGAATTGGATTTTCATTCAATCCGCCCACCATGACTTCTGCTTTTCTATATGATTTTTTTTTCAAGAAATGATGGAAAAGAATGTCATTCAAGAAGGCATTATGAAGCGACGTGATACATCATTTTTGTATTAAATCTGCATAAAATCCAGTTTGATTATCATGAGTGATTTTTGTTGTTACATACAAACAAACATTGAGAACTTTCATTCTTATCTTGCTCTTCATTTGTAATGTGATTCGTATTGAGAAAGGAAATTTTGCGTTCAATGAAAGACAATACTCATATGGTTAGACCAACATTCAAGGGACAAACATGAAGCGTGCTAAGAATGTTTGCTTACTTTTCTTTATTAAAGTCTAAGAAGCTTCTCTATTTTCCTTAAGTATCAATTCAACAATTCCTGGTTTCGACTTAACTTCATTGCGGTTGAAGAATCATCTTTCAAGTTCATTAAAATATCATAAAATAGGTATATAAAAATTCTAATGTAAATGCAAGGTGGATATTGTTAAGGTTCATCAAGTTAAATATAACTCATTAAAATGAAATGTATCTAAGTCCAACAATTTCAGCCCACTCACAATGAATTTTCGTCAATATGGAAAAAAAAACTGGAAAGAAATTTTTTTGGATATAAACAGAAATGAAAACTGAGCTTTCAAGCATACTTTTTTCAATGTTTCGCTCTTCTCTTCATAATGAAAATTGATATGAAATTAAAACTCTTAAATGGAGTATTTCATGTCGAGAAACATGCACGGTAAAAGCTTCAAATCAGAACCAAAATTTATATTTTCATGTGAGAATCGAGACGCTTTCGTTGTTTCTTTTTTCTATCGATTGATGCGAAAGAAGGAAGGAAGCATTACAATCTATGAAATTTAATCTCTTTTCCTATCCTATCGCATGATGTTTGAGGAACGATAATTTTCCTTTTGATGCTTTGTTATAAGGAAGTTTTACACGTTAATAATTTATTGCAAACAGCACTATTTGAAGTGATGACATGAAATAATGGATATCCATAAATAAATGTCAACATTGATTACACTCACCTAGGTAAATAAAGTTTAATCAACTACCATTTTCTTAATAACATTGATTGGAGACGAGGAAACAAATCAAGGATTGAGTGTCAATAAAACAATATTAATTACGAATATGTCACTACAAAGTGCTACTTTCAACTTACAATACACATTATTACTATAAACGCTTCGATAAATAATGGATTAGATCCATTTGTGGTGTACGCCAATTACATTTGCATGTTTATTGCACGACAGATAGTCGCAATATCATCATTTTGATAAGATCATTAGTTTAACTTATCATTAATTATAACTCATAAAATAAGAAAACTTTTGAATGATTGCATCATTGCATAATTGAATAAGCCATTAAAAATTTCTAATTTAGTTAAACTTATATTTGCTGTAAGTGGAATTAGACGCAAACTTCCTTTCCCAGAGAATGTTAAGTTCATCCATTACTGAAATCGCTCAACGAAGGAAATGAAACATCGAAACAATTTGGATAGAAAGCCAAAGCAACACATTTTAATGAACCTTTTTTCACAGCCAGACTCACAGCGGGTGCCAAATTACTTCAGAATATAATCTTATAACATTCTTCTTCTGGATGCGGAAAACAGAACAAAACTTGAAGGAATGACGTCATAGAGAGATACTTTCTACAGGAGCTGGTGTCACGACAAAGGTATATAGACAAACAGTATGCTTTACGTTCAAAAACAGATGCTGATGTAATAAAATATGTCTTGCATATGATTGAGTGTAAGCATGTTTGGTCGTGGGTGTTTAAAACGTAGCTCTATAAACTTTCATATTATTTTACAAAAGCTTGGATGATATTGCTTAGCTTTATGTTTCTTCATAGCTTTCTGTTCAATATCAGAAATATGATAATGCAGTGCAAGTAAGGTAAACTATAAAAGGCGATGACTGTCAAGTTGACATTCTAACCAGATCTGCAATTTTTCATAGATCAATTTATAGAATGATCTCGAAATCAGATGAATTTCAATTGGACACTCCTAGTTGGCTAGACATGAAATTAGTTTTATGATTTATTAAAAGGCGATCGATCAGAAATGAATGTGGGAGTTATCAAGTCAATCATTTGATATTCAAATTGCAAAATTTCTTCTATTTTTACTCACTTTCAATTATTATGTTAATTATGTTAATTTATTAAGAAATTGTTTTCTTTCACATTTATAACAATCACTTTGATGAGCAGTGCAAGAAGAATCTTCATGAGGGCAAAATTATGCCATAAAAACTGTTATTCTCGTGTTTGTTGCAGATGGATGAGTTGAAATGAGAGAAAGAGAGCAAAACAGATTCGATTCTATGTCTTAAATTTATGATGAAATTTGCTACATGCTTTTGCTGTTAGTCAGTTGTTTGTTAAACCTTTTCCCTCATATGTCATCAACTTTCACGCTTCCTTTGTCGCTACAGTTTCTGACGTAAACAATTGTTGCGACGGCATTTTCTTGCTTTAAGTTTTATTTTAGGAATTCTTCATGAAACATTGCTGGATATAAATAAGAAAGGAAGTTGAAAGGTCAATTTGAGTTATTGTTTATAAATAAACGACGAATTTGGTAACATATCAGTTCAGAAAACTTTTTCTTTACGAAACCAAATATGTACATAGACAAAAACCATTAAGAATTAATAATTTAGTTGAAGTTTTCAGTTTCAGCTTATCGTGACCAGTTTTTAGTGGTCTAGTGGCATATTTTATGATAATTTCAGTTCGTGTTTCTTGCTTCAGTCAGCAAACCACGAATTTGCTATTGTCTATGAAATGGATGTAGCCTAAATTAGAAGTTCTAAGGTAGTTAAAAATGCAAATAAACAAGTGAAGTTTTCATATAAAAGGGGAGACCTACAATTATCTTTGCAGTTTGATTTTTTATTTTAAAGAAAGAAGGAAGAAAGATTGAAGTTTGATAAGAAAATGAAGTTCTTGTTGCTGTTTATCATCATTGTACTCGTGCTTACAAGTTTGTCTCATGCATCAAATGGACCTCTAGACAATCATTTGCTTAGCACCAGACTACTGGAGAAAGACCTTTTGAAGCTCAAATAGAAAGAAGTGTGTCAACCATGCAACCATTACCAGATTACATTCAATCTGTAAAAATGATGTGAAATATCGGAAACTATTTGTCTGAATAAAATTTGTCCTCTTTCTTGAAGCATTTCTTGTGTTTTACTTGGATGGTGACAAATTTTCATATCTTATCTTTAATTTAATGTTTACAAAGAACCTCATTCGTCTTAAATATTAAATTGTGTAAGTTGAACTTGTTTTGTGAATAAGTAAATTATGGTTTCATCAACATTTGTATCCATCTAATTGAAAATTTATATCTGCGTTTCAAAATGTCACTCGAAGTTTCAACTTCAAGCAACAACGACGCTTCAAAAACTCAAACTCTTACATTTTACATATCATTTTTCTTGTGTCACGGAAGTGAATGACTACATGATATAAAAACTTCCATCAGATATGAAGTACAAGAAAAAAAAGTTAATTTGGAAAGCAACATGAAAGAGCGAATAAATGGAAAAACTTTGTAACACTTGCTTGCCTTTAAACTATAAAAAGATTCGTTTATCATACTGTTCAACACAGAGAATCTTTCCGAATATTTAGTAGTACATTGAAAAGAAAAGATTCCACTGATGAAAGAAGGAAAAAGTTTTCCTTGTTAAACTATCAGCAATCTTAGCTTTTATGAATAAAGAAACTTTTCTTCAATATACTTTTGAAGAAATTTGTTATTTCGTTTATGCACAAGATAGTAGACAATCCATTCATTGATAAATGCTCCGATAGCTAAACAAAATCCTACAAACATCAAACCGAAAGAGCCAAGAACATGTCCAAGATTTAGCGGTTCCGCGTTTTCATGCGAATCTCCACGCTGTTTCCGTATCTCATTAATTTTAACTTTCTCATTGTCAGCTTTCCATTTCAAAATAAATCCTGATTCAGTTATACGACGAATTAGAACGTTAACAGCAGGCAACAAGTGATGATCCTTTTTGAAAAGCATCACAACAGAGAAGCTGAAGATATTGTTAGCCTTATCGAAGCAATACATGTTTTCAACGTTAAGAGGGATTCGAGCATTAGTCGCGTGTTGTCGTGATATGGCAACAGCTAATTTCTCATCTCTTTCAATATCCATTAAGCACTTGTCCATTTCATAGCATGGTTTATAAGCCTCTTTCAAATGATTCGAGGCTTTATCTGGTCTTTCAAAAACAGCTTTCAAATTTTCTCCACCAGTGAAATGATATTCGGCATCGATGGCTTCATGAATAGTCGCAGTTTGATGGGAGTATCTTGGCGTTGTCAGCACACTCAACAGAAAGCTATGATATGCTGCAGAAAAGTGCATGCCATAAAAACAGAGAAAAGCAATATAATAACGAATGAAGCCCCGTCTCGGATCATAATGTCCGTAAATTCCAATTGAATAACACATTATTATCATAAGTGCCCACAGGAAATTTTCCTTTCTATCATTTTCAATTTTCACTGAAATGAAGAGAAACAAAGAACATCCAAATATGCAAATTATTGCATATATCCAAAGCATTATGTCAAATATAGCGAAAACATTCATCCAGTTTGGAGCTAAGCCGCTTCGTTGGACGCACCAAGTTATTTCATCAGAATCGTAGGGAATTGTTGTGCTTAGAAGCTTCCTGCTGATTTCATTATCATACAATCCACCAATCATCACATCGATTTTTCGTTTAATTAAATCTGAATAAAATCCCGTCTCTTCATCTTCCGTGACCAATCTGAAAGCAGTTGCATCGTCCACAACACGAAAAATTAATTTCATATCGAGCTTCTCAGCTATAGTTTTTATAAGAAGAAATTCAATTCCACCAGTCGGAGCTTCACTTGTACCAATCACAAAAGGCTCCCAAATAGGCGTTGTAACAATCATCGGACATTGATGGAATTTGTCTGGTAAATGGGATGGTTGTTCTGGGATTAATTCACGCATTTCAAACTTTTTTTCCCCTTCACTTGTATGATTAAACATTTCACATTCATCAATTGTTTCTAGATTGTTGTACGATAAAATATTGGAACATGAATTTCCATCGTAAGGATACCAGATGAACGACTGCAATAAATTATCCACGTCTAGATTTTGAATAAGAACATACACGTTTAAGATTGAATAATCAAAGAACAGCTTGAAAGTTCCTGAAACTACCACTTCCATTTCAAATTGATCGGAAAATCGTTCAGTGACGACAACGACGAATTTTGCTTCATGATTCCACATGCTCAGTTTTTGAAGCTTTTTGATATTCTCAACGATTTCCGTTGGAAACGTTACAAGAATCAGATAATTCTTAGCTTTCTCACGTGCTTTTGGCTCGTTTTCTTGCGGTGGCGCGTCATCTTTGATGATTAAGTTTACTTGATGTGTTTCGTCTTCATTGAGAAGTTTAAGAATTCTTTGCTGTGTCATCATTGAGGTGGTTTCAAAGTTCGGAAGTAAATTGAGAAAGATTGTTGATGAGTTTTTCATGTAGTCGGGCTTCAAGTACTTTCGTAAAATTTCATTGACACAGATTGAGATATCAAATCGATTTTCATCTGTGATTTCACTTTGTAATTCTGTAAAGAAAGTCATGCAATGGGAATTGTTATGATGTGAATCAAACGTTGCTATAACTAAATTGATTTTTTATGTTCATTTTTCTCGACTCGAGAGAAAAACTTTAATATTAAATTTTTCAATTAGAAATGCATAAAAGCATCAGGTTGTAATCGGGGATTTAATTTGATTAAAAATATTTTTCATTTGACTTGACACTTGAAAAGCAACTTGACTCTATTACTTGACTCCCAATTTTCAATTTCACTCATGTCAAAGCTTTGAACCTGCATACATACGAACTGATAGATTTAAAATCTTTCAAAAGATTAACAATTTTCATTGTATCGCTATTAAAAAGTAAATAAACTTTGATCATCTTACCATCCAGTGTCTCTCCTTCGATCACAGTAATTAAAAGTGGAAAAATTGCTCTGAGTAGCCACAATGCTTCCATCTCGTCTGACAACTTAATAGCTTGTGGCTTTTACTCGCTTTCAATAGTTGAAAAAGAATGAAACTACAGTATTCACTACGGATCTCAACGTCATGCATTCATTTTGTAATCAACTAGATGTTATCATGTAAATTCATAATTTTATTTATTCTTCGTCGATTAAAACCAAATTGGGCTTCAACAAGACGAACGCGATAAAAGGAAATCCCTGAGGGCTTCATCATTATACTTGAAATGGAAACAATCACTGTTGGTTATTGATAAATAACATAATCGTTCAATTTTCAACCCAATTTGGATTGTTAGAAGATAGGATTTAGTTGGAAAAGTGAAACGGAAAGTAGCTGAATTATGATACAAAGTTAGGATTAAATTAACATTTTATCTTTAAAGTTCAACAGATAGTTGAATGACTTTAATGTAAAGTACAAGAGATAAAGTTTTTAATTTGATTAACATCAACGGCGATGATTTGAATTTCATTTAAATTATAATCAAAATAAGTACCAAGTCAATTTTCTACTTCAAGACAGGCTCAGATTATAAGCTTTACTGTTGTTATATTGCTCTCAAGTATGGATTTATCTTTTTTGGAGACGAACAAAATAAATCAGATAAAATAACAATGATTGCAATGGCAAGAGAAGCAAAAGAAAATCTCTGAATGATAAAATCAAGTGTAATTCTCTGAAGAGATCAACTTCACAACTTCGTATATTGTTGCTTGCCACGTTTGCTTTCTTCGTCTCCCATAACTCATACAATAGCGAAATGTCCTCGAGGAATCGAAAGTTTTATGTTATTTTATTACGCCTTGTTTATATCATCATAACATGGATTTCTTTTCGATCTTCTTGTCCTATAAACATTCGACGATAAAAAGCAACGCAAAAAAATAGGAATGGCAACGATGAGACACTCAAACATCATTCCCCAGATGAGCCATCAAGTGCCATGCTTCTAGCATAAAAATGCCGAAGCAGCCAAATGGGTCAAATAATATTGAAATTGTTAACATTACTTTACACAATATTTCTTCTGCTTGCCGCTTCGTTTATTGCAAATAATCTCATATAATATATAGAAGCGTTGATTCGCTGAATTTATTTTCTGATTGTTAACATTTTTATTCGTCTCCTTATTCTTTTTTTGATTCTTTTTTTCAGGCCATTTTCATGCTGATTTATGAATGTGAAAGAAACATCAACAAATTGAAATGAAAATGTTTGTCGGAACTTTTTTTTTCTTCTCTTTGAATGTATGCAAGAATGCTGAAAGAAAAAGGAAATCAAAATATTAACTTCTAAGCGATGTTTTGAAAATTGAATTTTCTTCGTTTTTCCCTTCTTTTTCGAAGCAATAAGAAAATATTTCAAATCTTTTGTCAATCAAACATTTATGAAGCGAAATATACTTAACCATGATCCTTACTTGTTTGTGTATTTTTTCCAATCTTTTGCATTGATTTTGCGTATTTGATATTCATATGTTGCTAAATATATTCATCATGTAAGATGTACAGATGTATGTAAGGAGAGCATATTTTGAAATTTAATTTAGATGTAGATATTCACCATTTATATAGCTGTGAAATGAAATGCTTTGAAGACAGACTGCATGTTGTGATTTTTCTATTATGCTTCTTTTGTATTTCATCCTTATAAATAGCAGATGTAAGCCAAACAGAAGAATTTCCCTCCTTGTTGTTGTATTTTGTGGTTTTTCATTTATCTAACTCTCAGCAATTTCTTGAGATAAATTATGATTGTTGAGAAGTAAAGATTGAGTCGAAGGGGTCATAAAATTTCTGTCTATATTGTCATTTTTATTTGACAAATGGAAAGTTTTGTAAAGATTTAAAACTTTCGCTAAATTGTGGCAATTTTTGTGAGTCTTTTAAACAGCTTTAAGAAATGTTGAAACATGTTGCAGTTGGAAGTTAACAAAAACCAAAGGCAGATAAAAAAGAATAATTTTTCTAAAGATGAAATGATAACATTTCAACCATGGATGGCAAAAAAAGGAACATCTTCTAAACATAAAAAAGTTCCTTTTAAAAAGTGATTTAAAGCTGAAAAGAGAGAAAGGAAAGAGACGAAATGGATTTTCTCTGTTGTGAGATGAATTCGAGATCGTTTTTCCGCAACACTTCCTTCTTTTTTTATTATTAAAGCGCTTGCTTATAACTTTGTTATCGTTGCTTATGTTGAGTTATTAAAAAATAATTTAAAGGAAAAAAGCTTCTTTTCTGTTTGAATAAGAGAACTGACAGATTGCTTTTTATTCAACTGATAAAAATTGATTAAAATTTTGAATCGAAATATTTTTAAACACATTTTGCTGATCAATTTTTAATTTATTCATGAGACAAAATGTTTAACATGAAATCAAACAGAAAATGAGAAAGAAAGATTGAAATCGATATTTTTTAATATTGATTTGGAATAAACTCTCAAATCTCAACTCAATTCTAGATTTTTTCAAACCTACTGAAGTGCGTGGGCGAGGGAAAAGGTTGAAACAAAATGTCAATGAAGGGTGAATGAAGGTTTCATTTATTGAAAGGTAAATATTTGAATATTTCTGGTTATTCGGTTATAATGTAGTACATATGAATGAAATGATAAGATTTAAACATAATTTTCATAAATCGATACGACAAATTGAGGTAATTAATACTGGAAATTTTCTCTTTCCTCCTGAAAAAGGAAAAAATAATCAACAAAGTGGATATCAATTTTTTTAAATTCAAACTAGAATGTTTAATTTATCTATTCATAGTTATTTTACACTTTATTTATTTACAAAATCTCATTCTCTTTATCCTTGAAACTTTACATTAAAAAACTTTTTTTTTTAATTATTTAATGTATTTCTCATCGAATATTTTGATTTGTTTATAATTACACATAATTAAAATTTATATGTGTGCGAGTTAAATTTTTACAAACTGATAGACGTAGGGAGTTGAGGGAAATGTTATGTTTTTCCCTCCCTCAATCGATATCCATTGTTTTAATCCCAGCGAATAAACATATTCAATACATTCCATATTAAACACTTAAAGCACATCAATGCCTAAGAAAGGAATAGAAAAAACATTCCTCAATAGGTTCACTTCATAGCTTTTTATGGCTTTCATGTTGAAGGATATTCACACAAACAGAACAAATTACTGCTTCGGCATCGTGTTTCAACTCCCATCTCAGTCGTAATTATGTTTACAAATTCATTGAGCTCACTAATTGGCGGGAAATGTTATCAAATCGTTATGCTTTCCATGTTGTGTGCGCGAGTGTTTTTGCTGCTTTTCACTCATTTCATTTATGATAATCTTCAGACACGTTTCACGGATCATTAAAACGCTTTCACATCTTTTTTTAGTGCTTAAAATGCTACCCATTTTACACCCAAATGAAAAGCATATTTACACTTATTCGTTCAAGAGTTTCTGTGCCTTACTTTTTGTTTTTTCCTGTACATTATTTACATGAAGTCACTGCTGTCTATCTAGCATTGTTGTAGAACTTTCCACAATAAAGCAACGCTTGCATTATTGACATAATGTTACACTCGTCTCACACAAAACACCTTTTAAATTAAAGAAATTGGCTCTGCTACACATTTTTCGAATGATTATATCCGTTGAGGCCTCCATTTGCATGAATTGTTTCAATCTTTTCACCTCCATTTGCTTCCCAGTTTATAATGACAGTCTGAGCTTGATTTGTTTGCGGTGGCGTTGATGGTTCCCGATAGCTTGATGAATGACAACATTTTCTATTTGTATTCAAATACGAAGTGCGTCAGTTTTATGCAAACCGTGCGATACCATGCCATGTCACATTGTCATATATTCAATCAAAGTGGACGATAATCAGTTGTTAATAAATGTAAGTAATCGTAACAAACGATGGAAATGAAGTACAAAAAAATTGAAAGAGAAGAAGAGAGAGAGAGAGAAGAGTAATAAATTAATTATTAATTACTTCTATTTTCCCCCCTTTTGATTTATGTATGTGTTTCAATTCATTACCTCCACAAGATGATTAGTAGCACAATAAAAATAAAGCCAAAGCTGCCAACAATTGCGGCCAATATTGGAATGTCATATTCACTAGTTGATTGTCTTAACAGCGGTTGAATTGTTTCGCAATTTGGCTGCATTGTGATCTATCAAGCGATAAAACGAGAAATTAATTTATGTTGTTCTCTTTCTGTGGGGGCGAGGGAATAATAATCGTGGGGGTGAACAGAAAATTGTTAATTAATGAAAATTCAGCTATGTAGCTACATTAAACATCTAAACATGTAAACGCTAGAAGCAAACTGACATGAAAAAAAAAACAGAGATAATATTAAAAAAAAGAAACAGATAAAAAAATTGAAATTAATGCCACCCCCATATGGTACTAGGTAGACGACAGGAAGAAATTTCTCATAACATTTACTTTTCGTGATGCTGAATGTAATCCAAGCAAAATTCGACGTGGATTGATGGCGCTTAGACTTGCTGCTTGTACATTCACCGTATAGACGCTGTATGTTGTTAGATTTTGAATAATTATCTGTGTGAAAAAGAAGAAGGAAAAAGATGAAACAAAACAGGGAAAAGATAAACAAGATGAAACTTTTTTCTGATCTCACAGCTGGTACCAACATTTAACTAAGAGCTCGAAGTGGATTTGGAATGAGTGGAAGGTGGTAACAGGATAAAAGTAATCTTTAATCAGCTTAAGATTTTTTTTTGGGTATTCAGGAAAGACATTTGCGATCTCCTTCCGGATGACAACATTGTGGAAAGGAAATGGAGATTCAAGGCACTGAATACAACTTCGGAAGAAGATTGGAATGAAGACAGTAATTTAAGTAATAATGGAATCGCTTAATGGGTTTTTAAATTGTGTTGAGAAGTCGTAATCTAAACTTTAAAATCTTTTCTCGTTTCAATTCTTACTAAAGTAATTCACAATTAAACTCACCGCTGTTTCAGCGAACGATGCTGTAGTGTTGAGTTGTATTTGTTGATAATTTGTGTATGAACTTTCCTTGTAGTTTATCACATAAAAATCAATTGAGTTATAAAAAGTTGTCGGACGTTTCCATTGCAAATAGAGGGCATCCTGTGAGTGACAGGTCAAATTAATTATTTGTGGTGCTGAGGGACCGGCAATGTCAGTTCGTTGTATCACGGGCTCAGACGGTTCACCATCATATTTGAGGGTAAATGCGATGACAATTATCCGGTATTCAGTATAAGGTTCTAGATGGGATGCAATGAGATAAAAAAACATTTTCATTAGTTTTATTTAAATTTTTTTCCCTCTCATTTTTCGTGGGAAAAAAAGGTTTTATGTGACTGATGACATAACAATTTTAATGAAAGTTCTTTCATGAACAGTTTACTCACTTAAATTGATTAGTGTGTAGTGGAAAGGCGATCCGATAGACGCATCATTCTTCAGCATCGGTAAATGTAACAAAGTTTGGTTCAGGAACATGTAGTACACACGATATGCATGAATAACACCGTTAGGTCGTTCCGGTTCATGCCAAGATATTTTTATTGATGTCGACGTGACATCAAGCACACGAACATTTTGTGGCTTTGAAGGAACTGTCATTGATGTGATGTCAGAATACAGACAGAGAGTGCGGGGGTGAATAAAAGAGAACAGAACAGAAATGATTGATTAACTTCTCTTAAGTCCTGATGTCAAATAAATCATTAAATTTTCTTCAAAATCGTCACATTTTCAAGCAAATGCCAAATATTACAAACATTAAATTGATGACTGTTTTGTTCGAATATTAAATTTGTATGTAGCTTGAATGAAGTCATCAATAAATTATGACAGAAGTAAATTTCAATTCGACCGAAAGAGCGCATCAATGAACACATAAAAATTGCGTTGATTACATTTTTCTTCCTTTTTTCATCTCTACTTACCACCCTCATCAGTCATAATCAAAACAGTGGATGCTGGGCCGAGTCCCTCGGGGTTGAAAACTTGCAACGACACTAAGTACTGTGTGAATGTTTCAAGGTTCGATATTTCATGGCTCTGGATTATAAACAGATGCCGTAAATGCGAAGAGGTAGTGAAAGAAAAGAAGAATTTTAGAAAATCAAATAAATTTTCTTATTTACGCTTTTGCTTCGATGCACGAAGCCATAAAGCGAGAAGCAAACAAAATCATAATTCAAATTAATTACAAGACATACCTCAACACTACTATCTCTTATATAAATCTCCTTAATGTCTTCTGGTTGTTTGTCTCGGGCGCGATAAGTTATGCGGTAGCCAAGAAATTCACCATGAATTGTATCTGCCGGTGGCGGCTTCCAAGATATTCGAACGGAGGTTGAAGATGTATTATGAGCTGGAAAATTGTTTTCATGTGGAAAACAAATTTGAAAAGGAGAAAATTAATATGTGGATATATTAAAAAAGGTTCCTTTCAGTTATGCTAAAGCAAACAACTCACCTACAGTCGTGATAGGCTTTCCAACAGGCGCTAAATTTTATATTAAAAATTATTAGTTAAATTTTAAATGGTATCTAACAAAATATTTTATGAAATTAACCAATTAATTGATCTTTTCTTTACATGTCAATTATTTTTATTGCTCAGTGAACATTCACTGATAAGAAAAAAAAAGCTTTTTTTTGGGAAAAGAGAAGCCAAAACAATTCCGCAGAACCCAAAGCGACAATAATCTGTTATCAAGCTACATCTTAACTCACCTTCTCTTAAAGTACAAATGTAGTAAGACTCTTTCGATGGTTGACTCACGCCAAGACGATTCACAGCCAAGATGCGAAAGCTATAGACAGTGAACGGTAGGAGTTTTGTGACAACATAAGACGCTATACTATTGTTTGTGTGAACTTCGGGCCACTCATCCCAAGCACCCGTCTCGCCAACCCTAAAATAAAACAATGACAACAAATTACTTCCCGTGATAGAAACACTCTTAGGTTCGAAGAAACAGACCAAAGAAACCATAACTTGATAAATTATTTCGTACATTAAAACTTTCACTCCATTCTATTATCACTTAATAATCTTTCTTTTTCTCTTTCTTTTCTAAGTATGCTTTGCTGTTAAAATAAAGCACATAAAAACTTTTTCTGTGGTCATGTGATACCACCAACTTATATCCCTTCGCAATCTCTCATGTTTAACAGGGAAGTTTTCTTATTCTTGCCTCTACTTTCATAATAACCTTGTAGGTATTTTATTTTATTTTTTTCTTCAAACCCATAGAAAAGGAATGTGGTAGGTCAGATTGAAACTCAAACGTCAAGTGCTTGTCTCGCTTGTATAAAGAAGGGAAAGTGAAAAGGCGTTTTGGCTTTCTTTTTTTCTTTCTTTATTAATTTCAGAAGAGAGAAAAAAAAAGGAAAATATTATGGAAAGTGCGATGTAAGGAAGGTGAAGCAGAAGGAAGTGAATGGAAAGGTAACCGCACAGGAACAAAGAAATAATGAAATCTCTGAATATCTTTATTCGCTGCTAGTAAACACCAAAAAGCATAAATCATAAATTATATATGAACCATAAAAACGAGCTTCTGTGCAAAGATGTGGAAACGTGTTAGTTAGAGTGGAAAAACAAAACGAAAGGAATAGAAAAATAAAAAAGGTATTTTAAGTTCAAAGCTGGGCACAAAGTGCGAAAAAAAAATTATTTTATGGAACGAGACCTTTTGCTACCACCATGTTCTTAATTCATTCTTATCAGACCACGGTAGTTAAGAGGGAAATGAAAGAAAAAAAAAAGAAAGATAGCGAAGGTGATGGAAAATTACCACATACAATCATTTACATCATTCACTAATGACTCGAATGAAATAAAAAGGAAAATGTATGTTTATACTTATAAATTAAATGAAAGTATATTAGCTCAAATGATCGCATTTATTTTTTGCCTTTTTATTGAGCAATTAAAATACGTGAAAGAAGAAAAAAAAAAGAAATAAACGAAAAGGATGCGAGAAAACAAAAGTTCTGGTTCCTTAGCGTGGAACAGAAAGTTCCCCCCCTTCTTGATGAGAAACAGAGGAGAATAAAAAGAAGCAGAAAAAAAGGTAATTAAAGGAAATAATGATAGCGATTTTGTTTCCGAAACTTTACCTTATTTGGATGATAAAATCTAAAACGGGAGCGTTCCTCGAGTCTTGCAAATGAGCCCACGATAAATTAACTTGACGAGATGTAAAATACGTGATTAATGGGCGCTCTGGTGGTGCTGGGACGTCTGTGTTGTGTAAATAAGCCATTTTGTTCAAGATCATTATTTGACATGGGTCAACAATAGATCGAATGATTGAAGGTGCAAGGATGAGAGAAAACAAATTTTTTCCCAAAAAAAAAAGGAGAAAACACAAAGATTGAAACATTAAAAGGTTGATATTAATTTTGTTTTCCGTTGGTTAACACTGGAAAACATTTAGTCAATGGTTTTACGAGATCATTGAAGAAGATTGCCAAAAAGTATGTCATTGGAAATATGATAAAAGTTCTAATTGATCTCTCAAGATTTTCTTACTCATTCACATAAATTTCCATCAGTGTTAAGCATTTAAGTGTAATCAGAGAAACAAATCTTCATTTACCTTGAATCAATAGATCGATTATTGATTCAGGACTATGTCGGTCATTTATTATACAACTATACTCTCCAGTATCAGACGATTGTGTTTTGTTGAAAAATAAACTATAATTATCTGCTAACAGGCTAATCTGCAAAAAACAATTATTCACCTTTGAAAAGCTTTTCGTTGATAGCAAGTTCAATTTACTTACTCTCTGGCTGTGCACCATTGGCATTCCATTAATGAACTTGGCAATTGTTACCGTTGTTTTCCACGTAAGCGTATCTATTAACGACTGTTCATTTACCCCAGGACAAGGCAATGTTAAGTTTTTCCCCGCCACAGCTACGATTGTTTTCACAGGAATGTTTTCTTCATCTGACAATGTAGGAAAGAAAATAAATAAGAGGAAAATGTGAACGGAGTTTTCTTCGTCCTTTTTTTTGTTCTTGGTGTGATATGAAATGAAATTTCTTTTCTTATTTCTTGTCTTCTCTTCTCCTGGGACAATTCAAAGGTGTGGATGAGAGATATCGCAATAAGAAATTTCTTGTCGTTTTGTTTGCCTTAGTAATGGCGGTGGAGAAATAAAGAAAATTCTGAGCAAAGGAAAGACAACTCACCGGCAGCTATGGCAGCTGCAAAATTCATTTTCATTGTAAAAACCTTTCAAAAATTATTTCAGCGTGGGATTGTTTGTACTTCAAAGTGAAGCGTGTTCGTTATTGTTTTATAATGCGGGGTTGTTTACTTATTTCTAGGCATCTTTAGATGTAGCTCAAGAGTTTAATCATCAAAATTTAATCCTTATGATTTAGTCATTGCTGGAATATGGAAGGGTGATGAGTTGTGTGATTATAATTAAAGCACAGGATAACTTAAGCAAGGCTTTCGGTGTTTTGTTTATGATTTCATTTTCGTCTTACGTTAGCACTTTGCCACTTTAGATCTAACTTCTAACTTCTGAATATTTTATTGGATAAACTCGACTTTGTCAGCAATAGTGAAAGCACAAGGCGACATTCTCAGTGTGACAACCAAAAATGAGAATTTTCATTAAAAACTTTTCTCAATTAAGCACCTTGAAGCTCTTTCGAGGTTTTTGAGTTCATTTTTGGCCTCGACGAATGAAATGGAAGCTTAAGAAAAAGTTGTCGGGGTCGGGAATGAATGAAAAGAAAAGTTTCTGTTCTTTTTTCTTCACTCAAAGTGAATTTATAATGTGTGACGTTCATGATTTATTAGTAATGTCATGCTGAAAAATGAGAGTTTTAAAGCAAATTCTAACAGCATGGGAAGGAAACGTATTGAATGCTTTATACAAGAGCTTTGCGCCATGAAATTTATTGCGTTTAAATGTATAAAAGTCTTTGCATATTTTCCAACACAGAAAATTTTCCCTTTGATTCATTGCTGCTTCTATTTTATTATTCTAAGAGAGAACATGAAGAAACTTCTTAGAATTGTGAGTAAATGCTTGATCTTCTTTTTTTCCTTTTTCAACAATAGAAACCATAAAATAACTTGTAGCTTTTTGAATATCTCAATTTGAATTCGTGTTCGGTTTCATTCAAATCAAGATAGTTTTGTGAACTTGAATTTAGATTTCAGTCATGAAAATGAGACCACCTACACGAAAATATTTAATTTGATATCAAATGAGGGTAAAAAAGAAACCAAACTTATAATGACCTGGAATTTAGCTTCATGTTTGTTAAACCTTCTCTTAATTTTTTGATAATCGTGAAGCTTTTAACGTTGGAGTATTTATTAGGGGAAATATATAATTCATAACATAATGAAAAGTAGCAGTAAATCAATTTTTTCTGACATTTTTCGAATTCTAATTACCAGGGAATGAAAATTGCTTCTTAAAACAGAAATAGATTTTTTTCTTTGAATGAAACAGAAATGTCAAAATTCAAATTTCGACAAATATTCTTGCGCATTGAAAATTTTGATAATAAATCTCAGCATGAAATCAATCTAAAGTTGTCTCAAGGTATTTCGTTAATTACTTTTCGTTTTCCTTCGATAATTTCAACTTCATTCTCGCTCTTCGCATTGGCTTCCAACCACATAAACCAAATTCACAACAACAATATTTCATTTGCTATCAAACCCCATGTGAGTAGGAAAATAGAAAGAAAGGAAAACCTTTCGTGATTTGAAACTTTACACATTTCTCGATAATTTTTTCATCGAATTTTATTTTCTTTCACATATCTGAAGCTTATGTTTGATTCTTTGAAATTAGAATTGAACACATGAATATAATATAACGAGGTTCTTCAACATAAATATAATCGCTTCTGTCATTTCAAAGCTTAATGCTACGCTCAGCATTTTATTCTGTTCGGATTTACTTATTTTTTTTGCGTCTTAAGCGTAAAACTACAATATAAAGAATGTTGATTTGATGTAATCAAAAGAAAATCCTCAGTTAAGCCAACCTTGAGTTTACCTCAGTAATTTATTTTAAGCTCAAAATATTGATGGATTAATTTTTAAGAGACTTCTACAATTGTGATGACTTTTCTCTATTTTACGTTTACCTCTATTATGTTCATTTCATGCTCATAAAACCCAAAAAAAGATATATCATGATAGAAGGAAATATAAATTTTTTTCACGACCCTAAGGCGGTTCACAAATGGCAAAAACAATTAAGGTTGAAATAAACTTTATGAACTATCAATGTCAAAAATGTTTCTGTCAATGTTCGTACACCATGTACAGCTCTTCCCTGAATTTATGTATGAAGGCTGAGAAATTGTGCTGAGCAGGCAGACTTCACTTAAACACGGAAAATCAATGACTGAGAATTTGCTTTTATTTTTTTGTTTCTTTTTGCTGCTCCGGAAAATGAGTTTAATCCAAGTAAATACGAAACTCAATTTATTCCCTCAACGCCTTCAGATCGTAATTTTTGCTAATTCATTTTGAAACCTCGCAAAGTAAAAGTAAGTAAGCCGAATGAATGTTTTCATAGACGGTGGAATTAAAATTTTCCGTCTTCTCTTCAAAATATTACCTTTTATGATATTTTAATGTTGTAAAAGGAAATCAGAGAAAATCTATAATAAAAATAAATTAAGCTTTAAGATGCTTACTTATAAGCAAAATTATTAAATTAAAAATTACGAACAGTTTTTGTCTGAGTCGACAAAGAAAAAAGCTTCACTAACTTTGTGTTGGAAATTATTTCAAAGCTTCCAAAAACTTCGTGCTTCGAGACTTTGGGAACATAAACTTAGTCCATGAAGTTCAAGGTCAACAAAGAGAAAAGTCAATGAAAAGTTTTTTCCTTTTACATGAAAATTGAACATTTCTTTGAATTTTCATTTCAACTCAAACAATGACTAACAAGTTTTGATTAATATTTTTATTTCAGTATAATCTTCTTATAACGAGAAATGTGAAAGAAATGAAAATTTGATTCTAAATCTCCACGCAACGTGAAATTGGCTTTTTTTATTTTTCGTCAACGAATTTATTCCCTTTGGGGATTTTTAATCATCAGCGAAGTTAAACAAGAAAAATCCTGCTTTAGGCTATTTGATTTCATTCTTTTTTTGGTTTTTATTGTGAAGCACTGCTAATCTTAATTTAATCCCTTTTTATCCTTTTTTGAAGCCTTGCTCATTCAAATGTTTTCAAGGATGCTTTTGCGTTCCACACGAATTTTGCGATTCCACCAATAACACTGATGTTGATTTCCTAGGAAACTCACCAAAAATACGAGCAGCTTCAATGAATAATCCATACAATAATAATCCAATGTGAATTTTTGTGAGAAAATTCATTTTTCGTTTCACTTTTTCAGGTTTTAGCAGAAATCTTAAGCGATTTTATTTCTGATTTAAAAGGCTTAGTCTAAGCCGCGAGCACTTCTGATTTTCTTTTTCTTTTTCACTTTGCTCGCTCATCTTTGTGATGTGAAATTGTGGAACATTTTTTCCTTTGTCATGGTAATATTTTTTCTTTCAAAACTATCGCAGATATTTCTCCACTAAATCTCACATTTCGTTCCTTTTCTCGTTCTTTTTATGCTTTTTTATTATGTCATAAGTTGACGTGAGGGTGTTTTCATGCTTGAAATGTCTTTTTATTCATGCACATGTCACTCTCAAACTCTCAACGTTGTGACAATCTTTAAAGAAGTAATATTCATGAATGAATTTTAATCAAATTCTTTTCCTTGCCGTTTAGTTACAATTTCCACTCTTTGAAAGCTTGGAACATGAAGAAGCTTTGCAAACTTTCTCCAATCTCGTTTTGAACAGAAAATTGTTAAAAATCCATCACATCCATTTCATTAAACTTCACTATATTTCTCAATTCCTCAAATCATCTGCATCGATGGCCAAATCACTTCATGAAACTTTCTTGCTTTGATGATTTCTTTCAATTTGTTGTCATGAAATTTCTTCAAATTCATTCGATTAAAAATCAGAATTCTGTTATGAATGACTCTAATGGCATTAAATTGTTAGATAACTTTATTATGTTGTTTTTCATTTAACATTTTGCATGGAAAAAATATTTTAAGGGTTCAACCTCGTTAAGTATCAACACGGAACTGAAATACTTCCCTCTGTTTTCTCTCGTTATATGACCCAATTTTTGCAAATGCACATTCTTTTCTGCTTCCACATTCCATGGAAGATTCTACGATTGGAATGATGGAAAGAAATGAAAATCATGCGCAATGCTATCAAAGCAAAAACAGCTTGTTTTGTTTACGAAACGAATTGTTTTTGTTGAGGGTGTACTTCAACAATCGTTCTTCAAATAGAAAGCACCGCACCTTGAAGAAATGATTTGTCAAATTGAGACCAAATCTAAATTAACTGATAACTGAAATATCTATCATGAAACTACTCGCTTTGAGTTTATAGATATCAAAGAAATTGAAACTTAATTTAATGAAATCAATTAACTGTCTTTGATCATAAATATTTTCTTTATACAAAGTCAGAAACTAACAAAATCAATTCAAAAATTCAAATCTGAGCTTTATCCGAAAAAAAGAATGTTTCAAGAACTTGAGGCGATGGAAGGATTCAATTTCCATTTCTCCATCATCACGCTCTTGGGTTTCGTTGTCGATAACGCATTAACGATTTAATTTAACGTAATATCTTTATCTAGGATCAACAGAGGGAAAGGAAAAGGCAAGGAAATAAAATTATCGATGTTATTTTGTTTACATTTTCTTCATTCCTTTCACCCTTTTTGCTGCTTACTGATATTCGCCGTTTGTTCTTGCCCAAACCAAAGAAAGATCTTCAACATTCAACCAGTCGGTCCAATTTTCACTCTTTGGAATCCGATGTTGTTGAAATTGAATTCGAATTAATTTGAACGTGATGAACATATTTTGTTATTGCAGACGAGAAAAATAAGAGAAAAACTTCAGCTTATATTAGATTTGTTTCCCACTACCATTAATTCTTTCACTTTGTAACATTTTCAAGATGGGTGACGATGATATGGCAACAGGAAATTGAAATATTTGGAATAAATGAATCTGATTGAATGACATTTATAAAATCAAACACTTTGTTGAAAATTTCGTGGAAAGAGATCAAATATCAAAACTAATTGACGGATTATTTCAAACTAGGTGAAAGTAAAATTTATTATCTTTTCGTCATTAAAATATTTACACAAATCATAAAATAAAGTACCGAAAATTATTTCAATCTATTTATGTAAAATATTTTCAAACTTCATCGAAAATTTAATCCTACCTGCATCCAATTAGCGCTCTGAATACTCAGAAATTTTTAAGTGGAAGTATTGA